GCTGGCCTGAATTTAGAAACATGGTAAGGGTTTGTTTCACTTGTGTTTCCAGAATAGTTTTCAGGCAGCAGATGGTACAATTTATTCAGTAATAATAAAATTTTCATTGAAATTTCTGTATTCTGATTAGCTGAATTGGTCACGTGTTAATGCATTTATTTCCCAATGAATGTATAAAATTAAGCCACGCCCACAGAGGCGCACTACTTTTATTACTACGGAATGTCGGTGAATCCCAATATTATTACAGTCGAGTGAATTCCCTTTCTGCTCACGTGTATCGTCATCCACAGGTCATTTAGCGACTTTCATGCATATCCATTATCCAAATAAACCTTTGAAACCGAAGGCCGAGAATGAATGAAACAGCAAACGTGCAGGCTCGCTCGCCTGTTTTTTTTCTGCTCGCCTCGGTTCAACTTTCATGTCTTCGGGATTCATTTCTAACTAGCATTTTTCCAACAGTAATGTTCGAATCTAGCGGTAACTGACTATGCCATTTGAAACAGCCGCCTTCTCCCGGACATATTTGTTCCGGCTCGTTACAGTCTGACTGTCGCAGTCCTTCTCGCCTCTTTAAATTTCCTTGATTGACAGGTCTTATGCGGATTCATACAGTTTGCACATCGGTTTTTCGATTCATACCTCAATGAACCGAAAAATATACACAGTCAATCCTTAATTGACATGGCCAGATACCAACAGCAGTCATCAGCAGCGAGCAGAGTGTTGAAAGTGTCTATGACATTGCAGACATTGACGTGTAGAATACAAACATGTCAGAACTGACTTTGACATGATCAATACATTCATGTCATTACATGCATTGACGTGTTGAATACAATCGTGTCACTACTGACTTTGACGTGTTGAAATCATTCATGATGTTATGGACTTTACCAGTCTATGTTCATAACGTAGTGGAGGCAGTATGCCCATTCTTCAGTTACATCATTGCTTAAGAGAGTAACAGCACGTATACATTCATAGATTGATATGCATTGTTCACCAAAATGATTGTCATAGTTGCATTGGTTCATATACAAATTTGGAAAATATTTTAACAATTTCTGCATTTTTTAAAAGACATTAGTAAGTTAGATTTATGTAATGTTGGATAGAAGTATTATTTTGAGGATATAAACTCCTGGAATTGCCATCAGCATAGCATACAAGTACAGAATGGTATTCAACCTCTTTGTATCTTTGTTTGCTTACATGACACATTCTACCTGATTTTACTTCTTAAACATATCTGCCATATCTATTTCAATTCGGAGCTGGAGTGAAGAACATCTAAGTGGAGCTAATGCAGCACGGAAATTTAAAATGGAAATTTGAAAGAAGGTTATCAATTTATAACTGGGAAAAATGTGCTGCATGCCAATCTTGCTCCTAGGATGATTTCAGTCTTTTTTCAAACTCAGATATAAAACTAGATACATTTCATACAAGTTCTTGTTACCAGACATATCCGAAACCAAACATGTATAAAATGTCTTTGATATATAAAGCCCAGTTAGTCTTTTTTCTATTCACACAATCTAGAACTAATAAGTTGTAACATTTCTTCACACATCTGGTGTTAGGCATTGTAATTACACCAGTATTCAACAGGCCTTTAATATATGCATATAGACCATGGGATATCGTCCACTTTCACCCCTAACTACATGGTTTAAGGACGATGTTATACACGAAAGAAACGTTTAAAAGCAAATATTTGTACTGTTTCGATTTCTTTGTGAATATCCAGTTCCCATATTTCTTAACCATAATGTAAAAGTGGACTAATTTTGTGGCGTCAAAAATGTAAAAGCATAGGTTATATGTGAGTGGCTTAATCACATACACAGATTTGAATACACCACAAAGAATCTTCTTCACTTGTATAGCAGCATTACCAGCGTTTTGAGACCATGATAAGGAACTTGCGAAAACAACACCTACATATGTATCGAATTGAGCAGTTTCAAATACAAATATCATTTTTCATGTTTGGAAAGTATACCGCTATTTTTAAAAAGCAACATGTTTCGTTTATTCACAGAAACATTCAAAAGCGTTAATACGTTTTTGTAAACCATAAACAGCATCTGCAAAGAAAATAAAAATAGTTGTATAATATTCAGATGCATTTGTATCGCATGTTCACAGTTTGAGTCGATTTCTGAAGCTAACTCATTTATAAACATGGAACACACATCATTGTCTCTCACCTAATTGACAATCAAAATCTTGTGATAGATATTTGTATTCGGGTACCTTTACACGCTTACAGATGTATGTGAGAGCATTAAACATTTACGGTGAAACTGAAACGCCTCTTCGTTTCAGTGCAGACCATAGCTTAAATCTATCAACAATATCAAATGCTTTTCTTACATCAACGAATATGGCATCAAGCTTGGTTTTCTTGATATATAAGGGCGGTCGGGTAGCCTAGTGGTTAAAGCGTTCGCTGTCATGCCGAAGACCTGGGTTCGATTCCCGACATGGGTACAATGTGTGAAGCCCATTTCTGGTGTCCCCCGCCGAGATATTGCTGGAATATTGCTAAAAGCGGCGTAAAACCGTACTCACTCACTCACTCACACTATTGTACAACACAAAATGGCAATGCATATTATATTATATGTTCAGGCTTTGAAACACATATCTACCCTCTAGACATCATAACATAACATTTGTGTCCTATATTATCAATATTATGTAGCTGTACAACTTGACGTTTGCATGAAAAGGTCAACTTTGAATTTCATTCATCTGAATCAATATGAATAGTACATCGTTGTGTCGAACTCTGATGTGTCAGATTTACGGTCAGATTCCTTCAAACTTCTCATTATTTAACCTCTGATAAGTCAAAGTGGATGTGTCGAAGTTTCATATTTATTTTTTAAAATGTGCAAACAAGGGAATTGATGCCTTCAATCTGAATAACATTCCCGCAATATTTTAAATTTCAATAACCACTCACATTTTTTCCCACCCGAAAACAATTTCTTCCAGGTTGTTCACTTTCAGGAACGTGCTGCAAAACCTGGACTTGGCAGCTCATGATGTAAATTCAACTACTTGTGGCTGCCAAGACTTATCATACTGCTACAACCTACAGTTCATATAATCACAGATGATTTCTCCAATGTTGACAATAACAACCTTCGTCAGTTAGTCAAATATGGACCAAAATAAGGGGAGCATCCTCCTACCGATTGGGATCACAACTTTATAATAATTATATATCCATGATAATTATGACTGTTGTGATGAATGTGCCAAAAATGAGCCAAAAGAGAATAGGAACCTGTTGAATGAATGTGGGTTAAGTCAGTGCGTGATGTTATCATTGGTAGAATACACAAACTTAAAAAGAGGAAACGGAATTGGTATAAACCGATTCTGTCCCAGCCAGCTGTCATCCAACGTCTGGCTGCCCTACATACGAAGGTCGTAGTTGTTCCAACTGACAAGGCCTCAGATAACATAACAATTAAATGTGAGTGAGTGAGTTGGGTTTAACGCCGCTTTTAATAGTATTCCAGTTATATTGCGGCGTATCAGCTATATGTGAGAGGAAAGCCCGAAGTGATGCAAGTTTCAGACGTTTACCACTTCGGTGAAACCCACGAGCACGGGTTTGGTGCTAACAAGCCTAGAAACATAATCGGGGCGAACCGGGATTCGAACCCACAATAATAGGTTTGAGAATTGCGGGACCTAAGACGACTGAGCCACCCGTGCCCCCCTCCATTATATGTTAGCATCACTATATTCATTGTTTGATCAGAACTTGGTATACTATATATGTGACACATCAAATAATATCAATTACAAGGCCGGTTTGTTAACTGAGGGAGAAATTTGCCAAAACCATAGCTACGTCAGAACTGTAAACTTTTGACTTGACTCTAAAACCTGAAGACATGTCCGTTCCTCTTTTGTTCTGGATTTCAAAGCTCCATAAAGATCCGTACAAAGAGAAATATATTACTGGGTTCAGCAAATGTTCCACCAAATCACTGTCTTAAAGACTAACCATTATCCCCAATACAATCAAGGAAGGACTTTCTTTATATTCACAGAAAGTATTTGAGAATAGTGGAATTAATACCATGTTGATTCTCAAAAAAGCAAAGGATTTATTTGACGTTTTGCATTCTCAGAAAAGAACCAAGCTCCATTCTGTCAAAATATTTCGTTTCACAACTTTGTACACCACTATCCCACTGGACAAACTTAAGGGAAAACTTCATTCCTTGATCCATGGGGCTTTTGTTACAGAACGTGGTGACCACAGATGCAGTTATATATATATAATCGGAGGTATAAGACTATTTGTGAAGAAATGAATGCAATTGCCATCTGAAGTGTCGTGAGAAAACAATACGTCAAATGCTCAACTTCCTCACTGTCAACATGTTCCTAATATTTGGGTGTAAGTAATTAGGCAAGAAGTAGAGTTTTTAAGATCTATGCATAAAGATTCAGATTGACAAAACTCTCCACAAGACTCGATGACAACAGATGGCTTCAACTTTCTACTAGTCAACTTTCCCTATATGTCGAGCAATATTCCAGCAGCTCCAGCCTTTGGTGCTTATATTTCACAACTTTTGAGATACGATCGAGCATGCTCTCTCTTCAAAGATTTCAAAGAGCGTGAAGTTTGATCAAGGTTATAACATTCAAGGCCTCAGTAAAGCTTTCAAAAAGCTTTATGGTAGACATGTGGAGGACATTTCCAATTTGACGTATCAGTGACAAAACTTATGTCCAATGCAATTCCCTATTATGACTTGTACCATATGTTTACGTGGTGTTTTATCAGGTGAAGTATTGACTTGCCTTTGCATGTGTTTGTGACGGGTGCCACTGGTGGGACAGGATACGCTGACCTTTTCGCGAACGCCTGGTCTCATTACTATTTGATGGTGGATCATAAACACATGCACATGATATAGTCTGAATCGTACAATCGACACTAGATATTTCTTTTGGCTATGCTGAGGGTTTACACTTCAATATCAGTAACAACATTCAACACGTCAATGTCCGTAACAACATCAATGTAATAAACACGTCAATATCCGTAATGACATGATTTTATTCCACATCCCAATGTCAGTAACAACCTCAATTTATTCTACCCTTCAATGTCTGTAACAACATCAATGTATTCAATACGTGAACGTCACAACTGTGTTCAACACATTGTCTTTAACAATATGAATATCTGAATGTCTGCGCAAACATTACATGAGAGCACCATGTGACACAAGAAGATCAAGCATGTCTTTTCGATCCTGGGATATTGCTATCTTGGCTGCTGTTTGTCCTTTGTTGTTTTTGGCGTTGATGCCCACCTTGTCCTGTGAAAGAATATATTTCACCACCTCCATATGTCCTCTCCGACAGGCAAGATGAAGGATGTTTTCACGCCTTTGATTCACGAGTGAAACATCAGCTCCTTCACCTACAAGTAACTCTACCACTTCTTTATGTCCATACAATGCTGCCACCATCACCGGTGTCCTCTTCTGCCATCCTCTACTGTTGATGCGCACCATGTCTTGTGAGAGGACATACTTGACCACCCCCACATCTCCTCCCCAACAGGCAAGATGAAGGACGCTGTCACGCCCGAAAGATAGGATTGTCAAGTCAGCTCCTTCATCTACGAGTAACTCTACCACGTCTTTATGTCCATTCTCTGCTGCCACCATCACTGGTGTCTTCTTCTTCCATCCTCTACTGTTTATGCGCACCTTGTCCTGTGAGAGGATATATTTCACAACCTCCATATGTCCACCCCGACAGGCAAAATGAAGAATGTTGTCACCCTTCTCAGATCGGAGTGACACATCAGCTCCTTCACTCACGAGTAACTCTACCACTTCTTTATGTCCACGCAATGCTGCCGCCATCATTGGTGTCCTCTTCTTCCGTCTTTTGCTGTTGATGGCAACAATACCTTGTGAGAGGACATACTTGACCACCTCCACATCTCCTCCCCAACAGGCACAGTAAAGGATGTTTTCACCATTGTGAGATACGCGTGACAAGTCAGCTCCTTCATTCACGAGTAACTCTACCACCTCTTTGTGTCTGTTCACTGCTGCCACCATCACTGGTGTCCTCTTCTTCGATCCTCTTCTGTTGATGCGCACCATGTCTTGTGAGAGGATATATTTCACCACTTCCACATTTCCTCCCCGACAGGCAAGATGAAGGATGTTGTCACCCTTCTCAGATACGAGTGACACATCAGCTCCTTCACCCACGAGTAACTCTAACACTTCTTTATGTCCACATAATGCTGCCACCATCACTGGTGTCCCCTTCTTACATCCTCTACTGTTGATGTCCTCCATGTCATGTGAGAGTATATACTTCACCATCTCCACCTCTCCTCCCCAACAGGCACAATGAAGGATGTTGTCACCTCTTTTATTTACGAGTGACATGCTGGATCCTTTACTAACAAGTAACTCAACCACTTCTCGGTGCCCATTACCAGCTGCCAACATCACCGGTGTCCAACCAATCCACTCTTTGCACTTAATGTCCGGCCGTCCCTGGGACAAGATGAGTTTCACCTTTGACAGGTTCCCGGTTTCGGAGGCGATGTGGAGTTCGCAGAACGATGGTGCTGTAATATGAAGTTTTAGTCTGTACGAACCTTTGGCATTTTAAACTTAAAGGACTGAAGTTGCAAGATCATCTAAGGGCGAGAAAGCGAGTGTCTTTGTTTAGTCATCAGGACTGTTAACATGAACACCTTATGTCCGCATATTGTCATTGGACGAAATAATGATGGAGATCGGATAGATACTGATTAATTGGTGTGCACTTCGAAAGAGTCGAGATGTATAACTAAACATCCCACCACATTGCAACTTTTCTTAAGTGCATGTAGTATTATCCTGTGTGGTGCGAGAACGCGATGTACAGCTCCAAGGGCCAGCTTTTTGATAATGACAGACGTGTGCATGTTCCACTTTCAGGGCACAGCGCTCACTGTTTACTGGCAGTTTAAGTATACAAACAGATCAGTCGCGAGCAGTTGCAGTGATGGCTTCGGCTATTTGGGAATATCAGCAATTGGGTATGTCAAAGTATTCAAAACTTGTTTGTCTTATAAAGTGTATGTACTAAAAGAGGAAGAACAATGGAAGGAATATTTTGTGAGAATATTCATACAGAGATAATTAAGCTGAGATTTCTTCCAACATTAACATTCATTGTCATGACAAAACATCAACCATGTTCAAAATCTCTTCATTGATGAACTTGTCGCACAGCAACAACATTGCTCCCTGCTACATGGAGCTTTGAAAATGTCATGTTTACACCAAATATGAAAATTAAATGTGAACGCTGACCCGGCACGGAATTTATGCTAAACATCCTGCTAGAGAGGACCTCTATAACGCGAATAGGACACACGAGACATAATAATTCAACTTTGCAGTAAATGTAACAAATAAACAGTTACTGACAATAGCCCATTAATATTATGCTATAATGATGTTTCTGTACCTGAAGAGTTGACATCGACCACACTTCTGTACATGTAAACACTCAATCAATACAATGATCAATAAAAGCGACAAAAGAAATCTCTGCCTAAACCCTTTAATTGTGATGCAACATGTATAATCAGTATACTACATAAGCATGAACGTTAAATTTTATCAATTGGTCTCAACCTTGACAGTTCACTATTTTTTTAAAGATTAGTAATGAATTTAACTCAAACAGCGCTGACATGTTAATATTCCATTCAAATTCAATATCCATGTATTTAAAACGAGCATGTTCATTCTACCAAGATTTAACAGTGCGTCATACGACTATTGTCCAGAAGTTTGTTCAAGTTTACAATATTCAAGGCCTCAGTAAAGCTTTCACAAAGTTTTATGGCATCAGTGGCAAGACTTATGTACGATGCAATTCCTTATTTTGACTTGTACCATATGTTCCATGTGTTTTTTCAGGATAACTATTGATTTGCCTTTGCATGTGTTTGTGACGATGGGGCAGAATGCGCTCACCTTTTCGCGATCGCCTCGTGCCACTACCATTTGATATTGCTTCATAAACACATGCTCATGATTGAGTCGGAATCGTGAAATCGCTCTGCTTTTGGCACAGATTTCTTATGAATATGGAAATTGTTTTGTTGCTTTTATTTTCTACACTTCTCACCTTGCGCACAGCACTTCCCACATCCCTTCTCCAAACATTCGGAAGTCTGATTGCAGACCTCGGATCCACGGGGTTTAGCCGGGGCCTTTAGACAGCAATAAAAAAAACAAAGAGTCTATGTATGATTTCTAATAATAGATAGTGTAAGGGTCGATATATGTCGATATTTGACGTTATTGTAGGTGTAACATGGTCCTTATGCCATTATACAAGCAATGCAAAGTAATGCCTCTAGAAACATCGGTCAGTTCTTCGTTTGTTACTTGTCACACCAGCCGGCATTGTTTTCAGGCTAAGTGTGGACCGTCAACAATGACTTTCCCGGGAGTTATGACTTTTCTGATATGAAATTGCATCACAGTGCTTACCAGGCCATTGTCATCGGTTACCATGATGTCACAATCACATGACTATCCTACTAATTTCTCTGTGACTGAAGCCGGTTAACAATGATAACGCCTCCGCCTCCGCCTCCGCCTCCGCATCATGTCAAAGACGTAAAAAGGTGAACACATCCCATTTTAATTCTGGAAACCCCAAAAGTCCAGAAACTCTACGGTCTTTGCCCAGTCTCGGTCAAAGGTATTTACAAAATTAAACATGCTGTTTTCATGGGAACATACCAAGGAAGAAAAATTGAGAAAAAAAATGTACAGAAATTCAATATTTACACTATGTCGCCCATGGGTAGGCCCATGGGCGAGAATATTTTCCTTTACTTGAAACTCATGTTTTTGTTTCGCAAATACATAAATTTATTGCTTTCAAGTATCATGACACAAAACGTAACTCATTTTAACTTAATTTCAACGATTTTATAGCATTATTGAAATATTTCGCCTATGGGCGAGACAAAGGTTTGGCCCATGGGCGAGCATAGTTTCCTTTGCTCAACAGTTTTAGTTTCGCAAATACATTAAGGGATTAGAAGCATGACACATGATTCAACTCATTTTAACTTAATTCAGCTTTTTTTGGCGATATTAAAATATTTCGCCCATGTTTTCGGCAGTCCCTTTAAAGAATAAACTAATTGTTTACAAAGTATATTGTATCATTTGAAACACACTTTGTATTATATCATTACCTTACTGTTTAAAAAGGGCCTTTGGTTGGATGTTTCCTTTGCAGAAGTTTTACAAATTTCAGCTTTTTACATATTGCAACGATCTTTAATGAACCCGGCCTCATCTCTCAAAACGTTTTGACAGTTTATCATACGAATTCATGCGCGTGTACACCAATTCATTGGCGTTATTTTCCAACGAATTAAAGTTTAGTTTGTTTCTTTTTCATTTCCCATTTTATGTCTCGTTGATACATCACACTGGGAAATTAAGTGACACTAGGTATGCAATATACAGGTACACGTGCGCGTATTTTAATGGGGAAAAAACCTGATTCGTCTTTCACATTCTAACGAAATCTCGAAATAATTATTTCATTATATGCGGTGCGATGTTTAGGAGATTGAGGAAAACTCGAGTGGATATTATGACACTAAAGCAACATTTAAATGCATTGTCACTTTTGGTATGAAAATTGTAACAGTTAAGAAAAAACAACAGCCTTCTTATGATAATTCTCATATTCGCATTATTTACAGGTGATTCTACAATACCTGCTCTCGGTCAATTACGATCTACCACACCACGCGTGAATATACAGGTGTTGCTGTGGGCAAATACCTAACCTGTATATGTATAATTTTTTGTGGATACATGTATTACATATTTTCGTTGATATGTTGATATATTAAGCACAAAGACAAAAAAAAGTTTATGAAAGACGAATAAGTGCCTTGATATATTCAACGAGAGGTGGATCATCGTTTAATGGGTGATTCAATAAAAGTATGTTTGGAGGAGATATCAAAGGAGCCGCCCAATATACACAGTGTCGTCCGGTGAACTCCCACCGTGTCCGTAAGAGTTATGTAATCGGTACACAAATATATTTGATGCGGTGTCAGTGTGGAAGGAGTTTGAATTACGTCCGCCACTGGTCACAGAAAATCCTCAAAGTATAGTAACAATCAACAAGGTCAATGCCTTACTAATTACCTAGTGACGCATGTATAACAACGATTGTCAATCTGTCTGCTACAGCTACCATACCATCATCCCTGTCACAACTGGCATATCAACGGCTTATTCAAAATATTAATTGTAGAAACGCCGTTAAGAGACTAACGTATGTCGTATACAGTCCTCATATTTGATTTAAAAAAGTAAATACGTCAATTGGGAATTCAACTGGATGGTACCTTCCTTATATCAGCTAACAGCCCTGTTTGTGAAAATATGTACTAGACATAAGATTTATAGACTAATACAAAATCAATTGTAAGACCGCATAGACCATAAAACCGAATTAAATATGACTTGGTATCATCTCTTGTGTATTAGATGATGGTGATGACCTGAAATGTTTTAACGTTAGATTAGGAAGGAGAGACATTAAAGTGTTTTATGCTACTTTTATACTTGTGTGTCCATCGATATACGTTATGCAATGAAAGACGAATCAGGTTTTTTCCCCATTAAAATACGCGCACGTGTACCTGTATATTGCAAATCTAGTGTCACTTAATTTCCCAGTGTGATGTATCAACGAGACATAAAATGGGAAATGAAAAAGAAACAAACTAAACTTTAATTCGTTGGAAAATAACGCCAATGAATTGGTGTACACGCGCATGAATTCGTATGATAAACTGTCAAAACGTTTTGAGAGATGAGGCCGGGTTCATTAGAGATCGTTGCAATATGTAAAAAAGGTGAAATTTGTAAAACTTCTGCAAAGGAAACATCCAACCAAAGGCCCTTTTTAAACAGTAAGGTAATGATATAATACAAAGTGTGTTTCACATGATACAATATACTTTGTAAACAATTAGCTTATTCTTTAAAGGGACTGCCGAAAACATGGGCGAAATATTTTAATATCGCCAAAAATTAGTTGAATTAAGTTAAAATGAGTTGAATCATGTGTCATGCTTATAATCCCTTAATGTATTTGCGAAACTAAAACTGTTGAGCAAAGGAAACTATGCTCGCCCATAGGCGAAATATTTCAATAATGCTATAAAATCGTTGAATTAAGTTAAAATGAGTTACGTTTTGTGTCATGATACTTGAAAGATATACATATATGTATTTGCGAAACAAAATCATGAGTTTTAAGTAAAGGATAATATTCTCGCCAATGGCCCTGCCCATAGGCCAAACCTTTTTCTCGCCCATGGGTGAAATATTTTAGTATCGCTATAAAATTGTAGAAATAAGTTAAAATGAGTTAAATTTTGTGTCATGATACTTGAAAGCAATAAATTTATGTATTTGCGAAACAAAAACATGAGTTTCAAGTAAAGGAAAATATTCTCGCCAATGGCCCTGCCCATGGGCGACATAGTGTAAATATTGAATTTCTGTACATTTTTTTTCTCAATTTTTCTTCCTTGGTATGTTCCCATGAAAACAGCATGTTTAATTTTGTAAATACCTTTTTCTCGCCCATGGGCGAAATATTTCAGTATCGCTATAAAATTGTAGAAACAAGTTAAAATGAGTTAAATTTTGTGTCATGATACTTGAAAGATATACACTTATGTATTTGCGAAACAAAAACATGAGTTTCAAGTAAAGGAAAATATTCTCGCCCATGTGCCAAACCTTTTTCTGAACTATTTCAGTATCGCTATAAAATAGTTGAATTAATTTAAAATTAGTTAAATTTTGTGCCATGATACTAGAGAGATATACACTTATGTATTTGCGAAACAAAAACATGAGTTTTAAATAAAGGAACACACTTCGCCCATGGGCGACATAGTGTAAATATTGAGCTTTTGAACAATTTTTTTTCATTTTTTCTTCCTTGGTATGTTCCCATGAAAACAGCATGTTTAATTTTATAAATACCTTTGACTGAGACTGGGCAAAGACCGTAGTGTTTCTGGACTTTTGGGTTTCCAGAATTAAAATGGGACGTGTTGGTGGTACTTGTTGTTACCCTTTTCGACGCTCGGCATTAACAGGATGAAATAAGCGCTGTACAGCTCGGAGTCACTATCTTTTGACTGAGTGGGGCATTCATGTTAAACCTTGGGCACGGTACATCAGTGGGATAGGAAGATAAAACCGACATCAGTTTGAACGACTACAAGAGCACACACGCCGCACGCACGCACGCACGCACGCACGCACACACACACACACACACACGAACACACACACGAACACACTCACTCACTCACACGCTCACACACTCACACGCTCACACATATATACACATATACACACGCGCACGCACACGCACAAATACACACGCACGCACAGACACACGCACATATACACAAACACACATACACACACAGACAGAGGTTATTCTAGACGCGGTTTTATATCTAGTTTCACCTCACTTTTTACACTCAAGACAAGGCATCTTTTTTATTACAAACTGGATTTGTTGTGAGAAGATATATATTATCTCTCCCGTTCGTTGATATCAAATATGTCAACAGTCACCTGGAGGTTTTCTGTCATCAACTCGTGCTGTTATATTTCATATCAAAGGATGTTCGGTGACTTTATGTCTCCTTCGTAAACAATCATGACTTCTGACTGTATTGGTATGGCACAGTCACACTTGAACTCACATTCACTGTCAATCACTTCCAAAAATTTAAAATTCCCAGAAGTAAACAAAATTGACTTGACTCTTGGTGAAATAGGAGATCGTGGTCGAATGTGGAGCGAGTGTCACAACTTCGTATATACTCATTTACACAACTACACATCTGTACACATGTACATACACACTGACACCAACCTCCACACGCTAACTCCTGCACATATCTAAACACAGTGACACACACCTCCACCACGCTAACTCCTGCACATATCTAAACACACTGACACACACATCCACACGCTAACTCCTGCACATATCTAAACACACTGACACACACCTCCACCACGCTAACTCCTGCACATATCTAAACACACTGGCACACACATCCACACGCTAACTCCTGCACATATCTAAACACACTGACACACACCTCCACACGCTAACTCCTGCACATATCTAAACACACTGACACACATCTACACATATCTACACACATCTACACGCACTGACACACACCTCCACACGCTAACTCCTGCACATATCTAAACACACTGACACACATCTACACACGCTAACTCCTGCACATATCTAAACACACTGACACACATCTACACATATCTACACACGTCTACACGCACTTACACACATCTACACATATCTACACACATCTACATACACTGAAACACATCTACACATATCTACATACATCTACATACATCTACACACACTGACACATCAACAGACATTTACACATTCCGACACACATTTACACACACCGACACGAATGTACACATACGGACAGACACCGACACGTATCCACTCAATTCTACATACCGAAACACACACATATCTACACATATGAACACACATCTACACACATCTACATACATCTACACACACCGACACACACTTACACATATTTATACTCACCGACGCACATCAAGTGCTCACAGACACATGCATCTACACATATAGTAGACTACGGTTATAACGAACTCGAGGGGGCAACTAATTTTAGTTCGTAATAACCGTAGTTCGTTATGAGCATACATACATCATATATACAACAAATGGCCGGGAGTAAAAAAAGGTCCGTTGTATCCGTCAGTTCGTTATAAGCGTGTTCGTTACAAACGTAGTTTACTGTATATACACACGCATGTACACATCTAGGTACACTGATACACGTCAATATACATCCTACTTGACATAAATATAACTTACATGTGGATGAGTTTCAGGACGAACGCTGGATCCGCCTGTCTTTTCAATCTTCTGGGATTTATCATTTGATTGGCGACATGATGCGGAAATAAAAATATCATTGATACATTCAAGTTGGCACAACTCGATGTCAATATTTCTGAAAATGACAGATCTGTCCTTCATTATATCTGTCAACTGAAGTCTACATTCCTTTGTGCTGCATGTGGAAAGTACATGTACCAACATGATGTAAACAGTTGTTGCTAAAGCTAGCTGCAGACTTCTACTTGAAAACAGCGTCATCATCTTGAACTGTTAACAGGGGAGTGCAGGATCCACACGCTAAGGCGACTGCCAGAGACTGCACTTGAACGGTTAAGATATCACAAGCAGCAGTTGTTTTCGGGACATCACGTGACATTTTACACATGACGACGATGACTCTCAACCGATCAATATGATGCACATGTTTAAACAATTCAAGACACCAGCAAAAGAGATTCAGATACCGTCACTTGGTGCAAGCTGTAAAATGAATGTCGCTGCAGTTCATTACAGTCTATCACTTTGATTGAGTAAATGGGATTTAGCGAAGTGCGAGCAATATTCCAGTTACGCTTCGATATGGGAAACAACAAATAAGCTTTACAGTATATCTTTTTGAAATTCCATTCATATAGTTAGTGCTTTACTACCATCATCCCAAAACTCCCATTCCCAACATCCACACAACCGAAATCTCCATCAACCTACACAATCATCACCCCAACTTTACTTTCACCTACTCCACCATCAACACAACAGTCTCATCACCTAAACCACCATCAACCCAAAGTTTCCATCACCTAAACAACCGTCATCCCTTCTATCCTATCACCTACTCCACCATGAACCCAACAGTCACATCACCTACACTACCATCAACCCAACAGTCACATCACCTACATGTACTTCACCATCAACTTAAGAATTCCATCCACAACATCACGACCCCAACAGTCACATCATCTACACCACCATCACGCCAAGATTCCTATCACCTACACCAACCATTCATCTCATTGCTGCAGATTATGTTGAGGTTCATGACTTTCATCGTTTAAATTAGCAAAAAGGTCAACAAGAAGACAAGAAAATATCACAGGCATAACTGTTAATTATTCAGTAGTGCATCCGTTTATCAGCACACGGCGTCTAAAATTTTCATCTAACGCCTCAATAGCGTTGAATAATTTTCCCTTTATTGCCAAATTATCACATTTTGTCTATTTAAGAAATCATATGCCATTTCGAAAGTATATAAAGGCCACAAACGAGAGTCATTAATAGCTGAAAATGTTGCCACCTGATCAAAACACACCACACATTCTTGAATACATTCAGCTCGCCCTGGGTAAATTCCGAAAAAAATCTAAGTTCTTGTAAGGTATAAAACTCGTACATAAATGTAGCTAATGATCCTATGACTTTGGAATTGGTGTATTTCCAATATAAAGAAGTCTTTAAATGATTGGGTGAAATCTGGACCTTGTCACATTTACCAGGGTGTAGATACACGTTCTGTTGAAAATATATGTGAAGTATGATATGAGTTATTTGATAGGTGTTCTATAATGTTGTTGTGTGGTATGTTTTATGTGACTGGTGTGCATTATGTGATTTGCGATAGATTATATCCTATGCACGTCTAAACCGGGTTCAAACGAAATGCCGTAATGCATTAGGGTTTTGTTATTGACCATTCCTGAAAACCATTCCACAATATCAATAGAAAAATGTGATATGCGATATGTGATATGCGATATGTGAAATGTTGTATGTGTTATACGATATTTGTAATGTTACATGAGATATATGATATGTCATATGTGGTATGTCGCATGTGGTATGTGATCTGTGGTATGTTGTGTGACTCATATGTAATTTTTGTGATGTGTTGTGCAGTATGTGGTATGTTATATATGATATGTGATATGTGGTATGCTTTATCCAACCGAAGTTGGCATTCATGGTGACTCACATATTTCCAAACCTAAAAGAACGTCTACACCCTTCCTCAACACGGTCTATAAAATATTGCACTACACGGGACATACGTATTGCAAATTAACAAATCCACCGATGTCATTATATTTTGAACAAACAAGGCCAAGTAATGTCCATAAACAGAACAGAATGGCAATAGAACGGATTGGAACCGGTCGAAGAAATTAGGGTATCATCATTGATGGGAACAAGATGGGTGCATTTCAGCATTGTTGATCTTTTAGTTTCAGAATAGATGATGCTTACGTTGTGACGTAATATACTCACCGTCAAAAGAAACGCGACCCTTAGAAACATACAGATAAGTATGTAGGTTAAGAAGAGAAGTTTCCAATGTGTACCACTTAATGACAAAACTAACAATCAGTCAAGTATTATCACAAAATGCTTTCGTCTCTGTTGTACACACGTGTCTTACACCGTCTCTGATGACATGGACCATATCGTTTTTCCTAACTTTGAATATTAATGGGGGTAAAAGGTAATTTACTCTGCAATTGTTTGTAGTTTTCGCATAGCTACATTAAAATGCCAAGCCAAAAGAAACGTGAACCATGGAAACATATAGAGAAGTATGTAGGTTAAGGAGTGTAAGTTATTGTAATCTGCTTTGTTTTCTTATCATGTATTTTTGATTATGTATGTAGATGTATGGACATGTGTGTTCGCTGTAAAGCGACATTTACATGATTGAATTTTGAGATATGTGTAGGTCAACTTATATTTGGCCTTGATTTGACCTTTACACTTGGGCCATCTTGATACGAAATTTGGTGAAGGTGTAGTTCGTAGTGGGACTAAGCACACACAATATATACCATTTTGTCCTGTATTTGACCTTTTCACTTTGACCATGCTCTCAGGGTATATACTCACCGACAATACAAATGCGAATACCATACCTGTTGGTTAGTATATGAAGAAATATTCATATTCAAGACATATTAGATAGGATCAATGCACAAACGTACCAACTGGAATGTTGGAATCTACGCTCATGAACGCATCACATGTGACGTCACAGATCCATGACTCGAGATGCACCCTTTCTATCTTGCAGGATTTGTGTGTAAAGTTTGGAAATCACGTGCAGCATATGGTGATAAGAAAAAAGACACTCTGTGGTAACACTTGAATGATTTTTATTTTTGTCATTAAGTGGTACACACTGGAAACATCTCTTCTTGACCTACATACTTCTCTATATGTTTCCATGATCTGCTTGGCATTTTAATGTAGCTGTATGAAAAATACAAACAATTGCAGAGTAAATTACCTTTTACCCCCATTAATATTCAAAGTTAGGAAAAACGATATGGTCCATGTCACCAGAGATGGTGCAAGACACGTGTGTGCAAAAGAGGCGACAGTATTTTGTGATCATGCTTGACTGATTGTTAGTTTTGTCATTAAGTGGTACACATTGGAAACTTCTCTTCTTAACCTACATACTTATCTGTATGTTTCTATGGTTCGCGTTTCTTTTGACGGTGAGTATATTACGTCACAACGTAAGCATCATCTATTCTGAAACTAAAAGATCAACAATGCTGAAATGCACCCATCTTGTTCCCATCAATGATGATATCCTAATTTCTTCGACCGGTTCCAATCCGTTCTATTGCCATTTTGCAAACTCTATTTATGGACATTACTTGGCCATGTGTGTTCAAAATATAATGACAATATAACGTGTTGAGGAAGGGTGTAGACGTTCTTTTAGGTTTGGAAATATGTGAGTCACCATGAATGCCAACTTCGGTTGGATAAAGTATACCACATATCACATATCATATATAACATACCACACACTGCATAACACATAACAAAAATTATATATGAGTCACACAACATACCACAGATCACATACCACATGCCACATACCACATATCACATGTCATATATCACATGTAACATTACAGATATCGTATAACACATACAACATTTCACATATCGTATATCACATTTTCCCATGGAATGGTTTTCAGAAGGAGTCAATAACAAAACCTTAATGCATTACGGCATTTCGTTTGAACCCGGTTTAGACGTGCATAGGATATAATCTATCGCAAATCACATAATGCATATCAAATAGCACATAGCACGTATGGGAACACATAACACATACCACACAACAACATCATAGAACACCTATTAAATAACATATATCATACTTCACATATCTTTTCAACAGAACGTGTATCTACGTACACCCTTGTAAATGTGACAAGGTCTACATTTCACCCAATCATTTAAAGACTTCTTTATATTGGAAATACACCAATTCCAAAGTCACAGGATCATTAGCTACATTTATTTACGAGTTTTATACCTTACAAGAACTTAGACCTTTTTCGGAATTTTATCCAGGGCGAGCTGAATTTATTCAAAAATGTGTGGTTGTGTTTTGATCATGTAACAACGATTTCAGCTATTAATGACTCTCGTACATCTTTCCGAAAAACCACGTTTGTGGCCTTTATATACTTTCGAAATGGCATATGATTTCTGAAATAGACAAAACGTGATAATTTGGCAATAAAGGTAAAAATATTCAACAATAATGAGCCGTTAGATGAAAATTTCAGAAGCCGTGTGCTGATAAACGGATGCACTACTGAATAGTTAACAGTTATGCCTGTGATATTTTCTTGCATTATTGTTGACCTTTTTGCTAATTTAAACGATGAACGCCATGAACCTCCACATAAACTGCGGCAATGAGAGATAAATGGTTGGTGCAGTTGATAGGAATCTTGGCATGATGGTGATGTAGATGATGTGACTGTTAGGGTCGTGATGTTGTGGATGGAATTCTTTGGTTGATGGTGATGTAGGTGATGTGACTGTTGGGCTGATGGTTGTGTAGGTGATGTGACTGTTCAGTTCATGGTGGAGTAAGTGATAGGATAGAAGGGATGACGGTTGTTTAGGTGATGGAAACTTTGGGTTGATGGTGGTTTAGGCGATGAGACTGTTGGGTTCATGGTGGAGTAGGTGATAGGCTAGAAGGGATGACGGTTGTTTAGGTGATGAGACTGTTGTGTTGATGGTGGTTTAGGTGATGAAACTGTTAGGTTCATGGTGGAGTAGGTGATAGGCTAGAAGGGATGACGGTTGTTTAGGTGATGAGACAGTTGTGTTGATGGTGGTTTAGGTGATGAGACTGTTAGGTTGATGGTGGTGTAGGGGATGTGACTGTTTGGTTCATGGTGGAGTAGGTGATAGGATAGAAGGGATGACGGTTGTTTAGTAAACTACGGTTATTACGAACTCAAAGGGGCCACAAATTTTAGTTCGTTATAACCGTAGTTCGTTATAAACATATATACAGCATATACACAGTAGTGGCCAGGATAAAATATAAGTTCGTCATATCCGTCAGTTCGTTAAAGGCGTGTGCGTTATAAACACAGTGGGCTGTATTTAACTTTCCCTTACATGTTAATTTGAAATCTAGATGATATAATCTACCCTTTCAATTTAATAAAGGTGTTAAGCGTTCATTTCTTTAAGCAAAACTCTCTGATTAAATACGGCGCCAATTCCCCACTTTACTGTACAGACATATAGCAAAATCATTCACTGTCTATACAAATTTGCTTAAAAGTATTTTGAGTATAACCTCCAATAAACATTTACCAACATATTAATAAAATGTCTGTCTCTATGAAAACGCTATAATGTATTGATGTAAATTTGCAAAGTATTAAACAAATGGTTAAGAACGTGAGATTGTACGGATTTCCATCAATTGATAACGTGCAGTGACATTTCTTTGGAGAAGTCCTACAGTGATATCGTGTCTCTAACCAAGGTTACAATGCAGCACTTGACGTTTCGGTTTAAAGAATGTCACGGCTCTACACTCACTCTTGCCCTGACCTATTATAAAATACTTGATCTGTAGTAACCGTCTTGACCTTTTGTAAACTGTTTGACCTATCGTAAACTACTTGACCTGTCGTAAACTTCCCGTCCTTTCGTAAACTACTTGACCTTTCGTAAACTACTTGACCTGTCGTAACCTACTTGACTGGTCATAAACTACTAGACTTTTCGTAAACTACTTGACCTTTCGTAAACTACTTGACCTGTCGTAAACTATTTGACCTGTCGTAAACTATTTGACCTGTCGTAAACTATTTGACTTGTGTAAACTACTTGACTTTTCGTAAACTACTTGACCTTTCGTAAACTACTTGACCTCTCGTAAACTACTTGACCTGTCGTAAACTACTTGACCTGTCGTAAACTATTTGACCTGTCGTAAACTATTTGATCTGTCGTAAACTATTTGACCTGTGTAAACTACTTGACCTTTCGTAAACTTCCCGACCTTTCGTAAACTACTTGACCTGTCGTAACCAACTTGACCTGTGTAAACTACTTGACCTGTCGTAACCAACTTGACCTGTCTTAAACTCTCATAATCTTCCCGAATTGCCGTGAACTACTTGATCTGTCGTCAACTACCTGGCCTTTCGTAAAATTGGAATTAATATTAATTATATAATCGACAATGCCCCATCTTTGAATGTTGTTTCAACAAATTCTGAAATTGAACTGTCCCTGCCTTATAATTTACAGTTTCTTTAAAATTATGACCAGCTGATGCAATAGCATCTTTGGATGTTGGAAAACCTAAAATATCCTTAGGAAAATACTTTCTACATAAACTGTCGTCAAAACGAAAGTACACAAGAGGTTTCTTGTCTAACTGCTTCAAGAATGAGGAGATGAAATGGGGTTTAACGTCGCGTCCAAGATTATTGCACTTATATTATTAAACCGGCGACTTATGACTTTGCAGTGACTTTGATGTGATACCCGCATCTGAGTGTCATTTACGCAAAAGTTTCTGTTTTTATTGAAAGAAAGATTCACATGATGCTACAAGGCCAGTAAGCTAAGGCCCCGCGATTCGCAATGCGGAGTTGCGTCCCTTGGACACGCATAAACCTACCATTGTGGTTTCGATCCCGGTCCGCCCCAATTATGTGACTAGGTTTGTCAGCACCACACCCGTGCTCGTGGGTTTCACCGAAGTTGTAAACGTCTGAGACCTGGATCATTTCGGGCTTTCCTTCCACATTAGGCTGACACTGTAACTGGAATACCATTAAAAGTGTTAATCCCAAGCCATTCGTCTCCCAGTCTATAAATGCACTTTCTTTTGGATGTCAGTATATAAAACGTCAACACCAGTGTTTGTTGCCCGACACCACAGTCCTTCAATACGACGGGGCCTGTAAACAACTGAGTCTTGACCAGACACCCAGCGACACGACAGTGCATTTACTGATTTTGTTGAAACTAAAAACAACATGTTTAATTTTGATTTACGCCTGCCGTGTACATGTGCAGAAATTCTGCTGTTTGTAATTAAACACAAACGCATTCTTCAAGATGAACACAGGTCAAAGACTGGTTTGTACGTTCGAACACTAGATTCATCCCGAATTATTTCCCGTGGATTGGCAGCACCATATACTGTTATGATGTTAATGATGATGTTTATGCCTTTCTAATGGAAATATGCCGAAATGGAACTTTCCTTATAAATTAAAAAAATCAGATTATTCATTATCTTCTTTGGCGATATTTTAAACAGTGGCCAGAAACCAGCGACGACTGTCGGGCTGGGTTGATAGGCGAGCTGGCAGAAAAAGGAATGTCTGTCGTCCAAATATAATCCTACCTCTATTCATTATTTGTTTTAATTTTCGACGTAGATGTGAGTTTATGTCTTTATACCAGGAACTAGACATAGTTAAACTCTTACCATTGATCTCGTGCCGCAGTTCTCAGTGTTCCAACCCCCAGGTGACAGAGTCAAACCGGTCATAATCTCACAATCTCTTCAACATAAGACATATCTCACCCTCCATATGAGACATCTCTCACCATCAACATGAGACATCTCTCATCCTCCACATGAGGCATCTCTCACTCTCAACAAGAGCCATCTCTCACCCACCACATGAGACATCTCTCATCCTCCATATGAGACATCTCTCATCCTCCACATGAGGCATCTCTCACCCTCCATATGAGATATCTCTCACCCACCACATGAGACATCTCTCACCCTCCTTGTGAGACATTTCTCACCCTCCATATGAGACATCTCTCTCTCTCAACAAGAGACATCTCTCACCCACCACATGAGACATCTCTCACTCTATATGAGACATCTCTCATCCTCCACATGAGACATCTCTTACCTTCAACATGAGACATCTCTCACCCTCCATATGAGACATCTCTCACACTCCACAAGAGACATCTCCCATCCTCCAAAGGAGACACCTGTTACCCTCCATATGGGACATCTCTTACCCTCCACATGAGACATCTCTCACTCTCCACAAAAGACATCTCTCACCCACCACATGAGACATCTCTCACCCTCCATATGAGACATCTCTCACCTTCAACATGAGACATCTCTCATCCTCCACATGAGGCATCTCTCACTCTCCACAAGAGACATCTCTCACCCTCCATATGAGACATCTCTCACCCTCTGCATGGGACATCTCTCACCCTCCATATGAGACATCTCTCACCTTCAACATGAGACATCTCTCATCCTCCACATGGGACATCTCTCACCCTCCATATGAGACATCTCTCACCCTCAACATGAGACATCTCTCACCCTCCACAAGAGACATCTCTCACCCACCACATGGGACATCTCTCACCCTCAACATGAGACATCTCTCACCTTCAACATGAGACATCTCTCATCCTTCACATGAGACATCTCTCACCCAGGAGAACGTCACAGATCAACAGCAGAACTAAGGACAGTCAGCACAGTGTTACAAATGATAAGAAACCCTTTCGGATGATTATATTTATTCAAGTAAAGAGGAACGTTTCACACAAGGTAAAAAAGTGTATTGTTCAACACAATGCTCGCTTGTTGTTTAACGCCGCAGTCGGCAACAGTTGAGATATATGACGGCGGTCAGTAAATAACGTAGTCTGGACCAGACAATCCTGTAATTGACATCTCAAGCATCGATCTTCGCAGTTGAGTCAGCGAGCCTGACCACACGAACCCGTAAGCCGCCTCTTATGACAAGCATAGTCGCCTCAAACAAGGATGGGTTGCTGAAGACCTATTCTCCACCTCGGGTGCGTTGCATAGAGCCGGTCTTTGATGTAGAAATCGTCTTTCTGTTATTTTACATCTTCTCGAGGCAAAGGAGTTAACTGACTGAAAAAGTCCTCGGAAAGATGGTTATTGTACGGAAATCTCTCCTGATAACAGGAGCAGGTTTGATTCTACTGCGAAGTGTAATTAATGCAATGAGACGAACATGCCTAGGTGTCGTTTTTTAGGCCTACAACGCTCAGCTGCAGGTCTCGTTGCAACCCTACCAGTTTGGCATTTACAGGCCATGAGTCAACAATAACCACTTCTAATATTCTTAATGACGTAATGTTTGACGTCACACACGAAAGTAAATGAAACGTTTTGATTGGTCAATGTCAACAAATGATTGACAGTTGAACACAGACACATCCATGGATTCTTAAGGCTTGCGGTATAATTTTGAGAAATTTGTTGGATGTTCACGTGAACAGATTCAAGCATCTGCTACGGCCGATACGTTTGTATCAATCCTTGTGTCATCGTCGCCAATCTTTGTCATTTCCAACTGGGTTTGATTAACGTTACGCGAGCAGGTGACTTTCTCAATCAACATGGTTCTGTGGTGGATTGAAGATATGATGAGGACATAGAAATTCATCGCGTAGTTTACCAAACGAATAACGTTAAACACGTGCCACAAGCTTCCGAAGAGCCCGATGAGGTACCTGTCGGTGTCTGACAGGATTAGTATGTATTCAATCAGGGACACAATCGCGAATGGAACAAGAGCCACGGCGGAAAGAATCGACACCAAGACGATGCTTATGGTGATTTTTCGGATATTGGTTTCCCTGATATCTAACGCGCCCCTTACAGATCGACACAGGGTGACAACAGTGTGAATATTGAAACCAAACAAGAGCGACACGGGCAGCAATGATTCCATTATAGCAGACAGGAACATATAATAATGTTCAAGATCGGGGTTAACCATTCCACAGATGAAGCCTTGCTCTGTTTCTTCATCAGGCACGTATTCCGCTGCGTGGACTAGGGGTGATACCATTACCATGGCAACAACACATATGATTGCGCTTACGGCTAAAGAGACAAGGGGCCTACAGATGCGTTCAGTGTATTTTGGATGAACTACGGTAACGTAGCGATCGACCGACATTGACATAAGCAACCAGGGTGATATTATCAAAGAGCACTCAAGTATGAATGTCCACAGTTTGCACACTGCGATGTGGCTGTTCAAGAAGGTCTCCAAGAGGTCATGCATATGGTCAAGGGTGTCCTCTGCTGCAACCATAGCAAGAACCAGGGAGTCGAAGACGGCAAGAAACGTCATGTAGATTGCGTACGAGTATCGGCGTTGCGTCTTTGACGTCATCAACACAATGGTCAAAATGTTACCAACGATGCCAAGGGCGGCAATGATGTCAATGGACAAGACATAGGGCAGCGTCTGGACTCGGAAGCCGGTGTATTCGTTGAAGATTTCGTCGCGGTCGTCGTTGGTGTAGGAGCTGTTTGCCGTCGAAGTTGATGGTGGGGAGGTGTAAGACAGGGATGTAGTTTCGGTCGACATCTCTCCTTGTGATTTATTTTTTTACTGTAAATCAAAAAGCAAATACTCATCATTCTGTGATGACATTAAGTGAATGTTAAGTCGAGGAAAGGTTCAGTCAACAACCGGTATTAGCAATATTTTGTTTGTTGTTTAACGCCGCACTTAGCAATGTTCCAGCTATAGGACGGCGGTCAGTAAATAATCGGCGGTCAGTGAACATCGCTCTACGCAATTGGGATACGATGGCATGCATCAACCGAGTCAGCGAGCCTGACCACCCGATACCGTTAGTCGCCTCTTACAAGCATAGTCGCTTTTTACGACAAGCATGGGTTGCTGAAGACCTATTCTACCCCGGATCTTCACGGGTCCAGTATAAACAGCAACGTGACAGCTTTTGGGTGTGGTTCAACATATCGATTGGAAATTCAGAACCCACAAGAGTTTAGGAATAAGTTTTATTGATTTGGGAGTTAAACAAATTACCCAGTGACTAAGACGGTTAACAAGGAAAAGTAGTAAAAGGCTATTGCTATTGCGCATATTTCCACACAACACATGGGCATGCTCAAAGCGCTATTATTACCCCGGTCACCGGATCAGTGTGCACTCAACGATCCTTCTCAGCTCCCTGTTGAGTATGCAACCCAAGCTGCCTGTTAGGCGCTAGAAGACTAACATCCGCATTACCATCTCATCCTACCTGGTACACATTCAATGCTGGGTGAACAGAGTCACATTTCGAACAAAGTCACTTGCCCAAGGAGACGCCACATGTCTACATGTGCTTCAGTGTGGGGAAGGGGCGGTCGGGTAGCCTAGTGGTTAAAGCGTGTGCTCGTCACGCCGAAGACCCGGGTTCGATTCCCGACATGGGTACAATGTGTGAAGCCCATTACTGGTGTCCCCCGCCGTGATATTGCTGGAATATTGCTAAAAGCGGCGTAAAACCATACTCACTCAATCACTCACTCAGTGTGGGACAGGACCGATGCTAGAAACTCTCAGGAGCCAAGCTGTCGAAAGGCGGTCACCCATGCAACTACTTTCCGCGAAAGTATGGAATGATACAACAAGCAGTGGCTGAAACGAGAAGTGCAAGCCGAGAGCTCCAAGTTCAGACTGGGGTTTCTGAGTTCCAGTCAGCACCTCTCAACCTTCAGCAAGCAGGACATCGAAGGTGAGACGCAGGATCTTACCAATCGGAGAACCACAGAGCGTGCACGTGTGGGATTTGCCACAGGGTGTCTGGGGTCCAAACGGGTATAGACCGCCTCCGTGGTCTAGTGGTAGAGCGTCCGCCCGGAGAGCGGAAGGTCCGGGGTTCGATCCCCGGCCGCGTCATACCAAAAGACGTTAAAAGAAGGTACTTGTTGTTACCCTGTCTGGCGCTCGGCATTAAGGGGCTAAAACAAGGACTGGTCGGCTCGGAGTCAGTATACTGTGTCTGAGTGGGGTGTTTATGTTAAACTGCGGCATGGTATCTCAATGGGCTAGCACTATAAATCGGCATCAGTCCGGACTAGTACAAGCAGCCACACACACACGCGTGCATGCACGTCGCTATATAAGTGCAATAATCTTGGACACGACGTTAAATCCAATTTCACCTCACCTCACCTCCAAACGGGTCCAATCTGATTCGAACACACAATAATGGGATTCAGGCACATGTAAGGGAAGCAACTCTACACAGCGAATTTCAACGCCTCAGATGATTTAGTCAGCCGTACCCCTCAGATCGACAAAATAACACTTTTACCTCTCCTGACTCAGGTTATAATATCTATATCCAGCCATAAAACAAATTCTATCACATGTAAGCGTATGAGTGCCACAGTCTAGAAGGAAATATCATCTAAGTAGAACAAACTTTCACAATATATATGTAACAAAATTTTGTCGAGAAATCAACGCTAGTTCTAGGTCAGTTATGCATAACCTCTGGCTTAATTAATAATGGACCCGTGAAGATCCAGGGTAGAAGAGGTCTTCAGCAACCCATGCTTGCCGTAAAAGGTGAATATGCTTGTCGTCAGAGGCGACTAACGGAATCGGGTGGTCAGGCTCGCTGACTTGGTTAATGCATGTCATCGTATCCCAATTGCGTGGAACGATGCTCATGATATCAATCACAGTATTGTCTGGTCCAGACTCGATTATATACAGACAGCCGTCATATAACTGGAATATTGCTGAGTGCGGCGTTAAACAACAAACAATCAACAATAATAATGACCGATTTGTTTGCCTTTCTACCTTTCCATGTCTTCATTGTGATATTATCTAAACATTGCATAAAGTAAATCTTCATTTCAGTGTGTCGAAGTCATACTCTGTTACAATCGTAATAAAGAGAGTTAAGCACAAAATGTTCTCCAAACCACAACCAAATAAACAGTTATAGGTCATTATTCAAAATTTTAGCGAAATTATATATCAACCATAACATGGTTAAAGCCAGAGGAATATGTTGATTCTCATGATTTCTTCATTTAAGAGGTAAAACGTGAATATGAACGGATGAGAATCAATCAAACTATAGACCTATATCAAACCCAATACTCGTCATCATCCTATAAAGCACTGAGAGTACAATTCTGCAGTTAGTGTTTTTATTTTAGCACTGATAGTTTGAAAAGGTTGAAATGACCTCAGTATGTTGTAATGACCTCAGTATGTTGTAATGACCTCAGTATGTTGTAATGACCTCAGTATGTTGTAATGACCTCAGTATGTTGTAATGACCTCAGTATGTTAAAATGACCTCAGTATGTTGAAATGACCTCAGTATGTTGTAAACAAACGGAAAAGGCCAAATGAAAGTCAACAACCAACATGCTTCCAAACATTTAATTAAATCATTAGAATCATCGATATAGATGTAAGTATCATCTATGTCGATTAAGTGTCATCTATGTAGATGTAAGTATTATCTATGTAGCTGTAACTATCATCTATGTCGATTAAGTATCATCTATGTAGATGTAAGTATTTTCTATGTAGATGTAAGTATCATCTATGTCGATTAAGTATCATCTATGTAGATGTAAGTATCATCTATGTAGCTGTAAGTATCATCTACGTAGCTGTAAGTATCATCTATGTAGCTGTAAGTATCATCTATGTCGATTAAGTATCATCTATGTAGATGTAAGTATCATCTATGTAGATGTAAGTATCATCTATGTAGCTGTAAGTATCATCTATGTCGATTAAGTATCATCTATGTAGATGTAAGTATTATCTATGTAGATGTAAGTATCATCTATGTCGATTAAGTATCATCTACGTAGCTGTAAGTATCATCTACGTAGCTGTAAGTATCATCTATGTCGATTAAGTATCATCTACGTAGCTGTAAGTATTATCTACGTAGATGTAAGTATCATCTATGTCGATTAAGTATCATCTATGTAGATGTAAGTATCATCTATGTAGATGTAAGTAGCATCTACGTAGATGTAAGTATCATCTATGTAGATGTAAGTAGCATCTACGTAGATGAAAGTATCATCTATGTACATGTAAGTATCATCTATGTAGCTGTAAGTATCATCTATGTAGATGTAAGTATCATCTATGTAGCTGTAAGTATTATCTATGTAGATGTAAGTAGCATCTACGTAGATGAAAGTATCATCTATGTACATGTAAGTATCATCTATGTAGCTGTAAGTATCATCTATGTCGATTAAGTATCATCTATGTAGATGTAAGTATCATCTATGTGGCTGTAAGTAGCATCTATGTAGATGTAAGTAGCATCTACGTAGATGTAAGTATCATCTATGTAGCTGTAAGTATCATCTATGTACATGTAAGTATCATCTATGTAGCTGTAAGTATCATCTATGTAGCTGTAAGTATCATCTATGTCGATTAAGTATCATCTATGTAGATGTAAGTATCATCTATGTAGATGTAAGTATCATCTATGTAGATGTAAGTAGCATCTACGTAGATGTAAGTATCATCTACGTAGATGTAAGTATAATCTACGTAGATGTAAGTATCATCTATGTACATGTAAGTATCATCTATGTTCATCTAGGTATCATCTATGTACATGTAAGTATCATCTATGTAGATGTAAGTATCATCTATGTAGATGTAAGTATCATCTACGTAGATGTAAGTATAATCTACGTAGATGTAAGTATCATCTATGTACATGTAGGTATCATCTATGTACATGTAGGTATCATCTATGTAGATGTAAGTATCATCTATGTAGATGTAAGAAGCATCTACGTAGATGTAAGTATCATCTATGTAGCTGTAAGTATTATCTATGTAGATGTAAGTATCATCTATGTAGATGTAAGTATCATCTATGTACATGTATGTATCATCTTTGTCGATGTAAGTATCAACCTATGTAGATGTAAGTATCATCTATGTAGATGAAGGTGTCATCTATGTAGATGTAAGTATTATCTATGTACATGTAAGTATCATCTATGTACATGTAGGTATCATCTATGTACATATAGGTATCATCTATGTAGATGTAAGTATCATCTATGTAGCTGTAAGTATCATCTTTGTACATGTAAGTATCATCTATGTAAATGTAGGTATCATCTATGTACATATAGGTATCATCTATGTAGATGTAAGCATCATCTATGTAGATGTAAGTATTATCTATGTACATGTAAGTATCATCTATGTACATGTAGGTATCATCTATGTACATATAGGTATCATCTATGTAGATGTAAGTATCATCTATGTAGCTGTAAGTATCATCTTTGTACATGTAAGTATCATCTATGTAAATGTAGGTATCATCTATGTACATATAGGTATCATCTATGTAGATGTAAGCATCATCTATGTAGATGTAGGTATCATCTATGTACATGTAGGTATTATCCATGTACATATAGGTATCATCTATGTAGATGTAAGTATCATCTATGTAGCTGTAAGTATCATCTATGTAGTTGTAAGTATCATCTATGTACATGTAAGTATCATCTATGTAGATGTAAGTATCATCTATGTAGCTGTAAGTATCATCTATGTAGATGTAAGTATCATCTATGTAGATATAGGTATCATCTATGTAGCTGTAAGTATCATCTATGTAGCTGTAAGTATTATCTTTGTAGATGTAAGTAGCATCTATGTAGATGAAAGTATCATCTATGTACATGTAAGTATCATCTATGTAGCTGTAAGTATCATCTATGTAGATGAAAGTATCATCTATGTGGCTGTAAGTATTATATATGTAGATGTAAGTAGCATCTACGTAGATGAAAGTATCATCTATGTAGCTGTAAGTATTATCTATGTAGATGTAAGTATCATCTATGTAGATGTAAGTAGCATCTACGTAGATGTAAGTATCATCTACGTAGATGTAAGTATAATCTACGTAGATGTAAGTATCATCTATGTACATGTAGGTATCATCTATGTACATGTACGTATCATCTATGTAGATGTAAGAAGCATCTACGTAGATGTAAGTATCATCTATGTAGCTGTATTATCTATGTAGATGTAAGTATCATCTATATAGATGTAAGTATCATCTATCTACATGTATGTATCATCTTTGTAGATGTAAGTATCAACCTATGTAGATGTAAGTATCATCTATGTAGATGAAGGTATCATCTATGTACATGTAGGTATTATCTATGTACATGTAAGTATCATCTATGTACATGTAGGTATCATCTTTGTAGATGTAAGTATCAACCTATGTAGATGTAAGTATCATCTATGTAGATGTAAGTATTATCTATGTACATGTAAGTATCATCTATGTACATATAGGTATCATCTATGTAGATGTAAGTATCATCTATGTAGCTGTAAGTATCATCTTTGTACATGTAAGTATCATCTATGTAAATGTAGGTATCATCTATGTACATATAGGTATCATCTATGTAGATGTAAGCATCATCTATGTAGATGTAGGTATCATCTATGTACATATAGGTATCATCTATGTAGATGTAAGTATCATCTATGTAGCTGTAAGTATCATCTATGTAGTTGTAAGTATCATCTATGTACATGTAAGTATCATCTATGTAGATGTAAGTATCATCTATGTAGCTGTAAGTATCATCTATGTAGATGTAAGTATCATCTATGTAGATATAGGTATCATCTATGTACATGTAAGTATCATCTATGTAGCTGTAAGTATTATCTTTGTAGATGTAAGTAGCATCTATGTAGCTGTAAGTATTATCTTTGTAGATGTAAGTAGCATCTACGTAGTCTATGTAGCTGTAAGTATCATCTATGTAGTTGTAAGTATCATCTATGTACATGTAAGTATCATCTATGTAGATGTAAGTATCATCTATGTAGCTGTAAGTATCATCTATGTAGATGTAAGTATCATCTATGTAGATATAGGTATCATCTATGTAGCTGTAAGTATCATCTATGTAGCTGTAAGTATCATCTATGTAGATGAAAGTATCATCTATGTGGCTGTAAGTATTATCTATGTAGATGTAAGTAGCATCTACGTAGATGAAAGTATCATCTATGTACATGTAAGTATCATCTATGTACATGTAAGTATCATCTATGTACATATAGGTATCATCTATGTAGATGTAAGTATCATCTATGTAGCTGTAAGTATCATCTTTGTACATGTAAGTATCATCTATGTAAATGTAGGTATCATCTATGTACATATAGGTATCATCTATGTAGATGTAAGCATCATCTATGTAGATGTAGGTATCATCTATGTACATATAGGTATCATCTATGTAGATGTAAGTATCATCTATGTAGCTGTAAGTATCATCTATGTAGTTGTAAGTATCATCTATGTACATGTAAGTATCATCTATGTAGATGTAAGTATCATCTATGTAGCTGTAAGTATCATCTATGTAGATGTAAGTATCATCTATGTAGATATAGGTATCATCTATGTACATGTAAGTATCATCTATGTAGCTGTAAGTATTATCTTTGTAGATGTAAGTAGCATCTATGTAGCTGTAAGTATTATCTTTGTAGATGTAAGTAGCATCTACGTAGTCTATGTAGCTGTAAGTATCATCTATGTAGTTGTAAGTATCATCTATGTACATGTAAGTATCATCTATGTAGATGTAAGTATCATCTATGTAGCTGTAAGTATCATCTATGTAGATGTAAGTATCATCTATGTAGATATAGGTATCATCTATGTAGCTGTAAGTATCATCTATGTAGCTGTAAGTATCATCTATGTAGATGAAAGTATCATCTATGTGGCTGTAAGTATTATCTATGTAGATGTAAGTAGCATCTACGTAGATGAAAGTATCATCTATGTACATGTAAGTATCATCTATGTAGCTGTAAGTATCATCTATGTAGCTGTAAGTATTATCTATGTAGATGTAAGTATCATCTATGTAGATGTAAGTAGCATCTACGTAGATGTAAGTTTCATCTACGTAGATGTAAGTATAATCTACGTAGATGTAAGTATCATCTATGTACATGTAGGTATCATCTATGTACATGTACGTATCATCTATGTAGATGTAAGAAGCATCTACGTAGATGTAAGTATCATCTATGTAGCTGTAAGTATTATCTATGTAGATGTAAGTATCATCTATATAGATGTAAGTATCATCTATCTACATGTATGTATCATCTTTGTAGATGTAAGTATCAACCTATGTAGATGTAAGTATCATCTATGTAGATGAAGGTATCATCTATGTACATGTAGGTATTATCTATGTACATGTTAGTATCATCTATGTACATGTAGGTATCATCTTTGTAGATGTAAGTATCAACCTATGTAGATGTAAGTATCATCTATGTAGATGTAAGTATTATCTATGTACATGTAAGTATCATCTATGTACATGTAGGTATCATCTATGTACATATAGGTATCATCTATGTAGATGTAAGTATCATCTATGTAGCTGTAAGTATCGTCTTTGTACATGTAAGTATCATCTATGTAAATGTAGGTATCATCTATGTACATATAGGTATCATCTATGTAGATGTAAGCATCATCTATGTAGATGTAGGTATCATCTATGTACATGTAGGTATTATCTATGTACATATAGGTATCATCTATGTAGATGTAAGTATCATCTATGTAGCTGTAAGTATCATCTATGTAGTTGTAAGTATCATCTATGTACATGTAAGTATCATCTATGTAGATGTAAGTATCATCTATGTAGCTGTAAGTATCATCTATGTAGATGTAAGTATCATCTATGTAGATATAGGTATCATCTATGTAGCTGTAAGTATCATCTATGTAGCTGTAAGTATTATCTTTGTAGATGTAAGTATCATCTATGTACATATAAGTATCATCTATGTACCTGTAAGTATCATCTATGTACATATAGGTATCATCTATGTAGATGTAAGCATCATCTATGTAGCTGTAAGTATCATCTATGTAGATGTAGGTATCATCTATGTAGATGTAAGCATCATCTATGTAGATGTAGGTATCATCTATGTAGATGTAAGTATCATCTATGTAGCTGTAAGTATCATCTATGTAGATGTAAGTATCATCTATGTAGCTCTAAGTATCATCTATGTAGCTGTAAGGATCATCTTTGTAGCTGTAAGTATCATCTATGTAGATGTAAGTATCATCTATGTAGCTGTAAGTATCATCTATGTAGCTGTAAGTATCATCTATGTAGATGTAAGTATCATCTATGTACATGTAAGTATCATCTATGTAGCTGTAAGGATCATCTTTGTAGATGTAAGTATTATATATGTAGATGTAAGTATCATCTATGTAGATGTAGGTATCATATATGTACATGTAAGTATCATCTATGTAGATGTAAGTATTATCTATGTAGATGTAAGTATTATCTACATAGATGATAAAATATTTAGACTGTGGCACTGATACGCTTCCATAATAGCAGATATATTTACAAATTTGTTGCCTTAATGTAAGACACAAACACAGAATCAACACTACTCACAGAGTTCGGTTAGGCGCTTCCGAGTGCAGCTAGTGTTCTTTGGTCAACATGTCGATGTTGAATGTATATGCGCGCGCATCCGCTCATGAGTTGTCTAAATGGCTCGGCAGTTGACAACATGGCGTAGTATTTTCATTCCTGTCACTTCTCGTCATAATAAATATTTTATCGTATAATATAACTGTCTGTGTTGTGGTAACATATTTTATTTAGTTCAGAATAATACCTTAAATTCCCCCTTTGACACCAAACCCATTCTCATTATTTGTAAAATATATATTAATATATACATGATATTACGCTTTAATAGCCTTTCACAAAATTTCTACCTCTTCGAACAATTACGGTGTAACCGTTGCATCGTGACGGCGAATATTAATATTGCCAGAGCATCTATCATTGTATGACATTAACAACACAAAATAGAAGAATATATCAAACAATGCTGGATGTAGAGCGAAACAATTTGGCCAGTCCTCCAAAAATATTTTCCCAAATTTGCCGTTTTACAAAAGCGAACAGACTGTGTGTGTTGAACTGTGATGCTATTTGATAGTGTTGATTAATAATGCACGAGTTACAATTGTACATCGTATGGGAAATATTGCGAGTTTTCTAAACACTGATCGATATCAGATGAAAGAATATATTGCATGCCAAGCTGTTATTACTTGGTGTAAGTTGAAACTGGTTGGGGGGGGGAAACTGATGGCGGGAGTTGATTGTGCAGCTGTGCCCAGAACAATTGTGGCAGTCGAGTGATTTCATGCCAACAATTCCGTATGGCATTTTACAACACAAAAGACTGAATACACCAACACGATACATTTGGCCGTCTCTGGTTGTGAACGATCGTTCAAATTATCTTTCTTTGAAAATATGTAGTTTTTGTATATATTTGTTTTAATTTCATTTCAGGTTTTTACATGTATTAATTATATATAATTAGTTGTTAGTTTTAGTCAGTTATAGCAAAGTGTATCTGAACTGTTTTACCTATTGTGATTCGCTCGTCACGCCGAAGACCCGGGTTCGATTCCCGACATGGGCACAATGTGTGAAGCCCATTTCTGGTGTCCCCCGCCGTGATATTGCTTGAATATTGCTAAAAGCGGCGTAAAACCATACTCCCTCACTTCCTATCGTGAAACTGCATGCTTTGATGACACTGCATACTTTCTCAGGACATGAGCTGACAAAACTGTTCAGAGAAGCAGAGAATAAGGAGCTTCATTCCATTTACAACTCGCCCTTGTCGATGCAGAGTACAAGTTCTTTGAAGGCGTTGGGGCAAATGGAACAAGCTCAGATACTGCCATATTTAAAGACTGTGGATTTTATGAGGCCATGGAACAACGTCCTGCTTTGCTTTCGGAAGCTGAACCACTCCCAAATGACCATAAGCCCATTCCTTTGCTTTGGTAGGAGATAACGCTTATGGCCTTCAAAAAAAACCTGCCCCATCCAATGCATGGCCAAAGAATATTAAACTCCAAAGACAACTAACAGACCGCAACACCAAAACTGTCATATGCCTACAATACACCAGGAATGGGCAACATAAAGCCATGAGAACGTAACCAAAAACTAAGGAATAGCATCATAAATCTGAAAGCACGCTGCCGAAAACATGGAAACGGCAACACTAAAATTCTCAGACCGCAGCATTCGTGACCAACCCGTGTTATTCCGGGACAAGCCGAATGTAGGTGACGAAAAGGGGCGAGTGGTGACGAATGATACCGCAGCCTTCCAAAACAAGACATGCGCAGAACAAGTAGGATGTTGACAGTCATCTCATGAGGATTAACGCACAGCGAGTACATTTACATCTCACAGCGGTAATACAGCAAAACACATGATCTCAAATAGTCTATATTGGCGCTGTGAGGTATACATTTACTCGCTGTTTGTTGATCCTCATGACATGACTGTCAACCTTCTTCTCGCCGCTCCTCGCTTCCATGCAACGACACCCGCACAGAGTGGAATGCATCGTGATGGCATGTTGTATGATGCAGAGCCTCCTGACGATGAGGTACCCACGACAAGCGGCACAGATGATGGACATCGAAGACCCCAAACTCCATGAAGAGCTCCTGGTACCTGGAGGGGTGGTGGAACTTTGTTGGCATTGTCGACAGAGCCGCAACGCTTCTGCCAAGGTGGCCAAGATTCAGGGGAACTACCTCAAGGATTATTGCAGCTCCCCCATAATGCCCCCCTTTCACTACGACCACGAATATCCCGAAACACCCCGAATCGGAAACTTTCGAAATTCGTGATGATTCGGCCAATAATGCAAACTTTCGTGGCTAATCGGGTTGAAACATGAAGAATGCCAGGAATGGGTTAAGAAACGTACGAATTACAAGATTTATGTACGGATCATGCACGAATTGTAAGAATCACCTACGACTATGTTACGAATATGCCGAAAGTTGTTCTTACTTAATTCTTACATGATTCGTAGTTGACTCGGGACATTCGTGACTGTTTCGGGATGTTTTCGGGTTGAGGACAAGAAAATTTGGGAGCCACGAATCGCTAAGAATAGCCAAGAATGTAAAAGAATTCTAAGCTGTTACGCAACTGTTACGGAACATAAGAATTAATTACGAATGGATTACGATACAGCCACGAAAGTCTAATTCGGCGACCCTTCCACGAAAGTTTTTGACAAACAAAAACTTTCTCGCCGATTCAACGAACTCCCGCGAACTGTACGAATGTTTGGGAATTAAATAAGATTCATTTAAGAATTTCAAGAAATGATTGAGATTTATCTACGAACATGAAAAATTCGGGGTGATTCAGGATATTCGTGGTCGTAGTGAAATGGATGCATTAGCCAGGACATCCGTATTAAATAGTGCGTTTCCCATTTTCGACATACACTGTTATTGGACGCCACATGTAATGAGAAATATAGCTGCAAAACAAGTTATTTTTTAATTAATTACACAATTTCTTTTTTATCCCACAATATACCAGCAATATCGCAGCGGGAGCTCACTTGAAACTTCCCGTGCAGGTAGGCTAAATACGCGGGGGGAAAATGGGCAAAGTGCATTTAAAGTTTCCAATACTCGCCACAAAGAACATGAATGAATCCATCACCATCCTTCTCTCGGCTCATCCTGATTAAAATATTTCTGAAGATGATAGGTACAGATGGTTTTATTCACTATTAAACATATACTGAATGTTTTTAAATGTCAGACTGAAAATATGCAGCTCTGTGTGTCAAGGTAACCAGTAAGGGCTCATGGATTTGTGTGTTTGTTTGGTTGACGTCGCTCTCAGCAATAGCCTATAATATGACTGCAGTGTGTAATTAATCAACCGTCTAGGTATGTCCACGTGGGAAGTGTGTTGAGGTGTCTGGACTGCCCGTCTTTCAATATATAAACTTATTTGTTGATATCATATTTCTCCAAATATGTGCAGTATCTCGTAGGTGTGCTAATCTGCTTATTAAATGTAAGATCATGTCCATCGACTATATGGGTGAGTATGGTTTTACGCCGCTTTTAGCAATATTCCAGGAATATCACGGCGGGGGACACCAGAAATGGGCTTCACACATTGTGCCTATGTCGGGAATCGAACCCGGGGTCTTCGGCGTCAGGACCGAACGCTTTAACCGTGACTAGGCTACCCGACCGCCCCCGACTACAGTAAACTACGGTTATAACGAACACGCTTATAACGAACTGACCGATATAACGAACCTATTTTTAGTCCCGGGTTGTATATATGCTGTATATATGCTTATAACGAACTACGGTAATAACGAACTAAAATTAGTGGTCCCTTTGATTTCGTTATAACCGTAGTTTACTGTATATGAAGTGAGCGAGTTAGTGAGTGAGCTGGTTAAACACTGCTTTGAACAGAATTCCAGGTATACAAGGGAGCGTCTGCTTCATGTGGGAGCAAAGCACGAAGTAATGCAAGTCTGAGATGTTTACCACTTTAGTGAAACCCACCAGGGTATGGTGCTGACCATATTAAAACATAATGAGAGCGGAATTCAACCCACTTTGGTTTCTGGGTGCTGTAGGACCCGCGCCCAAGGAGCCCAAGGAACGCAACTTGGCACAGCAAATTGCTGTGAATTAAAGGACTGGGCTATCCATGCCCTCAGGAAGTAACTTAGGGTGAACGAATGTTGTTTGTTAGTTGGAGAGGTCGTCGGGTACCGAAGTGGTTGAAACGTCCACTGGTCATATACAGAGAAGGCTGGTTCAATTTTCTACATGGTGAAGCTCATTCCTGTTGTCCCCCAGGATATATAGCCGAGTCCTTACAAGCAGCATAGAACTGTGAAGATCCAGTTAAGAATTGGTCTTACCCAATCCCGGCTTGCCATAAAAGGTGACTATGCTTGTCATAAGAGGTGACTAACCGACTGCTGACTTGGTTGATGCATGTCATCTTATCCCAATTGCATGGATCGATGCTCATGATGTCTATCACTGGACTGTCTGGTCCAGACTCGATTTACAGACTGCCGTCATATAGCTGGAATATTGCTGTGTGTGGCTTTAAACAACAAACAAACAAACAAACAAGCAGCATACATCCATCACCCATTTGATGGCTCTTATTCAGCCACTGGGTTCTTTCCGAAAAGGTCTTTGTCCTCAGTCTTTTAAAATATGGGAGTTATGCAGTTATGTCTTAATGCAAAAATCGCTTCCTGGTATGGGGCCCTGGTACCAATAGGGGCTCATCTCAGAATTTCACAAACCATAATTTTACTGATCTTCATTTATTTAATATACATTGAAACCAGCATGTTTTGACACAAATCTGCCTGTACATTCTACTGGTTGGCATTGTGAGACTGTCCGTTAGATATGGTGATGGTCAGAGCTTGTGGTGCAATGATGCTCAAAAGCTCTCTCGGGAACGAAGACATATCCACCGATATTGTTGGTTCAATTGTTGACTCTCCACTGTTATTTCTGCTCCGTGTGATGTTATCTGGCAAGGTTAAAGGTGACACAAGGTCAAAGTCACCATGTCTGTTTATAACAAATGACCTTAACATTTCATCGAGTTCGCTTGAAGGTGTCTGATGACCACTTCTTAATGTCTCACTGTTTGTGTTGGGGACTGATTGAACGACTAAAGCACAATTGACTCCTTGTGAATTTGGACCCGTTTGACCTTGATTTGAGTCATGACCTTGACCTTGACCTACACTTTGGAGTTGAGCAAAATCACCTAACCCATGGCTCTCAAGTTCATTGAAGTTGATCTTGGTGGAATCTTCTGCTGCAGCATGCTGGGCAAGTAAAACAGAAGATGGCTTCTGTTCTTGACTGTGTTGACGAACTTCATTTAAACCATGAAAGGAAACTGGCCCACTGGAGGTTTCAACTGATGAGTTAACTGTGCTACACTGAGTGACATTTTCAGACTGGGGAGCAGTATTAGATACACCAGTTGGACCAGAATTCTTATGTTTGTGTCTTTGCAATGAATGTGCAGCATTACATGGCTCCTTACAATGAGGCAATTCAATCTGAGTTTCAGCGGATCTTGATCCTTGTGAAGAAGCTGTAGACGCGTCCTTCCCCAATGACTGACTCTGTTGAGATGAAACCGCACTGTTTTCCTTGGTCTCTGGATGGGGTGCTAATTTGTTCACCTGTTTCTGTTGGATGGAAGGCTCGGTATGTCGCTGAGACTGGACAAACATCTGCTGAAGCTGCTGAAGCTGCTGAAGACTTATAGGACTTCCAACGGGGAGCCGAGCAGGAACACAGATATTCTGAATGCCTCTCTGTTGCATCTGTTCAGGGTTCAAGGGGGCTACAGTTACAAACTGGGGCAGCTGGGGCCTGCTTGAGTCTTGGGGATAAAATGGCACCTGCTGGTTCTGTGGCTGTTGTGGTCTTTGAGCTGGCTGAATTACTGGAATTCTCAGACCCTGCAGGTTGGGACGAATGTTCTGTAACTGAATCGGCTGAGCAACAACTTGAGATAGCTGTTGTGGGTGAAGATTAATTACTTGATGGATCTGGTTGCCAATCTTAACCATATTTGACTGTTCAGAACTTGGAACATTCTGGATGTGTGTTATTTCATCTTTGGTAAAATGTCTCAACACATTCTGTTCTGAAATTTGAATGGTTTGACCAGTCATTTCAGTGGATTGATTCGTCTTTGTCAGCGGAGTATGTGCTGACCTGGGCTTCTGATCAGACACGAGCTGTGAGGATGTGTTTTGAACTTCAGCTTGGGTCGTGGACGTCACAGCATTAGATTTGATGGGACTTGACTGCACCACATACTGAGGTTGAGCGAGTTTAATCTGAATATTTGGTGCTTGCAGATGCAAAACATTTGGCTGAGGGTTACCAAGAACTGGAACCTGAAACTGAGGATGACCATTGCTGAACTGCTGCTGGCTCTGAACGGTCACCTGTTGCCCTGAGCGACCAGCAGTCAACTGCTGGACCTGGGAGAGTACTGAGCTCTTTTGTGTGTTTGATGTAGTGGAGGTTGGTGTCGTCTGACCTTGAGTCAGAGCGACAGTTTCCAGCTGGGTGTTCTGGGAATTCGGGGTGTGCGTCTGGGGAAGCTGGTTCAGGGTGCTCTGGGCTACATTAGCCTGGAACTGAGGGCTGTTGGCAGCAGCTACTTGGAACTGCCCCAGCTGGGACAGCATCCCCTGTACCGGGGCCAGACTCTGGAGAAAACATTGAAAAGCCAGTAAGACAGTTATCATGGTTATCGCTTCAAGTGATAGGATGTCTTCAGATTTGGTATGGTTTGTTTAACGCCGCACTCAGCAATATTCCAGCTATCTGTGGGCGGTCTGTGTCTGTAAATAATCGAGTCTGGACCAGACAATCAGTGATTGACATCATGAGCATCGATTCACATGACTGGGATACGATGAAATGCATCAACCAAGTAAGTGAGCCTGACCACCCAATCCCATTTGTCACCTCTTACGACAAGCATAGTCGCCATTTACGGCAAGCATGGGTTGCTGAAGACCTATTCTACCCCGGATTTTCATGTGATAACCTGTGGCTGCAAGTACCTAGATTTGGATAAACATCACAATAAATAAGTCTGTGTCTTCTGAAGCCATTTGAACTGTATTTCAATCATGTCTCAGCATATGAGTACAATACAAGAGATAAATCCTGGCACTGGTCATACCAACATTTACCATGATGTTTGTGAAACCCACAAGTACAGGCACTGTGCTGACAAACCAAGGGGATAATCTGGGACTTGAACCCATTGCCTGATGATCACGCCAGCAAAGGTGAGGTGAGGTGAAATGGGGTTTAACGTCGTGTCCAAGATTATTGCACTTATATAGCGACGTGCATTTACATGTGTGTGTGTTTGTGTGGCTGCTTGTACTAGTCCGGACTGATGCCAATTTATAGTGCTCGCTCACTGAGATACCATGCCTCAGTTTAAATGAATACCCCACTCAGACACAGTATACTGACTCCGAGCCGACCAGTCCTTGTTTAAGCCCCTTAATGCCGAGCGCCAGACAGGGTAACAACAAGTTCCATCTTTTAACGTCTTTTGGTATGACGCGGTCGGGGATCGAACCCTGGACCTTCCGCTCTCCGGGCGGACGCTCCACCACGGAGGCGGTCCGCCAGTAAAGGTGCACACATAGTGCAGGTGTTTTGTGAATTGAGCACTTTGTGATGAGCATGAAACCTGGCACAGTTGTAGGTTGTTGAAGATATGAATACACAATATTGGTTTAGTCAATAGCTCTTGATTAAGTCATAAAGATATCCTGAAGAACAAAATTATTATTCTTTTCATTTTTTCTCACTTTAGGTCACCCAATTACAGTTATGTCCTTTACAGATGCAGAGTCGAGTATATACTTTCCAAATTGTTAGATTGTGGCCTTGTGGGTCTCTTTCATACAAGATATACCAGAATTTCATTCCTCCATATTGAAAGTTTGAAGGTGGCCCCCATATCTTAAATATTTGGAATGTCACAACCTACAACTGTGCCAAGTTCATGCTCTTATCACAAAGTACACAACTGTCCCTGGATCTGTCACAAACGACTGGACTATTAGGCACCCAAACTTTAGTATTCTGGGGAACCTTGGGATTCACTGCTTCAAAACATCCAATTTTTTTCTAGGAAAGGAAGAGACAATCAATTTATAAACAATTTCACAACACATTGTTTTTCCAGGACATCCTGCATGGCTAACAAACTGAGAACAAATTATTTTTTTCTGAAACAAACTGGTTGGCCCCTTAGCAGAGGGAGCTGCTCTTCTTAGATCACTCTTCAAAAAATCTGATTCCATATTAAAGTTAACAATCAATTAGGAAATGTTGGTCAACTAGTCTGTGTGAGTGGTCGACATCAAGCATTACCTCTGGTCTGGCAATCTGCTGCATGAGGGTCTGTTGCATCATTTGCGTCTCGATCAGCTTCTGCTCCAGCATCTTCAGCAGCTGGGTCTGTTGCTGCATGAACTGCTGCTGAGCTTCATTCTGCACACAAAACACAGCTTTACGACCTTGACCCTCACTGCCACAACCTTGACCCTCAATTTCAATTACCATGACCTCTACTGACACGACCTTGACCTCAATTGCCACGACCTTGACCTCAATTTCAACGACCTTGATTCTCAGTTTCAACAACCTTGACCCTCAATTTAAACCACTCACATTGTTGATTATGTCTGTTTAGAAGTACATTGTCTACTCACATTCCCTTGTTGTGTCTGTGGCTGTACAGTGGCAGGAGAGGTGACAGTGCTGCCTCCCGAGATGGTAGGACTCGTCTCGGACGGACATGATGGAGATCCAAGCATACTAGACGTACCAATACTGTCATCTAAAATAAAGCAGATTTGGCCATCATGGAATGCTTCACATCACAACAGCATAAAGATCGTCCAATATACATAATACTGAGGACAACACATAGACAGCATGTGACCCTGTACCTCACCTTAATCTTGGGACAAAAATCTAAGTTTTTCACGCTTATTGGGTCACAATAAATACATTTATCGATTTATTAATATGTTGGTTGGTTTGATGTTTTACGCCGCTCTCAGCAATATTCCAGCTATATGACTGCGGTCTGTAAATAATCGAATCTGGACCAGAAAATCCAGTGATTGACAACATGTGCATCGATCCACGCAATTGGGATCGATGACAGGCATCAACCAAGTCAATGAGCCTGACCACCCGATCCCGTTAGTCGCCTTTTACGACAAGCATAGTCGCCTTTTATGGCAAGCATGGGTTGCTGAAGATCTATTCTACCCCGGATCTTCACGGGCCTATTCTGTTGGGTCTCAATAAAATCAAGTGAGTTTTGTGTTTGATGGTGAGACTAAGGGGAATGAAAATCTAAAAATTTGATCTATTATTGCCTTACTCTTATGACTGAAATGATTTAGATCATACAACGATAAACACGTCCACACAATAATGGAAAGCACACTGTGTCAAACAATAGAGTGATACACAAACAGTCTAGTTGCCTATGACCGTTTTTCTTGTTGGTTCGTTACTTAAAAATGCTGCACTCAGCAATATTCCAGCTATATGATGGTGCCCTCAGAATAAACAAATCAGGACCACACAATCCCGTGATCATTATGCCGATCATTGATACTCGTTGTACAGGTGTGACGACATGCTTTCAACCAAGTCACCGCTTCTGCTAACTATGTCCATTTTGTCTCCTACAACCAGCACAGGTTGCTGGGGACCTATTCTAACCCAGAATGAACCCAGGGTGACCTATTACTGTTTGTTTTGTCCGTTGTTTAACACCACACTCAGCATTATTCCAGCTTCATGATGACAATCTGTATATAATCGAGTGTGGACCTACAATCCAGTGATTGACATCATGAGCATCAATCCATGCAGTTGGGATTGATGATATGCATCAACCAAGTCAGTGAGCCTGACCACCCGATCTCGTTAGTCGCCTCTTACGACAAGCATAGTCGCCGTTTACGGCAAGAATGGGTTGCTGAAGATCTATTCTACCCCGGATCTTCACGGATCCACCTTTTACGGCAAGCATGGGTTGCTGAAGACCTATTCTACCCCGGATTTTCACGGGTCCGCCTTTAACGGCAAGCATGGGTTGCTGAAGACCTATTCTACCCCGGATTTTCACGGGTCCGCCTTTAACGGCAAGCATCGGTTGCTGAAGACCTATTCTACCCTGGATCTTCACAGGTCAGTCTACTACTACCATGGTGGTATTTTCAACATGGCCACAAGGATGGAACTGGAATGAAACATAGATCCTTACTGTGAGTTTGACTGAGAGAGTCGCTGGAGATTCGCCGTGGGTTTTCCATCCAATACTTTCTGAGTCCATGTTGGGGAGGCTCCCTCTCGCCGCCTGTCTGCTTCATCTGGTCGTTGACCTTCCCTATGGTACTGGCACTGCACCCAGTCACCCAAGTGATGAACTTGTAGCAGTTGGACCTCACTCCTCCTGAACACACAGGCAATGAGGCACGTGAGGTTGGTTTGTTTGTTTGTTTGTTTGTTTGTTTGACACCGCACTCAGCAATATTCAAGCTATTTGACGACGGTCTGTAAATAATCGAGTCTGGACCAGACAATCCAGTGATCGACATAATGAGCATCGATCCACACAATTGGGATACAATGGGGGAGTGAAATGGGGTTTAATCCTGTGTCCATTATTGCACTCACATAGCGACGTGCATCCGCATGTTCCTGCATCCTCTATATCTCCCAGGTTTCCATTATGGCACATCTACACTAACTCCTGAATCCCGTGGTTCGTGCGATCTCAAATTACCCACCCTTGAGTCATCAGTCAATATGACATGTTATGCTACTCAGTCTAAAGGACCAATCAGAATGCTAGTTACAAACCAGCCTCAATGTTGGGTTGGCGATAACAACATGGCGGTCAGTCCTATTGATTACAGTAGACTTTGGGGAAATTCAACACGGAAAAACTGTCTGACATGCAAAAGAAAGCCCTGTTTTTGATGGAAAGGATGTCCTCATGTTCATTAAAATTGGCGGCGCCAAGACCTCCCTTACCCATGTTCTTTTTCCTTATCTTGACGTTTGATTGGAAGATAAAATGTCAATGAAAATCAAGGGCAGTAATTTGGGATCATGAGAACGACGGGAGTTAGTGTAGGTTTAGCAAATTAGAGAGGATTGTGTTTGTGAGGGTGCTTGAACTAGTCTGGACTAGTTTTACAGTGTGATACGGATATGGATACCAACCCTGACTCCATTCCAACCAGGCCTTGTCTTGTCCCCATGATGTCAAGCACCAGGCAGGGTAATAACAAGTACCTTCAGGTATGAGTGTGAGTGAATAAGTGAGTTGGGTTTTACGCCAACTTGTAACAGTATTCCAGTTATTTCACGGCGTGTCAGCTTAATGTGGGAGGAAAGCCCCAAGTGATGCAGGTCTCAGACGTTTACCACTTTGGTGAAACCCACGAGCACGGGTATGGTGCTGACAAACCTAGAAACATAAACGGGGCAAACCGGGATTCTAACCCACAGTCATAGGTTTCTGGCGTGCCCAAAGGACGCAACTCTGCACAGCGAATCGCGGCCTTCAGGTATGACCTGACCTGGGAAAGATCCATCCATACGTAGCATAAGCTTCACCGTGTTCACAGGTACTTCATGATTCAATTGTTGCTGGTACCGTCGTCACCCTGAGACACCTTATTCTCATGTCTGGGACCTCCTAAGCATGCTAAGGGACCCACCATGCCCCTTAATGCCGAGCGCCAGGCAGCATGACAACAAGTACCATCTTTAAAGGTCTTTTGGCATGACGCAGCCAGGAATCGAACCACCAACCTTCGGCTCTCCGGGCAACGCGCTACCACTATACCACCGAGGTGGTCCTAAACATTTAAAGTCTCACCAGAGGGCGTTAACATTTCCGCCAAGACCCTCCTGGCTTCCTGTTGTCCTGATGTCGCTCGCTCCCTCCACTGCAGCAGCAGGCGATGGTGGGTCAAGGCCATCTGACAACACACACGTGGGAAATATAATATACACTTCTAAAGATTTGCAAATTCTATTCAATATGCATTTTAGAAGTAGCGGATTCTTACAAAAGTTTGCACATGGGTTTTTCGATTCATACCTAAATGAAACGGGAAAAAAAACACAGTCAATGCTTATAATTAAATTTGACAACAAAATGTTTTATCTACAATAGTTTAACCAAAAAGAGGAGTATATATCAAAGCAGACAAAAATGACAAGCAGACAAAAATGAATTGTTTAATTTTTGCACATAACTTGACACGCCTACAAAGTCAGTAGCCAATCAACGGAGAGTAGGATCAAATCAATGTTTATAGGACCTGTCAATCAAGGCAAGTGCAACAGTCAGACTTTAACGAACCGGAACAAATATGTCCGAGAGAAGGTGGCTGTTTCAAATGACATGGTCAGTTACAGCCAGATTCAAACATTAGCTCCCTGAGAATGGGAAGACACAGTTGGATCTCCAGTTAGACATGAAAGTTGTGGAGGAAAAACGGGCGAGCGAGCCTGAACGTTTGCTGTTTCATTCCTTCTTGGCCTGTTGGTCTAAGAGTGTAGTAGAGGACAATGAATATGAATGAATTTTGCTAAATGTAATATGTACTTTATTGATAATGATAAATACTATAGAAACTATCTATATTCCTGACTGAAATCGATACTATGGATCGGAAACTGATTTAACAATCGATTTATTGACTTCAAGTACTTACTAATAGCAATATATCGATATTTCGATTTATCGTGACACCCCTATTGGCCTGATCCACTAAGTCCCTGACATGTCCCCAATAGTGAGTGAGTGAGTGTGTTAGGTTTAACGCCGTTTTTAACAGTATTCCAGTTATATCGCAGCGTGTCAGTTTAATGTGGGAGGAAAGCCCGAAGTGATGCAGGTCTCAGATGTTTACCACTTGGGTGAAACCCACGAGCACGGGTATGGTGCTGACAAACCTAGAAACATAAACGGGGCAAACCGGGATTCTAACCCACAGTCATAGGTTTCTGGAGTGCCCAAGGGACGCAACTCTGCACAGCGAATCGCGGCGCCTTAGACGACTGGGCCACCCGTGCCCCCTGTCCCCAATACAGCAGCTGTGGATGTTCTCGGGCAGAGAGTGTACTCCAGAGACCCAGCACCGACAACGTAGTCCAGCTTGGGTAGCTCCTCAGACAGAATGGCAATCAATACCACAGGCAACAAAACTCAAGTTTATCAACAGTATGCCATCACGGTGTCGCGTATGCATCTTCCAAATGGTGAATATGCCAGATATTGATCAACATGCCCAAAATCTTTTTACAGACATTTATTGATATCAGTTCCCTTACCGCTTGTCAGTAGTATATGAAAAAATGACTTGAAATTAACAAAACCCCATAAAATCCGATGTCCAGTTGGAATGGATCATTATCTATTCATTGGTGTGATATCTGACACTTGCTCTACGCGATAAACAGTGAAACTTGATACTTCTGTGAAAACGGTTGGTACTCTCACACTCAAACAGTTTTATCTTAATGTATTGTGCTGATATTGTGTAAAAGGTATCAAATGTGCACTTGTAGGGACAATATCAACATGTCTGTGAACAAAATAATTCAAATGAAGTTATTATATTATACATGTATCTAGGTACTACTATCTGCTCAAATGTGGTTTATTCGTTTCCCGACCAGTGGATCCTTTTGCATTCCAGTTATCATTCTCAACTCCCTGGGGAGTATACAACCCAAGCTGCCGAGAGGCGCTAGAAGGTTTTTTCATCCACCTCACATATCAGGTACCCATTATCGCTGGGTGAACAGAGGCACATTTGAACTAAGTCACTTGATCCATGGTAGAAAAGGTCTTCAGCAACCCATGCTTGCCATAAAAGGCGACTATGCTTGTCGTAAGAGGCGACTAACGGGATCAGGTGGTCAGGGTCGCTGACTTGGTTGATGCATGTCATCGATCCCAATTGTGTGGATCAATGCTCGTGATATCAATCACTGGATTGTCTGGTCCAGACTCAATTATTTACAGACCGCCATCATATGTCTTGAATATTGCTAAGTGTGGCGTTAAACAACAAACCAACAACAACATGTTAACATTTAAATTGGTGAAATACCCTATAACAAGTATATTATTATTTGACTAGGAGCTCCATTATCAACAAGAAAACAGCATTGTCACTATCCCCCGCCATGGGGCACATTAGAACTTTGTTTGTTCATATAGTAGAGAACATAAAGTATAAAAAAGAGTCCTATAAAGCCTTAAGAAAAGATAGGCACTTGGGCCGCTTCATGTCATCAGAAAAAATGATTAAATGTGAACATTATACACACAAAAGGCCCCTTCTCTGGAGAAAAAAACTCGGTCATGATAAGTATCTCTTAGATCAGCTAACTCATCCCCGGGGTAGACACTCTGCAACAAGTAAAAGACAATTCCTGCATTTGGAGGAGGTGCAGATGGACCAAGTTTCCAGGAACCTCCACAGAAGACAAATAGTTTTGTTTGTTTGTTTGTTGTTTAACGCCGCACTCAGCGATATTCCAGCTATATGACGGCGGACTGTAAAATAATCGAGTCTGGACCAGACAATCCAGTGATTGACATCATGAGAATCGATCCACGCAATTGGGATCGATGACATGTGTCAACCAAGTCAGCGAGCCTGACCACCCAATCCCGTTAGTCGCCTTACGGCAAGTATGGGTTGCTGAAGACCTATTCTACCCTGGAATCTTCACGGGCATCAGACAAATAACGACCACAACCAGGAGAGACTGAGCCCGACAAACTGAACTGCGCTACAAACTCACTCGGACACAGTTGTCAATGCAACACTTTTCTGTATGCAGGTCCATCAGAGATCGCAGCTGTCCTAATGCGGCCTTTCCCTTCACCCTCTGAGCTCGACATCCTCTCTGAAGGGCAAGGGTATTGAAGTGAGTGAATATTGGATCTATATCACAGGTTCATAACACCAAATGTTCTTCGAAAGAGAAGCTCAGGTTAGTAGAGGTGGGTCCTTGTTTACAGGAAGCACTGAAGACCCTGTACTTACAGTGTGATTGATTGTGCTGAGATAGAACAGATAGGCATGGCGACATCTTCCCAAGACAAGGGAGATAACCGACTGTAAAAGTCCAGTTCCTCCCTTGTCGAACTAGGCTGATATTTCCTGGCTTAATTGCAGTGTCACCAGTGGCATAAACAAGTTATGTCCCACTCACTCACTCACTCACTCACTCACCCACCCACCCACTCACACCCACCCATCACTCACTCACTCACCCACCCACTCACTCACTCACACACCCACTCACTCACTCACACACCCACCCACCCACTCACTCACTCACTCACTCACACACTCACTCACACCCAGCAATCACTCACTCACTCACTCACCCACCCAACCACTCACTCACTCACCCACCCACCCACCCACTCACACCCACCCACCCATCACTCACTCACTCACTCACTCACTCACTCACTCACCCAACCACCCACCCACCCAACCACCCACCCACCCACCCAACCACCAACCACTCACTCTCTCACTCACTCACTCATCCACCCACCCACCCACCCATCCACTCACTCACTCACTCACTCACCTACTCACCCACCCACTCACTCACTCACCCACTCAGTCTCTCACTCACTCACTCATCCACCCACCTACCCAACCAACAACCACTCACTCTCTCACTCACTCATCCACCCATGCACCCACCCACCCATCCACTCACTCACTCACTCACTCACTCACTCACTCACTCACTCGCCCACCCACCCACCCACCCACCCACCCACTCACTCACTCACTCACCCACCCACCCACTCACTCACTCACTCACTCATACCCACTCACTCACTCACCCACCTACTCACTCACTCACTGCCTCAGACTGACAGCTGTACCTCCTCTGTCTTGAGCTTCTTGTGCAGGAAGTTGTTGGAATAGCGCAGCACCTTCTGCGTGGCCCTCTCACACAGCGACATCGTCCTGCGCAGCACCTCCCTCTTCTCCAACACAAACATCTCATACGCTGCAGACTTCTTCTGACCATTGCCTAGCCCAATATTCTTGGCTCTACAAATAACATTGTGTTTGTTGATTGTTTAACCATGCCAAGATTTATCTAGCAATTTTAAGCCATGCCCAGAGATTTATCTAGCAATTTTAACTAAATGCCTTTGGTAGACAAGTGGGAAAAAATGTGATTATTTTCTGAGGTACTTTCACATCACGAAGATCCAGGGTAGAACAGGTCAACCAATACTTCCTGTAAAAGCAATCTCATTAAAATCAGATCTTAGTTCTCGCCACCGCTAAACAAAGATCTGAGGACATCCCATTACGGGTCACGTCAGAACAACCTTTCGCGAATTTTGACCGACCAATGAAATGACTGACAAGAAAATCGACATTAGCCAATCAGAAGGCAGCTTTCTCGAGCTTTACGACACTAGCTTCAAACTGGCGACTACGCTTCTAAACATATTTTGACGTATTCTCTATTTAAAAAATTAAAACTGATAAGAAGAACATTCTGGAATGGCCTAGATTGTATGGATATAATCATAAAACCCGTAACTGTTGTTCGGAATACCCCGTGTTAAATATTTTGAGGTTGCATGATTAGAAAATACATTCCGACAGTTACTTTCATGATCTGGTAAGCGACGCTCTGATTGGTTGGATGAAAGGTCGTTCTGACGTGACCCTTAAAGGGATGTCCTCAGATCTTTGTTTAGCCATAGCGAGAACTAAGATCTGATTTTAATGAGATTTGCTGTAAAATATGCTTGTCGTAAGAGGTGACTAACGGCAGTTTTCAAACCGGATGTCCATTTTATCCCAAGATTTTGATAGGACTATGCATAGACTCGTTAGTCCAGCCAAAATGCAACTCCATAATTCAAACCTAGTTCGGCAAGGGTGGAAACTGGACATTTATAGTCAGATTACTCCCTGCCTCGGGAAGACAGTCGCATATTGGCCTTGGAGCAGATATAGACAAACCTGTGATGAGTGTTGAAGCCACCCTGTGTGTGCGTGTGGATGCTTGTACTGGTCTGGACCAATGTCAATTTTATAGTGCAAGGTCACTGAGATACAATGCCGCAGTTTAACATAAATACGTCATTCAGACACAGTATACGGACTCCGAACTGACCAGTCCTTGTTTTAGCCCCTTAATGCAGGGTAATACAATACCTATCCTTTCGCATCATTTGGGATGACGCAACCTGGGATGGAACCACTAGCCCCTTAATGCCAGACACAGTACACTGACTCCGCGCCGACCAGTCCTTGTTTTAGCCCCTTTATGACAAGCGCCAGACAGGGTAAGAACAAGTACCATCATTTAATGTCGTTTGGTATGACGCGGCTGGGGATAAAACCCACAACTTTTGCTCTCTGGGCTGACACTCTACCACGGACCACGGAGGCGGAGGTGGTCTCGCCATAACAGAAAAGGGTTGGAACTTTTGAGCAGTGCATTTCCACAAAGTCACAAAAGCACTAGGGAGTTATGGTAACATCTACTTTTACACTGGAGCAGTGTTCGAAATAAGCACCTTCCAAAGGCCTGTGCCAGGTAGATCTCATGTCGGGCCCGTAGTTTAAAAATTGTAAGGGTTCTTACCGCATGTAGATAATTCATGTGTCGATATATATTTGTTACAATGAGCTGCAGTCAGATTTTTAAATGAGGGCCTGAAGAGTTTAGTCAAGGCCTGCAGCTTCTAAAGTCTGTGGGTCCTGCAAATTGTTTTATTTAACACACTGCACTGGAGTATATATATTTTGTCCTTTTCTAGATATGCTTAAGAATACTTCATGAATGAAAACATTTTGGAGTTTTTTTCCATTTTCAAATTAGAGGTCTTTTCAAGGCTTGAACCTCTGTTTGAATCAAGTGTCCTACCTCTTGCCTTTCCTGCCAGACTCGGACAACTTCTCGGTATCATAGAACTTCAAGGCACTGAGTCGTTTGGCTTCCTTGTGTAACTCTGTCAACTCAAGTCCTCGCTTCCTCATGTCATCTTTGTTACCTGCACACACAGATCACAGAATAAATACATGAAGTTGGATGTTCATGACATGTTAATGTCATACCTCTTTTAGGAATCTTGCAATTCCATTGGTTAATCCGTACCGTGCATCTTCCCGAGGCAAGAGAGTTAACTGACTATAAAAGTCCAGTTTCCACCCTTGTCCAACTAGGCTGGTATTATGGAGTTACATTTTGGATGGACTAACGAGTCTGTGCATAGTCCAATCAAAATCAACTAACTGAAATAGAAATCCGGTTCATAAACTGTCATGCAGATTTCGGTCGACTGCAGGATTTGCAAAGCATGTGCACCGCTAACTCATTGTCATCAGATATTTTCTAAATCTTTTCATGTTTTTAATCAAGGTGCTCACGTGATTTGATGCACATCACGACGTAAGACTCGTTTTATCACAATATAGATCTTGATTATCGATCAGATCGTCTTGACTGGGCGCCACCGTTTTGTTTGAAACAAATGCAAGTGATATGAGAGGTTGAATCTGATTGGTCAATAGGAGAGGCATAGAAAGGACATAACCCGTAATAGCCACTGGTGGCGCTACGATCGAGCCCAGGAATTCCAGCCTAGTTCGGCAAGGGTGGAAACTGGACTTTTAAAGTCAGTTAACTCTCTTGACGCGGGAAGATGGTACCGTGTGACAAAACAATACATTTCAATGTAGACCTCCAAATCATTTGACTGACACAGACCTCGAATATTGACTCGTCACATGATCAGTTTTGAACTGTCACGTGATGAATGTTGAGTCGTCTGCTAGAAAACAAGATGGTGTTTGGTAGTCAAGTTTCCACCCTTGTCGAACTAGGCTGGTATTATGGAGTTACATTTTGGCTGGACTAACGAGTCTATACATATTCCAATCAAAATAGTGCAGTGAAAGCGAAATCCGGTTCGTAAACTGTCATGCAGATTTCGGTCTATTGCAGGATTTGCAAAGCATGTCCACCATCAACTTGGTGTCAAGAGATATTTTCCAAATCTTAATCAAGGTGTTCACATGATTTGATGCACTTCGCGATGTAAGATCCGTTTTATCACAATATAGATCTTGATTATCGATCAGATCGTCTTGACTGGGCATCGCCATTTTGTTTGAATCAAATGCAAGTGATACGAGAGGTGGAATCTGACTGGTCCATAGGAGAGGCTTAGAAGGGACATAACTGGTAATAACCACTGTTGGCACTACGATCGAGCCCAGGAATTCCAGCATAGTTCGGCAAGGGTGGAAACTTGCCTTTTAAAGTCAGTTAACTCTCTTGCCTCGGGAAGATAAGTTATATCATGTGTGTCAGCTTGATGTGGGAGGAAAGTGATGCAGGTCTTAGACATTTACAATTTTGGTGAAACCTACGAGCACGGGTATGGTGCTGACAAACCTAGAAACAGACTCCATGAAAACTTGGGTTTCAAACCCAAATCATTTCTGGCAAACCTAGGGGAGGTAACTCTGCCACATCTGGGCCCCTACAGTGTGTTTTTAAATCTCACCATCAGCTTCAATGTAGGCCTGAAGACACTTGCAGGCTGCCATCTTGAAACTAGGGCAGTAGAGAACCTCCGCTGTGAAATACAGGATGGAAATCAGACATGTTGTCATTTGAATTAATCTGAAACATTAGATGCAAAAGGGTGTTAGAATGCATCAAAGACTAATCTGACATGCTCTTCTTATCATTCTCATAAGAAATACAATCAGTGTTAGAACAGCCCATGTCAGATTTCTGTACCCTAACAACAAAACCTTTTTCTGACAATAGTCATACAGCACACCGATTTCATATTTCATCCAAGAGTGCATGACTTGCTCCAGTCGTTGCAGTAACCAAGGTTAAACCTTGTCCACTGGGTAACATGACAGACAGTGTTACATTGGTTTTTTTAAATGTTACCAAGATAACAAGTTGATCTGGATGGTAAAGTAAAATTGACTATGGTTTACATATCATGTTTGTGGTTATTGGGGTCAGACTTGGGGGGACTCACTGTTCTATCAAGACGTCATTTCTGTAGATTCGAACATGTGCTTGCAACATGATGACGCCGTAAATTGGACAATAGCAGGAAGGTCACATCCAAAAGTGGAAAAGATATGACAATCGGTATTGGGAGAAAGGGTACATGTAATTGATGTGAGGATTGTGAGAATGTGCGGGAAATATCTCATACAAGAAATAAACGACTCGTGGTCGTTGTTTATCATACAATAAAACACTGCAGGGAGAATAAACCATGAGTGGTTCGCACTCGTCATGTATTTCTTAAGTACAAGGACTTTCAAACCCTGACATCCTCATCATCCTAATCATCATCATCATCATCATTGCATCCCCTGGGAGGCTGACTGGGTTTCAGGGCACCTACCTTCTGGTACATTTAGTTCTCCTGCGAGGGTTGATGCGAACAGTTTGGCCTCCAGCAGATACTTGTCTTTCTCCTCCTGAGAGGGCAGAGGTTTCAACTTTTTTGGTTTCTTAGGACGATCCAGAGCTAACCCTACAAATACAAGCAGAGTAGTTCAAGGTCATTTCACAAATAAATATTAAATATTTCCAATTTCAGAAAGATGGAACTCTTGATGTCACATATCTTGTCAATATTATAAAGTGAAGCAGTATCACTCAGGGTACATTCTCTTGTTTAAGAATTGAACGTCAGTTTGGATGGGTTCATTGAAGTGTGAACGATTTAGGTTAAACTGTGTGAACCTCCGAGCTTGCGAGATTAACCAGCGCTTTAAAAGTCAGTATCTCTTAATAAATCAATTTTGTTCACCTCAGTAATTTTACAGAATTCATTTTTTTCACTTGCGTTATTAGTATTCATAGCTAGCCATTCCAAATCCAAATCACCATAAGGACAATCCATTTTGTTTCATCTAGCAGCTAGACGACATTAAACACCAGAACCAAAGCATTTATTTATGTTTTAGTCAGATTAAATGTTACAAGACCAGGCAAAAATACTCAATTAATTATATTGCTGATAAATGCAGGGATCAAAGAGAAAATAGAAACACGAGTTGATTGTAAACACCAATCGAGAATTCGGGGAAACCCTGGAAAGTAGTTCCGGCAAAAGTTCACACGATCAATTTCACAAAAAATTGTTCACATCATGTGGACTTTTCACTCCATTCACAGGTGTGTGAACTCCAAATATCAGATCACGTGACTTCCCCTTCAGCCAATCAGCAGGAAAGAAACAGTGTAAATTTTACAGTATGAAATTATTAGGTTTTATACCACGAACTGGAGGCAAGGGACGCATAAAACCACATGTACCCCTTGTTGCTTTTTTTCAGAAGATTCTGAAATATTTTTCACAATTTCATTAGTTTTTTTGTTTTGTTTTTTTAAAAACATTTTACATCTTAACCTGTTAACACCATGAACAATCCTGAGTCTAGTAGTACACAGGTACATCACATGTGTCCAAACAGTGCAAACACGCCATGACCAAAGCTAACACGGACCTTTGGTGAGCTAAATGTGAAAGACTAGAAATTGCACAATGTCCTCTCACCACAAGCGTTACAAAGCAGGAGAGTCTTCCCTGTGGTCGGGTCGATGTGGATTCTCGGACTCGGCATGTGTTTGCTACGCTTCACTCGAGAGCCTCGCTTTGACATCAGCGGGTTACAGACGTAGGAGGTCTTGCACAGGTCACAGGAAAACGGCATCCCTACAAAGTTAGAGCACATAGATTATCACCAGCATATACTGCACATCGTGCATTGTGCCTTTTGTCGGTTTTGTTGTTTAACATTGTCTCAACAATATTCGAGCTATATGACAAAAGCTTGGGATTTTGGTAATAGAGAATCATTTGTATCAGAAAATACTGGAATTCTCTTTTAAGCAAGTTTTTCAGATTATACACAAAAGTGTTGATGGATATTCAGGATGAGGCAAAAAACTTCAAATGTTCATGTTTGGAGAACATCTGTGTCTTGAAGAAGCGACTAAAAAAAAAAAAGTTGGTCCTTAAAGAGTAAAATGATTTAAAATCATAAAACGAGACCGGCTCTGTGTTCTGGTTGATTAAACGTCTGCCTGGACAGTGGAAGGTTATGGTTCAATCCCCTGGCTGTGTCATCCCAAATGATGCTAAAAGATGGCAGTTGTGATTACCCTGCATTAAGGAAATAACAAAGACTGTCGGCTTGGAGTCAGTATACTGTGTCTGAGTGGGTTTTCATGTTAAACTGCGGAATGGCATCTCAGTGGACTAGCACTATAAAACCGGCATCAGTCTAGACTAGTACAAGCAGCCACACACATATGCACGTTGCTGTATAAAAACAATAATATTTAATGCGACATTACCCCATCACCTAGATACTCCGTGATGAAATGTCTTTAAAAACAGAAATTGTGGTCAAAAACATTGTTTGAAAACATGTTTAATCCCAGATAAACATGACAGATGTGCTCTGCTTGATTTTGCTCCGTGAAATTGTCTTTTTAACTCCATACTTCTGGTACTGTGATCAAAACATAAACTTTCAGGTGCTTATAGGGCCTTTACACAGGATGGTGACCTTTGTGCCTTCCGTGTGCAACCATAAAATTTGCCAGGTCATCGTTGGAGGCTCAAAGGAGGCAGAATGGTTGCCTAGGTCGTTCCAAGGTGGTACACAGGAGGTTCGGACATCGCCATGGACGCCATGTTCGCCGTGAATTTTTGAACATGTTCAAAACAGTTGCACAAGGGTCGCCGAGGAGGTTGGTTGCTCAAAGGTGGCTCAAAGGAGGCAGAAGGGAGGCACAAGCATTGCCGTTGTTGCAGAATGAAGGCACAGTGGTCGCCCAATGGTCGCCAGTAGGGTTGGGAATTGGACCAAAAAGTGTATTGCGATATATTGCAATACAGAGCTCCAGATAAGCTTTTGGTGTTGTGGGTATTTTACCCATGGATTTTAAAATCATTGGATATCAGTAATTCTATCTGCATATTCAAATTTCTGTTACCCACTAGTTTTTACACATGTGGGTATTTAAGTTAAATATTTAAAAACACTATTCATCTAGTCCCTGCAAACTGGTGTCGTGTGGGTTCGAGAGCTTTATAGGACTCAAAAATACCACGATACTTCCACAAGAAAGTGTGATGGCAAATGATCATGATGTAACTGTCATCGTGGAGTTTGGCAAGGTTGACGGAATGCCCGTTTATAATTTCAAAATAAGTTGCTGATTTGCTAATCGAATATGCAGGGTTACTTCACAATATTTTGATGATACGCACAAGTTTTATTTTTGTAGCGTATCTGTAATGTTCGTTGCGTATTTGATACGCTTGGATTATATTTTACTGCGTATTTCTGCATTTCTGATGCTTATTATTGCAATATATTGGGAAATAATTTCTACCAAGAGAAAAGCTTTTTTTCATATCCCTTTGACAAATATTAATATGAAAGCTGCAATGTTAACAATTTGGTCAAAATTATGAACCAATTTTAATAAATTGTACTATTATTTTTATCTACAATCAAATAAAGAGTATGAAGCATTTGTTTTGTCTTTGTTTTGATTTAATAAGGTAAGACTATACATCATGGCATATACATGTCTGTCACAGTTTGAATAATAAGGGAAAAACCGATACACCAAAAACGTATCGCGATACGTATCGTGATGAATTTGTATTGCAATATACCGGTATACCGATAAAACCACACATCCCTAGTCGCCAGGTAATAGATGCATTCTGCTGCAAATTTTCCTGTCAATCTAGGCACTGCTTCTGCCTCCCTTGTGCCTCCTTTGAATGATGACATTGAACAATCACTGTGGCGACCGCCGTGCCTCCATTTGGACCAACCCTTGAGAGACCATGGCAATGCTTCTGCCACTTTTCTGCCTCCTTTGAGCGACATGTAGTGCCTCCTCAGCCTGTATCTGCAGTGTTTCATTGTGGTTGCAGACGCTGAACATCTCGACTCAAGAAAGACTAAGACTCAATAGACCCAAGACATCGTGCCTGGAGCAATTACACAGAAACATGATTTCCTGGGTTTAGGCGACCATTGAGCGTCCTGGCCAGTTTTGATTGCCCAAAAGTGGCCCAAAGGTCGCAGCCCTGTGTAAAGGGGCCTTAAGGAAGCCACAAGGCTGGTCAGTTATAAGAATACTTTCATTTACCTTCATGACCCTTTACTAAAGATGTCTAAAACTGTCAAATCTGGCGATTCTTGTAAGTGAAACAGGATCTAAGTCCTAACTGTCCTATAAATAATACAACACTTAATCAGTTCAATACAAATGACTAACCATTTGGCAATTTGTCATACGGTCGATCAGGTGCAAAGGACGATCCTGAGATTGTCTTTTTCTTCTTCTTCTTCACTGCCTGCCCTGATCTGACCTTTGTTGATAGCTGGTCAAGGTCAAGGTCAGGTGAAAATGACCTTTTCTTTTTTCTCTCCCTTTCACTTTTCCGGTGACCTTGACCTTCAAGTGCTGAACAAGCAAACTCGTCCATCTGGAAGGTAACCAAGGTAAAATGTGTCAATACTAAGTTACTTTCTCGACTCAAATACAGTGTAACATTCTTTTTGTCACAACATCTTACAAACAAATTAAGCAAGTCCAAATATATCATTTCTTTTACATATCCACTTGTCACTCTACAGTCCCACACACTCACTCCCAACAAACAGATATCCACAATATAATCTTGTATCTCCAAATTGACAGCTATACATTGACATTCTGACCATGTTTTTATCTTCTGCTTACTCAGGCCACAACCTTTTTATTTTTCGTTTCACAGACCCTACTGAAAAGCAGCAGGAAGAGAAATAAATAAAACACAAAAATATGTATTTTTATTATTATGTCTCACGCTAGTAGTGAGGGAGTATGGTTTTTACACTGCTTTTAGCAATATTCCAGCAAATTCACGGCGGGGGACACCAGAAATGGGTTTCACACATTGTACCCATGTCGAGAATCTAACCCGGGTCTTCGGCGTGACGAGCGAACGCTTAAACAACCAGGCTACCTGACCACCCCTCTCCTGCTAGTAATCATGTTTATATAGACCCTATTATATAACATAAAATGTTATATATAAATTCCATGTCTACATCACAAAAAGTGATTCAAGAAGACACCTGCACTTTTAACTCTATAGCAGAATGACTTTCTCATATTATAAATGACATCATTAATTCTATTTCGAAAGACCTTGAGTGGAAAAGTTGGAAAAAATTCATGAAACATAAAATTACAAAACTGTGGCCTTAAGAAAATAACATTTCTCCCAAAGCAAAAGGACAGTTATATTTCCCAAATTATTAATCCTACATGCTACAAGAAGAAATGGTACTTGGCACAATGCAATATAAATTCAGTCATTATTATTTTATATTAAAAAGTGATACATTTAAATGTCCCTCCTGACTTCAGGGATTCCTGGAATAAAATCTGGAAAACACAAATAAATTTGCATAACCTACCCCACTACATAAGTTTTTTTGCTTGCTTGTTAGTTGTTTAATGTCGCACTCAGCAATATTCTAGCAAAATTACTGCAGTGAGGATTTGATATTTTGGTTTTGTTGCTAAATGTCATTACAGGGATATTTATCTAGATCTACTCAGAGGCTGACACTTGGCTCCAAGTCTTCAGCAGATATCATAAAAATGTCTGAAACTGTAATTAAAAAATTCCTAATTTATGTTATTATATAAAACTGATAACTAAATTTATGGCTTTCCATATCATGTAGTCTAGGTAACCAGGTCTTAATGTTTTGTTTTATTTTCTTGCATTGAATGCCATCCAAAAATACAATGTTATAAAACCCCTGAAAGTAAAAAAAATAAGATTTTATATTTAAAACAAACTTTTTCTCAGTTTGCCCACCAAGGGCACTTAGAATCTTATTTAATCCCTGCATTAATTAAGTTGTTTGGGTCTGTCAATGAAAAAGATAAAGTACTCTGTCTCACAGACCCGAGAGAAATGAAGTAAGCATAAATATTGTTCTGAGCTCCATGTGGATTATATTTTATTAATTTTATAGATACATATTTTTAAAAAAGAAAACTTTATTTCTGGGACTAGATGTCAGTCTAATAATGAAGTGGGGGGAAATATGCTAAATCTCCAAAACATATTAAAACTTTTACAGTAAAAGTTACTCTATTCTATAAGAGAATGGTTTGTTTGTTTATTAGGTGCTTGCAGTGACCAGATACATTTGTGGTATACAAAATGGTATAACTAACAATTCACATTTTAAACCTACCTAAGAATTTAGATATTTGAGAATGTTATTTGTGTGTGTGGGGGGGGGGGGGGGGGGGGGGGGAGGAGGTACCAACTTGAATACTTGTATTGTGTTTTGGGCAGTTTGCTTTCTTCCACATAAAACAGAGGCCATTTATTTATAGGCCTACCGATATTTGCGCTCTCACCATGCTCACTAGCCTAAATCACAGGACCATGTAATTAATAACTAATAATAATAATAAAGAAACTCACAATACTTTCATAGACGAGGCCTTCTATGCGAGTTTGTTTGTTGTTGTTAGTTACATCAATGGTCCCATGCCTAAATCCACCGATTCCATCAATTTCTGCATTCTCCAGAATCTGTTTTATATTTGTAAATAAAATATAGATCTATTGTGTTTATGCTGTTTAATTTGTACTCAGGATGAAATATGTAAAATGCTTAATCTAATCTATATCTTCATGCCTGATCTGAACTGCCAAATGGCAGGGCTTTGACTAACTGATGTTATAGGCCTAAACATTGGCGGAAGCAAAAGTTCTGCATTCTAAATAATTTATGTGTTATCATGAAATCATTAGATCGAGTTTAATTAGTCAATGGGCTCTGTCTGTCACTGATGTCAGTCTGAATAATTCCTTCGGCGAGTAACAACTGAGTAAGAACCAGCCTCCTCTAACTGATGTGAACGCTTATTTTACTCCTAGGCCTATGGAGAATTCAAAACATTTTACTTTGTTTACATTCAAAATACTTCACAAACTACATTTTATAACATTGCGATTCCAAGATAATTCAAACATAACATAGCATATGATAATTATTCTAAAATGCATTTACAAGTTATTGGGAAAATACAAAATCCAAGAAGAAAATGACACATTATTGAAATACACCCATTGTGTTCGACCGGAAGTGCGTGTTGGGAGAAACGCGATATTTACAATCAGAAAATACGTCAATGTCTAAGCCAATTTAGTAAATTTAGTTATCATGTGCAATATTTACGTTACCTGTCATACGTTTCACCTTTGTTTGCTCTTTGTATGTCGATGTTGTCAAAAACAAACCGAGAAACGGCTTACACAAAAGTTTATCGTTCCGCCATCGCATTGACTGTGGAAGGTTCACTGAACTCTCCCAAAGATTGTCGGGCGGAGTTGCTTCCCTTTGAACATCCACGTTCTTGATTCAAATCCATGGTCATATTAATGCATATGGACCATGTTATAAATATGAGTACAAAATAATATTAGATACAAATACACATAATATTTTAAAATGTTGGCACATCTTTCATTCTTACAAAACATTTAGATATATTATTGCGAGACCATAAACCTTCCGGTATATCAATTTATGATGTACAAATACAAAAATCAGATGCAAAAGAAATTATCAGTCGAAACTACAGTTTTTAAATAAATATCATAATATCAGTTCATGTAGCTATTATCAGATGCAACTGTACGCGGGGTACCATTTCCTCTTAAATACTAGTATACCCTTGTGTTTTATCGTACAGATAATTAATAGGGGAATTCCGTGCATTAACACTACCTGGCGTTTAATGGAGACCCAGCCGTTTATACGTGACACGCAGTCTAACCGAGGAAATATATATATAATGGTATATCCGGTGTCAATTGAATGTCTGAAAATAAAACTTGATCCAAAAAATACCAGTGACAACGGAACAACAAAAGTTGGAATATATTGGGGGATATTATTTATTATGAAATTGTGTGCTCTGTCTACAAATACATATCCCCAAGAATATAAATAGTAGCTACCCAACGTTTTTGGTCAGATTATTAAGCACCGTGGATCTAATAACCACCAGGCCTTGTCCAAAAAATAACGTCCGGTGAATTGTTTGTTTGTTTCTTGTTTGTTTGTTGTTTAACGCCGCACTCAGCAATATTCCATCTATATGACGGCGGTCTGTAAATAATCGAGTCTGGACCAGACAGTCGTGTGATTGACATCATGAGCATCGATCCACGCAATTGGGATACGATGACATGCATCCACCAAGTCAGCGAGCCTGACCACCCGATCCCGTTAGTCGGCTCTCACGACAAGCATAATCGCCTTTTACGGCAAGCATGGGTTGCTGAAGACCAATTCTACCCCGGATCGTCACGGACGGCATTTGGTTATTGCAGAGTTTGAAAGGACGAGTTAGGGGAGTGTCCTTTTTGTCTCACTGGAAATGTTCGGAAAACATTGAAATATTTATTAGTGGTGTGTAAATGGATTGTGACCACCCAAATACACCCCAGTGGGATTCACCGGGTATATATATATATATACTTATATATTGCTTGCATTGTAACATAATATTATATTTTTTGTACCATATTTATATTAAATGTGTAAATCCATTAAACTTACATATCTAAGCTTATAATTGTGAAATGTTATAAATGATATATCATGTATAGCTTATAAGTGTAGTAGATTATTATTTAATCTGCTTGTGTTTTGATGTACTAGATATAATTGTATGTTTATTATTGTATTCATTGTTCCAGGGTGTCGGTTTATCACCACAGAAAATAAATAATCAGACCTCACACCCTAGCCTGTGTCATTATGTTATCTGGGACATATATGCACATATAATGGCTACAACAATAACAAGCCTTCTTTCTCATACTCGAGGCATAGAGACCATATACAGAGCGGCATATGGATACCCGAAGTCTGCTACAATCCCACGAATCACTATAACCAGCATTGTACGGGTCAGCTGAGATTGTGTGTCCTTTAATAATTCTTCTAATCGTAGAAGTTCATTGCCAGTTTGACCAAGGTCCACATAGCCAACCAATTCTCCCGAGGACCTGTCATAAATGAGTCCTTCGGATTTTTTCACTTCGTCCTGCAATGCCGGCTAAGGATTTGGCATGCCTCAAGACTTGGCTTCAGTCATCAGGTGCTTAGCATACTGAGGATGGAATCGAAGAATGCTGGGCAAGGAATGAGAATAGTCAAAGAGAGTTCTCCTGCTTGACAACTTTATTCCGTGCAGCATCATAGGCTTTTCTGGTTTTGCTCCGCAAATATAGACACCATTTGATGACCATAGGATGCCATCTCATCGACGGTTGTCATTTAACTTGGCATACTTCACTTGGTATTCCCAGAATTCAGAGCTCCAGATAAGTTTTTGGTGATGTGGGTATTTTACCCATGCATTTTAAAATCATTGGGTATCAGTAATTCTATCTGGGTATTCAAATTTCTGTAACCCACAAGGTCTTACACATGTGGGTATTTAAGTTAAATATTTAACAACACTATTCATCTAGTCCCTGCAAACTGGTGTCATGTGGGTTAGTGAGCTTTATAGGACTCACAAATACCACAATACTTCCACAAGAAAGTGTGATGGCAAATGATCATGATGTAACTGTCATCGTGGAGTTTGGCAAGATTGACGGAATGCCCGTTTATAATTTCAAAATAAGTTGCTGATTGTTTGCTTGTTTGTGTGTTGTTTAACGCCACACTCAGCAATATTCCAGCTATATGGCGGCGATCTGTAAATAATCATGATTGGACCAGACAAGCCAGTGATTGATATCATGAGCATCGATCCACACAATTGGGATACGATGACATGTCTCAACAACGTCAGCGAGCCTGACATCCAATCCCGTTAGTCGCCTCTTACGACAAGCATAGTCGCTTTTTACAAGCGTGGGTTGCTGAAGACCTATTCTAACCCGTATTTTCACGGGTCGGTCTTTTATTATCATATGAAACTGGTTTATTGTACTGCTATTTTCATTGTTCTGTTTTAAATTCACCTACATCGCGTACAGTGTTATTATGTTAAGTGAACAAGGAGAAACGTTTACCTTTACTTCCCTACTTTGAATCTGAAATCTCGAAATGTCCGATGTTTCAACCTCAGGTAAAATCTACAGTTAGTCACTGCCGGTGAAAGTGTTCAATCGCCCGAACAGGATTATCCGTCCTGACGCGGACCAACTGTATGCACGCATTGCTGCGTCCGTCCGTGTGTTTAGAGAAGGCGACAAGTATGTATTGCTCAAGAGCTGGAGTGACAGGTCCCTTGACCTGGAAATAGACACCGAAGCGAACAACCCGTTCAAGCTACCTTCAATGTGGATATTTACCGGGCGGGAGGATGATAACTTAAGTTTCAAGGTAAATTTGCAATGTTGGTGCTACATTTATAAGGACTGGTAAAGAAAGAGGCAAGTATACTTGAATGTAGTTGTTTATTTAGGGGAATACTTGCGGAGGTAAGTTCAGTTCCCTGGCCACACATTTCGATCGCTCACACAGACATGTCGACACCGGGTCCTCAAAAAGTGGTGTGTGTTGCAATGGGGAATAGTTGTGAATGAAAAATAATTCTCCAAATATTTCACAATATGGGCTACCTGCTTGCTCATTTCACGCAATGGTCAGGTAATTGTTCTGCCCAAAACCGCAATTGAAATTGGTATTGTTTACATGTTTGTTTTTTCATAAAGTAAAGTCTATTATTACGTGAATAAACTGTAATGATGCACGCAATCGGGTGTAACATATGCATGAGTATTAATCAATTGACAAGTTCTGCTCAGTCGTTAAGCTAGCAGTAATCACAGTATTGTACGTTACGAGTATCGTAATGTCTGTTATTGTAAGTGTTTTGATCTCGCGTGTTCAAACACCTAATTAATGATAGTTCGAGTTTTAATTAGTATTGTTCTGATTTGTTTGTTTCTTGTTGTTTATGGATATTATTAGTCAATAAGCATCTATGTGATATAACAGCTAGTCACCTAATCCAGGTTTTGAGTCGCCCATGAACGGTATAGCTTCCGACTAACACGACGCCGCGTAAACAAGACGAAATCACCCGGCCTTTCCCGTTAACTAGTTTGGAAAAAACAGCTTCCTACATGCTCCGGTGTGTATATCTCCCATTAAAGGTCATGTCACTCAATGTGCTTATTTCCTAGATCAGCATACTGGATAATTTTACGTTCTGAATATTGCCTGTTTTACGTTGTGATATTATCCACTATAGGTATATGTATATATTTATTCCGAGACAAGAAGCGACAAGTTTATGGTGTACTTCTGTAGGCTCGTTCACGCAGAGATTCCTGACAGTTTAAATATGCATGACAAAGCCATGGGATCGCCATAAGTTGTTGGGAGAATACAGTCATGACGTATACTCATTGATGTGCTTCGCTGTCATTCAAACTGGAATCGATGAGCAACAGGTGTGGTAACCTATTTTCCTAAGTCATGTCAGGTCTGCGGGTAGTTGTTGTGTTGTCTGTGTTGTTGTTGAACGCCGCCCTAGCCATATGATGACGGCCTGTAGATTCGACTCTGGGGCAGACATTTCGGGACAGGTCATTCCACTTGTCAACTGTACATGTGACATGTGTCTCAGTTGTCTACAGGTCAGACATGTGTCTCAGTTGTCTACAGGTCAGACATGTGTCTCAGTTGTCTGCAGGTCAGACAGGTGGCCCAGCTATCTACAGGTCAGACATGTGTCTCAGTTGTCTTCAGGTCAGACAGGTGGCCCAGCTATCTACAGGTCAGACATGTGTCTCAGTTGTCTACAGGTAAGACATGTGTCTCAGTTGTCTACAGGTCTGACATGTGTCTTAGTAGTCTGCAGGTAAGACAGGTGGCCAAGTTGTGTTCAGGTCAGACATGTGGCCCAGTTGTCTACAGGTCAGACATGTGGCCCATTTGTCTACAGATCAGACACGTGTCTCAGCTGTCTTCAGGTCAGACAGGTGGCCCAGTTGTCTACAGATCAGACACGTGTCTCAGTTGTCTACAGGTCAGACATGTGTCTCAGTTGTCTACAGGTCAGACATGTGTCTCAGTTGTCTACAGATCAGACACGTGTCTCAGTTGTCTACAGGTCAGACATGTGTCTCAGTTGTCTACAGGTCAGACATGTGTCTCAGTTGTCTACAAGTCAGACAGGTGGCTCAGTTGTGTACAGGGCAGACGTGTCTCAGTTGTCTACAGATCAGACAGGTGGCTCAGTTGTCTACAGGTCAGGCAGGTGTCTCAGTTGCCTGCAGGTCAGACAGGTGTCTCAGTTGTCTATAGGTCAGGCAGGTGGCTCAGTTGTCTACTCGTCAGACAGGTGTCTCAGTTGTCTACAGGTCAGACAGGTGGCCCAGTTGTCTGCAGGTCAGACATGTGTCTCAATTGTGTACAGGTCAGACAGGTGTCTCAGTAGTCTTCAGGTCAGACAGGTGGCCCAGTTGTCTGCAGGTCAGACACGTGTCTCAGTTGTGTACAGGTCAGACACGTGTCTCAGTTGTCTACAGGTCAGACAGGTGGCCCGGTTGTTTACAGGTCTGACATGTGTCTCAGTTGTCTACAGGTCAGACATGTGGCTCAGTTGCCTACAGGTCAGGCAGGTGGCCCAGTTGTCTACAGGTCTGATATGTGTCTCAGTTGTCTACAGGTCAGACAGGTGTCTCAGTTGTCTACAGATCAGACACGTGTCTCAGCTGTCTTCAGGTCAGACAGGTTGCCCAGTTGTCTACAGATCAGACACGTGTCTCAGTTGTCTACAGGTCAGACATGTGTCTCAGTTGTCTACAGGTCAGACAGGTGTCTCAGTTGTCTACAGGTCAGACAGGTGGCCCAGTTGTTTACAGGTCTGACATGTGTCTCAGTTGTCTACAGGTCAGACATGTGGCTCAGTTGCCTACAGGTCAGGCAGGTGGCCCAGTTGTCTACAGGTCTGATATGTGTCTCAGTTGTCTACAGGTCAGACAGGTGTCTCAGTTGTCTACAGATCAGACACGTGTCTCAGCTGTCTTCAGGTCAGACAGGTTGCCCAGTTGTCTACAGATCAGACACGTGTCTCAGTTGTCTACAGGTCAGACATGTGTCTCAGTTGTCTACAGGTCAGACATGTGTCTCAGTTGTCTACAGATCAGACACGTGTCTCAGTTGTCTACGGGTCAGACAGGTGGCTCAGCTGTCTTCAGGTCAGACAGGTTGCCCAGTTGTCTACAGGTCAGACATGTGTCTTAGTTGTGTACAGGTCAGACAGGTGGCTCAGTTGTCTACAGGTCAGACAGGTGTCTCAGTTGTCTTCAGGTCAGACAGGTGGTTCAGTTGTCTACAGGTCAGACAGGTGGCTCAGTTGTCTTCAGGTCAGACAGGTGGTTCAGTTGTCTACAGGTCAGACATGTGTCTCAGTTGTCTACAGGTCAGGCAGGTGGCTCAGTTGTCTACAGGTCAGACATGTGTCTTAGTTGCGTACAGGTCAGACAGGTGGCTCAGTTGTCTTCAGGTCAGACAGGTGGCTCAGTTGTCTACAGGTCAGACATGTGTCTCAGTTGTCTACAGGTCAGGCAGGTGGCTCAGTTGTCTACAGGTCAGACATGTGTCTCAGTTGTCTACAGGTCAGACAGGTGGCTCAGTTGTCTACAGGTCAGACAGGTGGCCTAATCGCCTTACGCGACGCTACTGACTGTCTGCTAAATGGTTTCAATAAAGTGATTAACGTCTAAGACCTGCATCACTCAACTTCCCAACGATAATCTCACATGCAGTATTACATCTGTTCAAAGCGGCTTAAAATCAACCTCATTTACTGTTACGCACAGACATAACACTCCCAACAACGTTAATGACATGTCAGCAAAAGCCGTTCGTGTTAGCGCATGATTTAAGCCTACCATCTGTCATTAAGACCTAATCTCCACATTTCATATATAGTCACGTACAGGACAATAGGTTCCATTCTATATTGGAGGATGTAAGTCGGCTCTCTTGCGTGTTGCACTTTCCTAATGTACATAAAGGAAGCATTCACACGTGCATACATGACTTTGATTAACCCACTACGACACTATGATACAGACAAGCATATAAATACCCTTCTTCTATACACTGTATTGTGTGAATCGGAAAAGCTACACGCATTGCAGGGTTTCAAAACTCAACATCCATGTGAGGTTGCAGGTTCGATTCCCGTCATCAATAATGAAAAAGCTTAATTTCCTGTCTTCGAATTTAGAACATTTGACGAAATTCATCTGCTACTCAACTGCTGCTCTGCTACTCAACTGCTACTCAACTGGTCAGGTCTCACTTCTAAGAAGTAAAACCTCATACCCGGGATGCGGTATTAAAACCTCCTTGGAAAAAAGTGACCCTCCCAAGAGGTTATGACGAGACAGGAAGATTCCTACAATACAACAGGCAAAAGTGGCCGTAGGTTCATAATGGGTGTTATAACAGTCTTTATTAAAAAGTATGGGAGTTACGATCGTCTTAGCGCTACGATCGCTTTGTGAAACGATGCCCAGAAGTTTATACTTTGTGTAGGTTTTGTAAAATCAGATTAAGTTACCCTCAATATCAATATTTGTTTAGAATATTTCGCCACATTTTGGAATGTATAACATGTATACGGCAACTTTAATGCTGCGCAGGATTATCGATTATCGATTAACTACTGAAGATCCGGGATAGAGAAGGCGTCAACGGGATTGTTGATGCATGTCATCGTATCCCAATTGCGTGGAACGATGCTTATGATACGAATCACTGGATTGTCTGGTCCAGGCTGGAATTTTCACAGACCGCCTTTATATAACTGGAATATTATTGAGTGTGGCGTTAGGCAACAAACAAACAAAAGTAGTGTTTGGCGAGAGCCTAGTTGCTGGCAATGTGCATGCACCTTGCATATCAGGCCGACCTCAGGTTTGTTGTCCCATTGACGTTTCAGACGCCGGCGCGACTTAACGACGGCGGTGTCAGCTGTACAGTGATGACGTGTGTCTAGCAAACCATGAAGAAGACGTCGGGAGAATGTTGTTTCTTCACAGCGCTTCTAGGTGAGATACTGAAGGGGTACTTAGCTCCGGCCATGTCACAGACCCAGCTAGAAAAAAACAAACACTTATTTTGTTTGTGATGTATGTCATCTGGTCAGATCTCTTGTTAGTTGATGTTGATATGGAAACGGTATTAAAATTAGAGTTGTCTTGTTTACCAATCCCAGTTTCCAGTCGAAAATAAAATATGTTTAAACCATTTGATCGAATCATGATTGCAGAGTGAGTGAGTGAGTGAGTGAGTGAGTGAGTGAGTGAGAGTTTGAACCACTATGCCGATCTCCATTATTGTGAAACTCTCGTAGTACTAGCTCACCTGATTTACCAATGATTGACTCACCTGGTTTACCTATGACTATAGCTCACCTTATTTTCCTATAACTATAGCTCACCTTATTTACCTATGACTAGCTCACCTGATTTACTCATGCCTATCGCTAACCTGCTTTTACCTATACCTCCAGCTCACCTGGTTTACGTATCATTGGGTCGCCTGATTTACCTATTCATATAGCATAACCTGATTTTCCTATGACTAGATCACCTGCTTTACCTATGACTATAGCTCACCTGATTTACCTATAACTAGCTCAACTGATTTACCTGTGACTATAGCTCACCTGATTTACCTATGACTATAGCTCACCTGATGTACCTATGACTATAGCTCACCTGATTTACCTATGACTATAGCTCACCTGATGTACCTATGACATAGCTAACCTGATTTACCTATGACTATAGCTCACCTGAATCCTCTGCTGAGGTAAGCCCCTCGCCCCGCTGTCCCCTTTATGCAGTATGTGTCATGTTAACCAGATTGTTGAACTGTACATCCATGCATCTGAAATGTAAATCTCTTTCCAACAGGAATCGTCATCCTCATCGGCTGTCTGTTCATTCTTGGAGTCCCTAAGTTTGTAATAGGTATGTCACGCTTTAACCACTAGGCTACCCGACCGCCCCTATCCCTTTAAAATATTGGGAGTTTAGTTTATATAGTTTAGTATGGTATTTTTCACCCATGGACATAATGTCATAACTCCACATAACACGGATCGTTGCACATTTACAACTCAGTTATTTAAAGGCCGCTATAATATAGCTGGAGTGGCTCTGACATCAGATGCCAATACTCACTCGCTCAAGGTGAGGTGAAATTGGGTTTAACGTCGCGTCCAAGATTATTGCACTTATATAGCGACGTGCATGCACGTGTATGTGTGTGTGTGGCTGCTTGTACTAGTCCGGACTGATGCCGATTTATAGTGCTAGCTCACTGAGATACCATGCCGCAGTTTAACATGAATACCCCACTCAGACACAGTATACTGACTCCGAGCCGACCAGGCCTTGTTTTAGCCCCTTAATGCCGAGCGCCAGACAGGGTAACAACAAGTACAATCTTTTAACGTCTTTTTGTATGACGCGGCCCGGGATCGAACCCTGGACCTTCCGCTCTCCGGGCGGACGCTCTACCACAAGACCACGGAGGCGGTCTCTCAAGATCCGGGTCGTCAGCAACCTATGCTTGCCAGAAGAGGCGACTATGCTTGTCGTAACTGGATCGGGCGGTCAGGCTCGCTGACTTGGTTGCATGTCATGGTATGAATCACTGGCTTGTCTGGTCCAGACTCGACTATTTACATATACCGCCGTCATACAGCTGGAATATTGCTGAGTGCGGCGTAAAACAACAAGCAACAAATATCATTCTTACTCACTCTTATTTTTCCTATTTGAGAAGGAATTTATTATACACAAAACAATGCATATATCTCTGCTTTGTTATTATGTATTCAATCGCATAAAAAGTCAGTTAATTCTTTTTCATAACGCTATTACATTTCCTCCCCAGGGATTGAATATTTAGACCGATGCCCCGCGGCACCCCTCATCCCCCTGTACCTGTGTGTCTCGGGGCTTCTGGGCGTGGCAGGGGTGGGGCACAGCGTCTTCCTCTGGACCTGTCTGTACCGCAAGCACATGAAAGAGAACAGGAAGACCCACAGTGTCTGCCTCGTGCTGTGGGTCCTGTTGATGTTCACTATCCCCGCTGTCCAGCTTGTGGGTAAGTGTCTGCAGCGTCATGGTGAGTGAGTCGTGTTTTATGCCGCTTCGAACATTATTCCAGTTCCATCGAGAGGTTTACCGCTCTGGTGAAACCCACAAGCATTGGTATTGAACCCGTGAGGACTCCGGGGTAGAAAGGGTCTTCAACAACCCATGCTTTCCCTAAAAGGTGACTACGCTTGTCGTGAGAGGCGACTAACGGGATCGCGTCAGGTTCACTGACTTGGTTGATGCATGTCATCGATCCCAATTGCGTGGATCTATGCTCATGATATCAATCACTGGATTGTCTGGTCCAGACTCCATTATTTACAGTACAGTATGTTGTAGGCAGTAAAATTGACTAAGAGAGGATTTTGATATTTTGGACCCCATCCTTTTAAAAGTGCTGGATTCGCCCTTGTTGATTAACCTTTCTTACCTCGTCACCCTTTTTTGAAATTAAGTAGACGCCGATAATTCAAATACAACTTTTCCAAAAAGTTTCTGTATTTGTTTTGAACGCATCCCGACACTGTACGCGGCGACGGGGTAGAATGTTGCAAGACTTCCTTTCGTCGTGCCTTGTCATGTCTAAGACCGGGTTCGATTCCCAACATGGGCACAACTTGGAAATTCTGGGTTAGAATTGGCGTTAAGCAGTCCATGCTTCTGGTACGAGGCGACTAACGGGATTGGGTGGTCAGGTAAGGTGACTTGGTTGATAGCTGGAATATTGGTGAGTGGAGTAAGTGAGTGAGTGAGTACGTTTTTACGCCGCTTTTAGCAATATTCCAGCAATATCACGGCGGGGGACACCAAAAATGGGCTTCACACATTGTACCCATGTCGGGAATCGAACCCGGGTCTTCGGCGTGACGAGCGAACGCTTTAACCTCTAGTCTACCCGACCGCCCCTGGTGCGTGGAATATTGGAATGAGTGCGGCGTTAAACAACAAGTAAAGAACGAACAACATGGGAAGCCTATTTCTGGTGTCCCCTGCTGTAACTTATCACTCACTTCTCATATCTCGCTACCCAATAATCACATCTCATTCTTTTTTTCAATTCTGATTACGTTAAATTGACCTTGACCTTGATTACCTTGTCCTTGATTACCTTGATTTGGGTGAACTATAGCATGTCATGAATTTGTAATAATTTTTGCTTTCAGGTGGCCCATACGTCATATATACCTACCATACTGATAATCTTCAGCAAGAAAGATGTGGCGTCATCGCAAATATGACGTCATCTCCATTATACAACCAATCATTGACGTCCGTACCTTTTGGTTTTGCCGTTACCATGCAACCGACAAACCAAACTGGTTCTTCATATACAGTGATCACGGATGAAAAAAGAATTCACTTGCTTAATGAAAAGAACTCTATGTGTGCATTTTGTGATGATGTCATCATTACGTGTGCTTACGTAACATCAGTATTTGAATTGGGTTTTATGACAGTCCCATTGTTGTGTTTTGTAACAGCCGCATTGATATTTCGAGTTCGCAAAAGACGGAAGCTTGCGGAACAAAAAGCTATAATTGTTTGATTTTAAACATGTATATATTTTTATATTAACGTCATGACGCTTGCGTTTCATGTTTTTTCATAGATAGTACATTGCCCTTCAAGACAACGCAAAATACATCAGAAATGGTAGTAAAATGGCAGGAAATATTTATTTACTTTGTCCGCAGAAATGGTAGCCAAAGATTACACAATTCGTTTTGCAGAGTTGCGTCTCTTAGTCATACCAGGATCCGATCAAAATACCCCTATAATAATCGTTGTCTGTTCGTATCATTCCATGCCAGTTGTCTTGACCAAAGAATTAACGTAAGGGACATTTCTGTCACTGGAAAGTCCGCATTTTAAAATTCATGTTCATATTGATTCTACAACATGTTTTTGTACATTCTTTTATTTTACGCTATCATACAAATTCTGTATTTATCTGTTTACAAAAAAGTTTGAAATAATAAACAATTCCATATGAAGAATTGAAGTTGGTTCAGTTGAAAATAGTATTACCTTAACAATTCGCGTGTATTAAGTACAATATGTTCAGTCAAACAGACATCTACCCGAGGCAAGGGAGTTAACTGATTGTCCAGTGTCCACCCTTGTCGACTAGGCTGGTATTATGGCGTTATATATCGGCTGGATTAACGAGTCTATGCATAGTCCAATCAAAATCGCGTCACGAAATTCACATCCGGTTCGTAAACTGCCGTGCAGATTTCGGTCGATTGCCGGATTTGTCAAGCATGTGTACCGCCAACTCAGCGTCAACAGATATTTTCCAAATCTTTCATGTTTTCAATCAAGGTGCCCATGTCATTTGATGCACTTGATGCGAAGTAAGACCCGTTTTATCACAATATAGATTTTGATTATCGAACAGATCGTCTTGACTGTGCGCCACCATTTTGTTTGAAGAAAATGCAGTTGACATGAGAGGTGGAATCTTATTGGTCAATAGGGGTGATATAGAAGGGAAATAATAAGTACGATCGAGCCCAGAAATTCCAGCCTAGTTCGGCAAGGGTGGAAACCGAAATTTACTCCCTTGCCTCGGGACGATGGCTGGAAAGACCTGGGGTGCGACACTGACGTGTATGACACTGTGTTGTGTGTGTGTGACTGTTCAATTTGTGACACTGTGACGTGTGTGTGACAGTGTGGCGTGTAGGTTACCCATGTGAATGAGGTGTATGAATTATGTTGCTACATTCGCGAAACTCCGACCCGTGAAGGTCCGGGGTGGAATAGGTCTTCAGCAAACTATGCTTGTCGTAAAGGACGACCTTGCTTGCCGTAAGAGGCGACTAACGGGATCGGGTGGTCAATCTCGCTAAATTGGTTGATGCATGTCATCGATCCCAATTGCGTAGATCGATACTTATGATGTCGATCGACTCGATTATTTACAGACCGCTGAGTGCGGCGTTTAACAACAAACATACAAACTTTCGTCACCTTCTTACATTGCAACAAACAACAACGAAAGGTGACGGGCACACGTTTAATGAACGCTACATCCGTGGTTTGGACTTGTCTTGCTATCAAGGTCCACCGTCAGGCTCGTAGTGAATCTGACAATAAATCACATCATTTTTAACAATTTGAAACGGTGAGTTAAACTCCTAACTCATCGGCAATGTTTCAAGCATAAAGAAACGGACATTGTGAATCAAGGGTTACTGTAAGGTGGGACACAAAACCCAGTGAATACACTGGAACGTGGATATAACGAACTACAGGGGACCGGGGAAATCAGTTCGTTTTATACGTTGTTCGTTATATCAATATTAGTTCAGATCTACAGATAAGCAGCGTATTTGCGTAAAATACCCCAAATAAATATTCAAAACCGAATTACAGTAAACTACGTTTATAACGAACACGCTTAGAACGAACTGACGGATATAACGAACTTATTTTTCAGTCCAGACCATTTGTTGTATATATGTTGCATGTGTGCTTATAACCAACTACGGTTATTACGAACTAAAATTAATGGCCCCCTCGAGTTTCTTATAACCGTAGTTTCCTGTACTTTCAATAACTTGCGTACAGAAACGGATGCCTTAAATGAAAAACTCAAATGTGTAAAAACAGTTCGCGTAAATACCCAATGAAGCGTTTTCAGCATGCATACAAAGGAGCTAATTTCCGAAACACAATTTACTTTCCGAGTCGAGCCTTTATATTTGAAACAGTTAAATACATCTAAAACATTATTTCATTTTTTTTAAATTTTAAAATGTTCACTAATTTTGGGGAAAAGCCAATAGAGTGATGAATAGATGAGTGAAAAAATATTGGTTACCCTATGAAAACTAATAACCCAATTTTAATAGAAACCCAAGAGTAAAAATTCAATTGCTCAAAAAGTTATCTGGAACTCTGTTTGTTGATAGTTGTATCAAGAATAGTTGACAGAAACGGTATCTTTTGACCTAAGCACAGTTACATGTAAGAAGTGACTTGAATGTGTTTTGCGTTTATATAACTACGTCAACAACAATACCTTCACAAATTGCTTATTTAATCATTAACACACAAAAAATGCAGGCAGCAATACGAAATCCGTAACATCGTTCAATGCAACAGAAACCCCGCTCATTTTATTTTCAACCAATTAAGAAACAGCTGTCCGTGGCTTAATGGGCTTTTTCGGCCCATGGAAACAGAAAAGCAAAGTGCTTTATTAAGTGCTTATTGTTTTTACAATAAAAAAAAACTTTTTTTAACTAGGACATTTGAAATCACTTTTTATATTATTCGATAGAATACCAACTTCCACCAAATAAGCGCAGAGTTGGGGTCAATAAACTGCGATCACTGAGATTATACATATGTTTCTTAGGACCCATGATGGGGCAGGAAATGTATGTGCAATCATTAGTTATTGGAGAGCTGTACATATCCATTGTCAGTGATATGTATGAAGCAATGTAGACCTATATATATAAAAGTAAGGGAGTCTACAAAAAACTATAGACCAATAACACTGAGTAAATTATTTACATCTGTATTGAACAATAGACTGACTAAATATTCAGACTCATCTTCGAAGTCGCAGAAGTACAAACAGGGTTTAGAAAAGGTTATTCATCTTTTGATCACATTTTTAAATTGTTTTCTGTTGTACAGCAATTGAAATCTCAAAAATGAAAATTCTTCTGACTTTGAAGACGCCTTTGATTCTGTCTGGAGAATAGGTCTGGAGCAAACTACACATATGGAATCTCTTGTAAATGGCTCACATTTATTCAATCAATGTACAGTGGCATCAAATAATGTCTACCAAGCAATGGTCACACAGCTGAATATTTTAAATGTAGTAAGGGCAAAGAATATGAAAATACTATTATCCTACAAAACAACAATCTTCAGAATGCTGAAGAGTATAAACTTTTTGGGGTGATATTCTATTTAAAAACTTTCGCAAACACTAAAACATTACAATGTGAAAAAGGCCTTAAAGCTATGAACTTTATACTATCAAACGCCACATCGTAACCTTATCTCTAAGTACCCAACTAAAGCTGTTTGGTGTCATTGTAATTCCTATTTTAACATACGGTTCAGGAATTTGGGGCTTTGAAAACTTAAGAATGATTTAAAATGTTCACTTGACTTTCAAAATAAATATATATGTTGTATGATGAAAGTGGAAGAAAACCTTTATATATTGATATGTACCCTAAAATGATCACCTATTGGGCAAAATATTTAAGTAGAAAATCATCAAAACTCTTCTGTCACGTGTACACAGTTCTACTAGGTTCTTTTGTGAAAAATATTAATGATAAAACAGAAAATACGTGGCTCAATTATATTAAAAATATTGTTTTCCGGACAGGTAATCTCTACATCTGGACTTCTCATACAATAGGGAAAAAAACAAATACCTGAAATTAAAATAAAATAATGGTTTGAAGACAAATATATTCAGAACTGGAGATCTGACATAAACTCCACATCTGAGGGTCAATTCTATAAGATATTCAAGGATACTATTGAAAATGAATTTTATTTACATATTCTGCCCCCAAAAATGTAATTTTCATTTTAATACACATCAGACTTTCAAACCACCGACAATAACATGAGTTTGGTCGGTGGCACCGAAATACCGAAATGTCGCTATTACAGTTTAACAACAGCATAACAAAGATGTTGTCATCCATACCATGTTTGTCTACTTATGATATTGGGGGATTAATATCTCTATTTATTTGTTTGCGAATATTTTGTAGATATAAGAAAAAAATATTTCCATCATACTATCTAAAGAGACCTTCTATGTTCAATATGATAAAATTATTTAAAAGTTAAAATATAGAGTATATTTCATGTGTCGAGTGAAATATCATGTTTCTCTCATCGAGTGACGTGGGGGGAGGAGATATTGAGAGATATGGGAGAAACCTGATATTTCACGAGATACATGGAATATCCTATTTATTATACACTTTTTGTGTAGTTGTCTCCCGGAAAATTAAAATATTTCATTCATCTTCCCGAAGGCAAGGGCATCAACTGACTATAAAAGTCCAGTTTCAACCCTTGCTGAACAAGGCTGGAATTATGGACCTAGCATCAACTGATATTTTTTCAAATCTTAAATGTTTTTAATCTAGGTTTTAACGTGATTTGATACACTTCGCAAAGTAAGACCCGTTTTATTACAATATAGATTTGGATTACCGATAAGATCGTCTTCATTGGGCGCCGCCATTTTGTTTGAAGTAAATGCACGTGATATGAGAGATGGAATCTGATTGGTCAATAGGAGGGACATAGAAGGGACATAACTCAGAATAGCCACTGGTGCCGCTACTATTGAGTCTAGAAATTCCAATCTAATTCGGCAAGGATGGAAACTGGACTGTTAGAGTAGGTTAACGCCCTTGCCTCGGGAAGATGATCCCATCAACCCAAAAATATTTACTAAGTTTTCGTTTCCCCAGCAGTTTACTCACTCACCCATTAGTTCAACAGGTTCTTGGCGACTTGGATGAGTTGTTCGATGTCCGCAACCGTCTCTTCAGCAGCATTCTTTGCCTCAACAGCCTCGTTCTCGACATCGTTCACATAGTTGAGTATCAGGACCTTTTCATCAGCTGGAATGAAAGTGTCGAGTGAAAGTTTTTGGTTTAACAGGATCTATAGCGTTTCAACCATACCACGATGTCATTCGTCACCACTCGCCCCTTTCCGTAACCTGTAAGAAGACTCGTCCCCTAATCGATGAATGTTATGTGCTCAAATACGACAAACTAATCAGAATGCGCGTATGATTTCAAGTTCTTCTTCAAAGAATCCCTCATATATAATTTTTGATTTTACATATGTATTGCATATAAAAATATACCCAAGACACAGTTAAATGTGTTCAATCATACTGTATAATACCTTATGTCCCGAAGTGTCTTAAATTGCATCTGGAATATATATGACATATGGGAAATTTGCGTGAATCATTACGCAACGAGTTGACAATTGTTTTAGTTATGCCCGTTTGCGCTTAGACGGAACCTAGTCGCAAAAAATGGCCACGAGAGGGGCACGAGTCGCTATTCGGCTTGTCCCGGAATAACACGAGTTGGTCACGAATGACCACAAGGTTGTGTTGGACGACAATCCCAAGTGATGCAGATCCAGTCTCATTAAAATCAGACCTAAGTTCTCGCTGCCGAACCTGGATTCGAACCCAATCATAGGTTTCTGGCGTTCTCAAGGAACACAACTCTGCATAGCGAATTGCGGCACCTTAGACGACGTGCCCCCCTTGGCATATCGAAGAGGACAAGTGTCTCTGTCACCCGTAGTACAAAAGGTAGTGACTTATTCACTCACTCAAGTAACTTACCAGTGAGCGTTTTCCCATTGTCGTAATAGTAGCTAGACGATGGCGAGTAGTAGTAGCTTGAGTAACCATAGTAACTGGACGAGGGGGAGTAGTAGTAGCTTGAGTAACCATAGTAACTAGACGATGGAGAGTAGTAGTAGCTAGAGTAACCATAGTAACTGGACGAGGGGGAGTAGTAGTAGCTAGAGTAACCATAGTAACTGGACGATGGAGAGTAGTAGTAGCTTGAGTAACCATAGTAGCTAGACGATGGTGAGTAGTAGTAGCTGGAGTAACCATAGTAACTGGACGAGGGGGAGTAGTAGTAGCTTGAGTAACCATAGTAGCTAGACGATGGTGAGTAGTAGTAGCTGGAGTAACCATAGTAACTGGACGAGGGGGAGTAGTAGTAGCTAGAGTAACCATAGTAGCTGGACGATGGTGAGTTGTAGTAGCTTGATGAACCATAGTAGCTAGACGATGGTGAGTAGTAGTAGCTGGAGTAACCATAGTAACTGGACGAGGGGGAGTAGTAGTAGCTAGAGTAACCATAGTAGCTGGACGATGGTGAGTTGTAGTAGCTTGATGAACCATAGTAGCTAGACGATGGTGAGTAGTAGTAGCTGGAGTAACCATAGTAGCTAGATGATGGTGAGTTGTAGTAGCTTGATGAACCATAGTAGCTAGACGACGGAGAGTAGTAGTAGCTGGAGTAACCATAGTAGCTAGACGATGGTGAGTTGTAGTAGCTTGATGAACCATAGTAGCTAGACGACGGAGAGTAGTAGTAGCTGGAGTAACCATAGTAGCTAGACGATGGTGAGTTGTAGTAGCTTGATGAACCATAGTAGCTAGACGACGGAGAGTAGTAGTAGCTGGAGTAACCATAGTAGCTAGACGATGGTGAGTTGTAGTAGCTTGATGAACCATAGTAGCTAGACGACGGAGAGTAGTAGTAGCTGGAGTAACCATAGTAGCTAGACGATGGTGAGTTGTAGTAGCTTGATGAACCATTGTAGCTAGACGACGGAGAGTAGTAGTAGCTTGATCCGTAAGCTGAAATTTAGGAAAAATGTAGTGTACAGAGGTATATAGGGCTGAGCAGCCAAAAGCAAACTTCGTCACGATCTAGCCGTGTTCACCAATGCAGCAATCTGCACCCATCCTCATCTTGTTACTCTGAACCTAACAATGTCAGATGTCCCGACTATTTGCTGTAGTTATGCTCTATATATGCATATAACGAACTACGGCTATAACGAACTAAAATTACTGGTCCCTTTGAGTTCGTTATAACCGTAGTTTACTGCATGTTGCTTGATTTGTAATTACGTTAGAGCTTAGCATGGCATCAAAATGTTAAATTTATGGATGTTATGTCAAAGAAAAAGCATTGTGTTAAAGTTTAGTTGTGTTAACTGTACGTATGTCGGACACACTAAACGAAAATTCAATTCACTTTCAATGCAGTTTAAGTTGCAAAGTTTACATTTTCGTAAATTACAAGGTGTATTGAATTGATGCCCATGCTCAATCTCCAGGTCGTGACAACGTGTGAGTGAGTGAGTTGGGTTTAACGCCGCTTTTAACATTATTCCAGTTATATCGCGGCGTGTCAGCTTAATGTGGGAAGAAAGCCCGAAGTGATGCAGGTCTCAGACGTTTACCACTTCGGTGAAACCCACGAACACGGGTATGGTGCTGACAAACCTAGAAACATAATCGGGGCGAACCGGGATTCGAACCCACAATCATAGGTTTCTGGCGTGCCCAAGGGACGCAACTCTGCACAGCGAATCGCGGCGCCTTAGACGACTGGGCCCCCCGTGCCCTTCGTGACAACGTAAACAAAAACGAAAAAGAGCAATTTCAATTTACTTTTTGTTTTTACAATTTATAGAAACTTTATATGTTGCATGTTAGGACATGTTTTAACTTGCAAGTAAATCACTGTGCCAAATTTGTTGGAAGGTATCCTTTACACGTTGCTGAAACACATTGAGAATTCCATTTTTCGCTACCGTGCATTTAAAATAACCATATATTTTTCCAAATCTTAACCTTCACAGACAATTTCTTAATTTTGTAAACCAATTTACTCGACCTTGTTCATCATATAAGCACATCATATCAACCATTGTTGGGTTAACGACACTGGGGTAGTGTCAAAATATTTAACCAATAATTTGCACATTTTAACATAGCATATACATGAATGGGGTATCGTCCACACTTACCGTACACTGCGGTGTTCGTGGCAGACAGTTTTAAATTAAAAAAACGTTTCCATGCGTAAACTTGTACCCTATCCAACGTTTCTACCTTTTCGAACCCCCAAACTTCCGCACAATACAAGAATACTGGCATTATCTTTGCCTCAAAGATTTGAAGAAGAAATCTGTTGAAAAAGGTTGCAACGAGTGTAGACTTCAGCCGTTTTAGGCCAATTAAGCCTATTGTGAATACATAAACTCAAATAGGTGTAAAAAGGAACAACTTCAACTAATTCATTTATGAAAAGCTGAAACAGGAACGGGCTCAGCACACAACCTTGTCTACCACCAATAGAACAATCAGACGCACCAGAGATGTAGTTTTAGGCCGGACACAAGATTTTACATCTCAGGTGAAGTAATAACGATAGTGTACGTACATGCTTGTCTCTTCAGCCGAGAGTTGTCCTTGAGGGAGTTGATAAACTTACTGTCCTGAAAACAAGAACGACAAGACTGATGCAGATTTATAGTGCTAGCCCATTGAGATACATTGCCTGGGTTTTCCATGAATACCCCACTTAGACACAGTATAATGACTCCGAGCCGACCAGTCCTTGTTTTAGCCAGGCAGGGTAACAACAAGTACCAGATCTTTTGGTGTGACGCGGCCGGGGTCGAACCACCGATCTTTAGTTAAAACGCAGCAATACCTCTGAAGTCCTGATCAAAGGGGATTTAATCCCAAATACCCGCTCACGCATTACACCCAGACTCCACTCTCTCATTACACCCAGACTCCACTCTCTCATTACACCAAGACTCCACTCTCTCATTACACCAAGACTCCACTCTCTCATTACACTAAGACTCCACTCCCTCATTACACCCAGACTCCACTCTCTCATTACCCCCAGACTCCACTCCCTCATTACACCCAGACTCCACTCTCTCATTACCCCCAGACTCCACTCTCTCATTACACCAAGACTCCACTCCCTCATTACCCCCAGACTCCACTCTCTCATTACACCAAGACTCCACTCCCTCATAACACCCAGACTCCACTCTCTCATTACCCCCAGACTCCACTCCCTCATTACACCCAGACTCCACTCTCTCATTACACCCAGACTCCACTCTCTCATTACACCCAGACTCCACTCTCTCATTACCCCCAGACTCCACTCCCTCATTACCCCCAGACTCCACTCTCTCATTACCCCCAGACTCCACTCTCTCATTACCCCCAGACTCCACTCTCTCATTACACCCAGACTCCACTCTCTCATAACGCCCAGACTCCACTCTCTCATTACCCCCAGACTCCACTCTCTCATTACCCCCAGACTCCACTCCCTCATTACCCCCAGACTCCACCCCCTCTCTTCACCGCTGGACTTCAGAGAAACTGACCTGAACCTCGCCCGTTGCAAGGGTGAACAGCAACGCCACAATCAACGCTTGGGAAACCATGGTTGTTGATTTCGGAAACATCTGATTGCAATTACTGTGAAATGGACACTTTTATATATGAAATGTACACGATCAATGATATAGACTTATGCCTGCCACCTGCAGACACCTGCGCGTTTCGACAGGGATCTCCAGTATCCTGCAATCTGATCAAACTCCTTCAGACAGCTGGAGGGATGCTCTGAAACCTGGTCCAACAACGCTCGTGTTATTTACCACTTTCCAATAAGTTTCAGTACGTATTAAAGTTCCATGGACCTCTCCTTCTCAGATATAACGCCATCATGTCACGAACTGGACTCAGTTGACGCCTTGTGGTCTAAAGCCTACTCATATCATATGGCTGAATATACACTATTTGAATATTAATTCATATGCTTTATTGACACAATTATTAAACAGAAGCAGGTGAATCTAATGACGTTGTTTATCTGTTCTGTCAGATAACGATCAGCAAATCAATGTTTTGGCATTTAATACTTTCATCAGTTTCTGTTTTAAGATTATTTTAATGAAATTGTTTATGAGTAAAACAAAATATAAAGATTCCACTGATTGTCTTTTAAGACAAGATGCTGACTTGTTTTTGCAAGTGATGATATATTCAGACAAGATGCTGACCTTTATCTGCAAGTGTTGGAATATTATATATTAAAAGACACGAGGGTGAGATTCTATTCATTTCCCTGTCTGACATCAGTGTTAAACTGGTATCTCAGTGGGCTAGCACTATAAAACCCCTACTATTCCGGACTAGTGCAAGCCGCACAAATGTATTATTCAAACAATCAGTTACCGGATATGTAGGTGAGTGAGTGAGTGAGTATGGTTTTACGCCGCTTTTAGCAATATTCCAGCAATATCACGGCGGGGGACACCAGAAATGGGCTTCACACATTGTACCCATGTCGGGAATCGAACCCGGGTCTTCGGCGTGACGAGCTAACGCTTTAACCACTAGGCTACCCGACCGCCCCGTGATATGTAGGTGAAGAAGAGGTAACCTCTGTTAATACTTGACTGGTGAAGATCCGGGGTAGAATAGGTCTTCAGCAACCCATGCTTGCCGTAAAAGGCGACTATGCTTGTCGTAAGAGGCGACTGACGGGATCGGGTGGTCAGGCTCGCTGACTTGGTTGACGCATGTCATCGTATTCCACTTGCGTGCATCGATGTTCATGATGTCAGTCACTGGATTGTCTGGTCTGACTCAAATATTTACAGACCGCCGTCATATACCTGGAATATTGCGGCGTTAAACAACAAACAAACAAACAGATTTTAATACGTATTCCATAGGGGGCACGCTAAGCAGAGTTGCGTCCCTTGGGCACGCCAGAAACCTGTGATTGTGAGTTCGAGTCCGGTTCGCCCCGATTATGTTTCTAGGTTTGTCAGCACCATACCCGTGCTCGTGGGTTTCACCGAAGTGGTAAACGTCTGAGACCTGCATCACTTCGGGCTTTCCTCCCACATTAAGCTGACACACCGTTTTATAACTGGAATAATGTTAAAAGCGGCGTTAAACCCAACTCACTCACTCACTTATTCAACTAACAGTGGTTTACCATCGACAACACGTTGTGAACCTTGATAAACCGAATTAATCAATCCTATAACGTCATTGCTGCCTATGCAGTTTGTTATGACAGTAAATCAAATTAATTATTTCGCTCTATTCAATAGAATTTGTTTACTAATTAGTAATACCATTTTAAAAATAAACAAATGATGTGAAATGTTCGGTTTCAATTTCGAAAATTTCGAATTTGTCATAAGAATAATGAGTGGGAACAACACTTTGTGAAAACTTTTGTTTTTTATCGAACATGCATACTTAAAAAAACACGCTTTGCCGGTCAACTAAATTAATCATATGTCAGCTGGTGCCTACGTCATAGGCCGGTGAGTTATAAAAGAGCTCCTCTTCTCCTGGTCTGAAGCATAATCCAGAATGAAGCGCTTTTTGCTGGTGGCGAGTCTTCTCGCCTTGGGCCTTGTGAGAGCTGACGATGAAAGAGCAGAGGTAAATTATTTGTTTATTTGTTGTTTAACACCACACTCAGCAATATTCCAGCTGTATGACGACATATTCGCCTTTTAAGGGTTGCTGAAGTCCTATTCTACCCAGGATCTTCACGGTTAGAGGAAACAGTTTTGTAGATAACTACCAATGCATCTGTAATAAGCAAGGTCGTGTTATGTCCCATCATCACGTGGGGGGGGGGGGGTTGTCAAGTCACCTATGCAGAGTTGTGTCCCTTTGGCGTGCAAGGATCCAGTGATCGTGGGTTCGAATCTCCTGATTGTGATCCTCTATGTGTCGACACCATGTTATTATTCGTGGGTTTCACCAAAGAGCTATCTCATTTAAATTAGATCTTAGTTCGTGCTAAATCTTGAGGATATATCATTTCAGGTCACGTTAGCGTCGCTCACCAGATCGAGAAGGTGGCGGTCGGAATGTGTTGTCTGCTCATACAACCTCGAAATGGTTAACTCGAGACTGGTTACTTTTCACGATTAGATATTTGTCACCTACAGCTACAAAACCACATCTTTAAACCACGGGCCTGATTTTAAAAAAAAACACAAAAAAAACACAGAGCAACTTTGTAATTTTTGTAGCAGACAGTTTCTTTTTTTCAACTGCCTGAAGTATATTTTTATTTTCTTCAAGACAACATTTTTTTTTTTCCAAAAAGAGTGAGTAGCTTTTGGCAAAATTCCAGCAATATCACGGCGGGGGACACCAGAAATGGGCTTCACACAGTGTACCCATATCGGAAATCGAACCCGGGTCTTCGGCGTGACGAGCGAACGCTTTAACCACTAGGCTACCCGACCGCCCCTTTTCAAAAAGAGCCCAGCCTCCTCCTGACGTGACCTGTAATGGGATGTCCTCACATCTTTGTACATCGGTAGCGATAACTAAGATCTGATTTTAAATATTGAGACCTGTATCACCTTTGGTTTCATTATGTTTGTTTGTTAAACGCCGTACACAACAATATTCCAGCTATATCTGCAAATAATCGAGCCTGGACCTGACAATCCAGTGATTGAAATCATGAGCATCGATCCACGCAATTGGGTTACGATGACATGTATCAAACAAGTCAGCGAGCCTGATCACCCGATCCCGTTTGTCGCATCTTACGACAAGCATAGTCGCCTGTTACGGCAAGCATTGGCTGCTGAAGACCTATTGTAACCCGGATATTATCATTCGGCTGCAAACGCCAGATACCACTTGACGCATGCGCATAGCTATTTGGAAAACAGAAACCTCATCCCAGGCCACTATGACATATGTCCATCACAAGTAAAATTCAATCGACTATAAGTAACAAACATCTTAAGCTCATTAAAATTAGTGCAATTTTTTTTTTTTTAAATCTGCCTTTATTATGTATGATACATCTTGTATTGAGATAGTACAACATTTGTCCCACTTGTCAGTGTGCAAAGGGGCACGGGTGGCCCAGTCGTCTAAGGCGCCGTGATTCGATGTATAGAGTTGCGTCCCTTGGGCACGCCAGAAACCTATGATTGTGGGTTCGATGCGACGTTAAATTTTAACTCACTCACTCACTTTGTGGCCATTGATACTGAATAAACCTCTTCTTCTTCATCTTCTTTTGATACGTACTAATATAATGATGTCTTGCTAAGCCCACTAGTTTGTTCGATTTAATATCCAAATGGGTGGAGTTTTTATCCCTCCGAGTAAGTAAACAGTTTGTGATGATAATAAGATAAACAGAGTGAGTGAGTGAGTGAGTGAGTGAGTGAGTATGGTTTTACGCCGCTTTTAGCAATATTCCAGCAATATCACGGCGGGGACACCAGAAATGGGCTTCACACATTGTACCCATGTCGGGAATCGAACCCGGGTCTTCGGCGTGACGAGCGAACGCTTTAACCACTAGTCTACCCGACCGCCCCGAGTGAGTGAGTGAGTGAGTGAGTGAATGAGTGAGTGAGATTAAACCAAACTCACCTTCTTGTATCGTTCTGTTTTCTTGCCACAGACTGTCGAGAAGGACGACGCTCGTCTGAAGCGTGCAGCATGTACGTAGTCACGTCTCTCGCATAATCAATGAATAATTCATATTACATACAGATTTTATCTAAAAATGTAAATTGTCTCCGAAATGTCTTGAAAAAAACAATCACGTTTCAGAATGTTTAAAAAAAAAAAACGGTCAAAAAATGACATTGTTGTAATTTTCATAGTTTTAAATAAAAATGTATATATCTTAAGTTGTAGAACCACTTTCACCCTTATAGGTATATGTGTATCAGCCTACCGACCCAGTTGTTTTCTAACAGTTTCATAAAATGAATTTATACCAAGTTCAGCTGACCTTTCAATTTCTCTGATGGTATTCTTTTAGTTGGACCATTTTTATTTTCGGGACATGTTATTGTTCACGTAAATAGCGAACTGCGAACACTAAACTGATTTCAGGAATCCTCGTCGCTCGTTACATCCAGAGTGACTGTAAACAATTAGTTAGTTCGTTATATCCGTCAGTTAGTTATAAGGGTGGTTGTTATAAACGTAGTTTACTGTACGTGTCTTATTGCAGGGTATACGACAACGGCCTTCCCGTCGTGGAACACGGATCAGTCTGTCAAGTCCACAACACCCTACCCGTACAAATCTTCTACAACCAAACGGAGTCAAGCACGTAAGAATTGAGAGAGAGAGAGAGAGAGAGAGAGAGAGAGAGAGAGAGAGAGAGAGAGAGAGAGAGAGAGAGAGAGTCCGAAGTTTAGACCGCCTTCGTGGTCCAGAGCGGTAGAGCGTCCGCCCGGAGAGCGAAAGGTCCGAGGTTCGATCCCCGGCCGCGTCATACCAAAAGACGTTAAACGATGGTACTTGTTGTTACCCTGCCAGGCAGTCGGCAATAAGGGGCTAAAACAAGGACTGGTCGGCTCCGAGTCAGTATACTGTGTGGGGTATTCATGTTAAACTGCGGCATGGTATCTCAGTGGGCTTTTAATCGGCATCAGTCCGGACTAGTACAAGCAGCCACACACACGTGCATGCACGTCGCTATTTATAAGTGCAATAATCTTAGACGCGACGTTAAACCCCTTTTCACCCCGCCATGTTTTTTCATTGTCTAAGAAATCATCATTAATAAACATATCAGATGAGGCGAATTGTATATAGTTCAATATAAGTATATAGGTGTATGTATGTGCAATAATTTTGGACGCGACGTTAAACCCCATTTCATTTCACTCTTATAGGTATATGAGTATCAGCCACCCGCCCTCGTTGTTTTCTAAGAGTTTCAAAAAAATAATTTATACTACTTTCACCTGACCTTGATGATATTCTTTTTGTTGGACTTTTTTGATTTCCGATAGAGACATGTCATTGTTCACGTAAGTTATAAACTGCGGATGTACCAGGCTTTTTTAAGGGACCCTCGTCGCTCTCTACATGCAGACTTACCTTAACAATATGTGTCTTATTGCAGGGTATACGACAACGGCCTTCCCGTCGTGGAACACGGATAAGTCTGTCAAGTCCACAACACCCTACCCGTACAAATCATCTACAACCAAGAAACCTTGGTGGAAACGCGGCAAGCGGCAAGCATGTAAGGCTTCATATTGACAGGGTATACTGTACTGTCTCTAGGTCATCCCGAGGCAAGGAAATTAACTGACTTAAAAAGTCCAGTTCCCACCCTTGCCGAACGAGGCTGATATTTCCGGACTCGATAGTACTAATTATGTCCCTTCTCTGTCCCTCTTACTGACCAATCAGATTCCACCTCTCACATCACTTGCATTTGCTTCAAATAAAATGGCGTCGCACAGTCAAGACGATCTGATCGATAATCAATATCTATATTCGAGAGAGACATTCCAAAGTTGACAGTCAATGAATCAATTTCAGTGGTTTACACAAATAAAATAAAAAGGCATAACATTTTTAAAATTCCGATCAACTTATCCGATTCATATACGTATACGGAGACAGGTGATGTAGTAATTTCCATGCATTACCTCTAATTTCCAGTTCATGTAGTTCTTAAAATAATACATGATGCCATATTCTATCGGACCGCCTCCGTGGTCGTCGGAGTCAGTATACTGTGTCTGAGTGGGGGTATTCATGTTTAACATGTATCTCAGTGGGCTATAAATCGGCATCAGTCCGGACTAGTACAAGCATGCACGTCACTATATATGTGCAATAATTTTGGACGCGACGTTAAACCCCATTTCACTTCACCCTTATAGGTATATGTGTATCAGCCACCCGCACCAGTCGTTTTCTAACAGTTTCATAAAATGAATTTATACCAAGTTCAGCTGACCTTTCAATTTCTCTCATGGTATTCTTTTTCTTGGACCATTTTTATTTTCGAGACATGTTATTGTTCACGTAAATAGCGAACTGCGAACACTAAACTGATTTCAGGAATCCTCGTCGCTCGTTTCATCCAGAGTGACTGTAAACAATATGTGTCTTATTGCAGGGTATACGACAACGGCCTTCCCGTCGTGGAACACGGATACGTCTGTCAAGTCCACAACACCCTACCCGTACAAATCCTCTACAACCAAGAAACCTTGGTGGAAACGCGGCAAGCGGCAAGCATGTAAGGCTTCATATTGACAGGGTATACTTTGCTGTGTCTACATCTTCCCGAGGCAAGGGAATTAACTGACTTAAAAAGTCCAGTTCCCATCCTTGCCGAACGAGGCTGATATTTCCGGACTCGATAGTACTTATTATGTCCCTTCTCTGTCCCTCTTACTGACCAATCAGATTCCACCTCTCACATCACTTGCATTTGCTTCAAACAAAATGGCGTCGCACAGTCAAGACGATCTGATCGATAATCAATATCTATATTCGAGAGAGAGAGACATTCCAAAGTTTACAGTCGATGAATCAATTTCAGTGGTTTACACAATAAAATAAAAAGGCATAACATTTTTACAATTCCGATCAACTTATCCGATTCATATACGTATACGGAGACAGATGATTTAGTATTTTCCATGCTTTACCTCTAATGCCCAGTTCTTGTAGCTCGTAAAATAATCCATGGTGCCATATTCTATCGGACCGCCTCCGTGGTTTAAAGCGTGGTAGAGCGTCCGCCCGGAGAGCGAAAGGTCCGGGGTTCGATCCCCGGCCGTGTCATACCAAAAGACGTTAAACGATGGTACTTGTTAAACGATGGTACCCTGTCTGGCGCTCGGCATTAAGGGGCTAAAACAAGGACTGGTCGGCTCGGAGTCAGTATACTGTGTCTGAGTGGGGTATTCATGTTAAACTGCGGCATGGTATCTCAGTGAGCTATCAATCGGCACCAGTCCGGAGTAGTACAAGCATGCACGTCACTATATAAGTGCAATAATTTTGGACGCGACGTTAAACCCCATTTCACTTCACCTCACCATGTTTTCAGTATCTAAGAAAACAGCATAGATTGCAGGAGCTCTTTGTATGTAATACTGAATGCCTTGTTTATCAAAATATTTAGTGACAGACCCGTGAGGATCCGGGGTAGAATAGGTCTTCATCAACCCAGGCTTACCTGTACAGTAAACTACGGTTATAACGAACTCAAAGGGACCACTAATTTTAGTTCGTTGTAGCCGTAGTTCGTTATATGCATATATACAGCATAACTACAGCATATAGTCGGGATAAAAACGTTAGTTCGTTATATCCGTCGGTTCGTTATAAGCGTGGTTGTTATATACGTAATTTACTGTATGTGTCTTATTGCAGGGTATACGACAACGGCCTTCCCGTCGTGGAACACGGATAAGTCTGTCAAGTCCACAACACCCTACCCGTACAAATCATCTACAACCAAGAAACCTTGGTGGAAACGCGGCAAGCGACAAGCATGTAAGGCTTCATATTGACAGGGTATACTGTACTGTCTCTAGATCATCCCGAGGCAAGGGAATTAACTGACTTAAAAAGTCCAGTTCCCACCCTTGCCGAACGAGGCTGACATATCTGGGCTCGATCGTACCAATTATGTCCCTTCTATGTTCCTCCTATTGACCAATCAGATATCATCTCTCATATCACTTGCATTTGCTTCAAACAAAATGGCGTCGCACAGTCAAGACCATCTGATCGATAATCAATATCTATATTGTGATCATTCGGGTCGTACTTCGCGAAGTGCAGCAAATCAGGTGAACACCTAGATCAAACACATGAAAAGATTTGGAAAATATCTGTGGACGCCGGGTTGACGGTACACATGTTTTCCAAATCCTGCAATCGACCGAAATCAGTTGGATGCCGATTTCGTTACGCGATTTTGATTGGACTACGCATAGACTCGTTAGTCCAGCCAAAATATAAGTCCATAATTCCAGCCTAGTTTGGCAAGGGTGGAAACTGAACTTTTACAGTCAGTTAACTCCCTTGACTCGGGAAACTGTCCGTTCGCTTGAAGGCTTGTTATTTATGTAGGTGATTGCAATCAATCATTTGCACGTAAGTAGTAAAAAAAATATGCCATCTGTGAAGAAAGTTAGGATTGGTATGAATTCTTGGCACATTATCATGTCATGTATTATCTGATTATATCGCCGACTATACATTAATCATAGGGCTAAGCACGAGAATGTGTTTTATTAATCTTTTATTGATCGTGATTAGTTTTTTTTAAAGTTTGTGTCTCCGAAAATGCTTCAAAAGCCATAAATCGTTTACTGGGAGAAAAATAATATATCCTCATTTTTTACCAAAAAAGTTGTTTTCTAAACATGCTGGATGTTTAGCGGGAAGAAATTAGAATTATTTTACGCCTTTCAGTGAAGGCAAATGCCTTAAAGAATATTTGGGTGTGTTTGGGATCCTTTTTAATCCTTTTTAAAACTATATCCCTTCAGGCACCAGTCCAAGAATATGAAATGGTCGGTGCCTTAGGAAACTCATGCTAGAATATTTGTCGCCTCGCATTGAGGTCAATAGAAGTACCTTTATCTACCGATAATGTACCGGTTGTCGTTCTCCATCTATTCAGTGGCCTAAAATATATACTCATGCCTTTGGGGCATGGATGACCCAGTCATCTAAGGGGCCGCGATTCGGTGTGCAGGGTTGCGTCCCTTGGCCATGCCAGAAAACTATGATTGTGGGTTCGAATCCCGGTTCGCCCCGATTATGTTTCTAGGTTTGTCAGCACCTTACGCGTGTTCGTGGGTTTCACCGAAGTGGTAAACGTCTAAGACCTGCATCATTTCGGGCTTTCCTCCCACATTAAGCTGACACGCCGCGATATTACTGGAATACTGTTAAAAGCGGCGTTAAACCCAACTCGCCCAACCCACTACTCATGCCTTATTGTCGTTGTTGTTTCCTTACAGATTACACCGACAACCCCTACCAATATATGACCACCCAGTACCCGGATTATCTAACTACAAGCGGATACACGTACACCGACAATACTTACAACCCCTACCAATATATGACCACCCCGTACCCGTATTACCAAACCACAACCGGCTACCCGTACACCGACAATACTTACAATCCCTACCAATATATGACCACCCCGTACCCGTATTACCAAACCACAACCGGCTACCCGTACACCGACAATACTTACAACCCCTACCAATATATGACCACCCCGTACCCGTATTACCAAACCACATCCGGCTACCCGTACACCGACAATACTTACAATCCCTACCAATATATGACCACCCCGTACCCGTATTACCAAACCACATCCGGCTACCCGTACACCGACAATACTTACAACCCCTACCAATATATGACCACCCCGTACCCGTATTACCAAACCACATCCGGCTACCAGTACACCGACAATACTTACAATCCCTACCAATATATGACCACCCCGTACCCGTATTACCAAACCACATCCGGCTACCCCGCTTATCCCAACGATGGATACAGTGGTAAAGGTAATATTTCATCTTGTCACATTTTATCTTTTTGTGAGTGAGTGAGTGAGCGAGTTTATCAGCACTTCTCTTATATCTCTGCGTTGTATCTTGGTATGGGATGTGATATGGTATATGATGCAGGTTTGAGACGCTTTCTACATTGGTGAATTATGCGAAGATGGCCGACAAATCACTAATTATAATCAGGGGCTTCTGGGATTCGAACACACGTCATCGGATCCTGACATGCCAGGGGAACGCAACTCTGCAAGAAAACTGGGGAGCCAGACGCACTCTCACCCCTTAACGTTAGAAGTTCTAACTGGTATAAAGGCCGAATCCGGATTTATTCGTCAAGAAAACCACCGAACATGATACATTTAATACACATTCAGGCTCTTAGAGGGGCGGTCGGGTAGCCTAGTGGTTAAAGCGTTCGCTCGTCACGCCGAAGACCCGGGTTCGATTCCCGACATGGTTACAATGTGTATGTATGTATGTATGTATGTATGTATGTATGTATGTATGTATGTATGTATTACTGGTCCCGGCTGATTCTTACAGCACTTTGGTTATATTTCGATACTCTTGTACAAGAAGTACAGAAGCTCCTCCCGAGGAACCAGTAGTGCCTTAGGCAGTGCAGAGTGTAAAGTGACACGTGCACAGACATCCTGGGTATAAATGTGAAAATAACGCAAGTTCCAATTGAACAACGCCTTGTAAACGTCACGTGTCCAATATGCTCACAGCGGGAACAAAGGCCCAGCTGGTGAACGAGGTGCAGAAGCTGCTGCAGGAGGCTCAGGGTGCCTTGAGTGACGCTCAATCAGCAGCGGACTATGCGAAGCAGGTGAAGGGGGAATTCACGGCTTGAAGACACAAGGCGACAGCAGACGCCCGACGCAAGGTAAGGGAGACCGTCAAGTTGATATTTGATGTGGGCTATTTTCGAAGAAAGAAACATAATAATATAATTAATTCCAGAAAATACTTGGAAAAGTATTTTGCCCGAGGTTCTACAGAAAATAAGTTTATAAAATCGCCAGCCAAGGGGTTGGACAAAATCGTCTTGGGTTAGGTCTACCAGACTGTAAGTAATCTTCGAGGGACTCGCTACACTGACTAACCGCTCTAGTCTAACGATTTCCATCCATGTTATGTCATTGCCCTCCATTCAGTGGTGTATCTTTTTCGCTGTATTACCTTCCTTGGACAAAACCGTCTTGACTGATACTTGGTACAACTTGCCCGGATCCGTTATTGAGACACCCATGCTTCATGTGCCAAAAACATTTCTTATGTGTGTGGCACTTGTCCCATAATCGAGAAATTCCACTTTTTGATTTACCAAACATTCGGCCACCCTCGGATATTAACGTCCCCTCTCTATCGCACCCACAATTCGCCATTTTGTCTGTTGATTGAGATATATCTCGGGGGAATTTTAAAGCGTGTGCTCAGGCGCACGCACTTTGGCTTCTTTGTGCCCGTGCATCACGTAGTGTTCTTGCATTGTGACGACCCGTGAAGATCCGGGGTAGAATAAGTCTTCAGCAACCCATGCTTGCCGTAAAAGGCGAAAATGCTTGTCGTAAGAGGCGACTAACGGGATCGGGTGGTCAGGCTCGCTGACTTGGTTGATGCATTTCATCGATCCCAATTGCGTGGATCGATGCTCATGATATCAATCACTTGATTGTCTGGTCCAGACTCGATTATTTACAGACCGCCGTCATATAGCTGGAATATTGCTGAGTGCGGCGTTAAACAACAAACCAAACCAAACCAAAAGCATTGTGACATTTATTGTGATTAATGTTGCGTTCGGATGCAGCTACGGTATTGTTAATGTACACCTCAACGATAGCTACATTCAAATCATTAGTCACCTTACTTTTTGTCGGTAGAATATTACTGGTGTATTATTGTACAACTGTATAATTGTTAGCATGTAATCAGCATATGACGGACTAACAAATGCAGGCACTCTCTGCTGTAAAATCATTACTGATGTTGCAGAACCTTTTGACCATCCTTCTTGTAAAGTACACCATATTATTCTGCTTTTACAGATATGGACTTGACGATCACACCCAATTCGCAGATACACACTTGTTCTAAATGGCTGATAATAAAACGTTCATCTCTAACCTTTGTCTGTACGATATGTAATCAGAAACAACTGGACAATTGGCATTATCCGCATATTCCTACAAGTAAAGGGTCCAACCAAATGGTCGGTCCCTAAATGCCCACAGGTGTAACGGGTTCTTATTTAAGACGCACTCCAGTGGGTCAGGATCAGACAAACTAGCATGACATCACAAAATGCATGACATCGCAAACTAGCATGACATCACAAAGGACCCAAGTGTCACCCAAGTCGCGATAGCAACCGAACGACAGGCAGTAGCATGGTGGGAACTTCTAAACCAGGTCTCCACAGAGACAAGTAGTATATTCCTGGAGACCTGTTCTAACCCAGGTCTCCACAGAGGACAAACAGTAATGTCCTGAGGACCTACTCTAACCCAGGTCTCCACAGAGAAAAGCAGTATATTCCTGGGGACCTATTCTAACCCAGGTGTCCACAGACACAAGCAGTATATTCCTAAGGGACCTGTTCTAACCCAGGTCCCCACAGAGACAAGCAGTATATTCCTAAGGGACCTGTTCTAACCCAGGTCTCCACAGAGTGACAAGCAGTATATTCCTAAGGGACCTGTTCTAACCCAGGTCTCCACAGAGACAAGCAGTATATTCCTGGGGACTTATTCTAACCCAGGTGTCCACAGACACAAGCAGTATATTCCTAAGGGACCTGTTCTAACCCAGGTCCCCACAGAGACAAGCAGTATATTCCTAAGGGACCTGTTCTAACCCAGGTCTCCACAGAGTGACAAGCAGTATATTCCTGGGGAACTGTACTAACCCAGGTCTCCACAGAGTGACAAGCAGTATATTCCTGGGGACCTTTTCTAACCCAGGTCCCCACAGAGTGACAAGCAGTATATTCCTGGAGACCTATTCTAACCCAGGTCTCCACAGAGTGACAAGCAGTATATTCCTGGGGACTTATTCTAACCCAGGTCTTCACAGAGTGACAAGCAGTATATTCCTTGGGACCTGTTCTAACCCAGGTCTCCACAGAGTGACAAGTAGTATATTCCTTGGGAATTGTTCTAACCCAGGTCTCCACAGAGTGACAAGTAGTATATTCCTTGGGAACTGTTCTAACCCAGGTCTCCACAGAGTGACAAGCAGTATATTCCTTGGGAATTGTTCTAACCCAGGTCTCCACAGAGTGACAAGCAGTATATTCCTTGGGACCAGATATGTAACAGAAATTTGCATGAACAGAAAATAGTGTGCAATGGATTACCAAATCAGGCTCAGCCATAAATTTCTTCATCTAATTCAAGTCACAATTTCAAACAGAAAAACACAATATTTGTTTCATTTATTTTAAATTTTATTACTGGAAAACAAAACAAATGCAATTGTAGAAAAAAAAGATCAATAAAAAAAAGAATATTTAATGTTGAGTAATATTACCAAACATGCCTTCTACAGAACACATTCATGTATTCCTAACATGAGGAAAAGTTATCATCATTGACAGGCAATATATATTTATTAGAAAATGAACTTCAACAAGAAATCATCATTATATGAGATGGACAATTTAATGTAATTTCAATGTCTTCAACGTCTATCTCAAAAGCAAGAACAAGTTATATTTTTACATTCATATACAACTGGATCAATATTTTCGGACTAAAACATAATATAAACCTGTTACATATTTCACAAGTAACTTCAACAATTTAAACTTAAAATCAAAATGTCCAGATCATTTTGATTGTATGGTGTAGATTTGTGAACTTATTTCTCACACTGTGAAGAAAATGTCAGATCATTTCCTTTTGATTAAAGTTAATTATTTAAAAAACATGCAGGTCAACCTATAGTTGATAAGAGAGTCAAAACACTTAGCCCTAGTTTATTCATCTTCCCGAGGCAAGAGAGTTAACGGACCATTTAAGTCCAGTTTCCACCCTTGCCGAACTAGGCTGGTATTATGGAGTTACATTTTGGCTGGACTAACAAGTCTATGCATAGTCCAATCAAAATCGCGCAACGAAATCGAAATCTGGTTCGTAAACTGTTGCGCAGATTTTGTTTGATTGCAGGATTTGCAAAGCATATGCACTGCCAACTTGTAAACAGATATTTTCCAAACCTTTACATGTTTTTAATCAAGGTACTCGCATGATTTGATGCACTTCGCAATGTAAGACCTGTTTTATCTCAATATTGATCTTTATTATTGATCAGATCGTCTTGTCTGAAGCCGCCATTTTGTTTGAAACAAATGCAAGTGATGGAATCTAATTGGTCCATAGGAGAGGCTTAGAAGGGGCATAACTCATAATAACCACTGGTGGCGCTACTATCGAGCCCAGGAATTCCAGGCTAGTTCGGCAAGGGTGGAAACCTTTATAGTCAGTTAACTCTCTTGACACGGGAAGATGTAGTTTATTTGAATGGGACACTGAATCTTTAAGATAAAAACGGTACAGGTATTGCACAACTATTCTTAATATCACATACATTCAATACACAACACAGACCTGCTTCTTAATGCTTATGAAGTGTACTTCCACAGGCTTTGGATCAAATTAATTTTAATGATTTCAACATGACCTGGATAAAACACTGGACAACACAGCAAATACAAGCCTCAGGCTGAGTCAGTTGTGAAGGGTTATAGCCAAATATATCATAGTAACTGAACCTTGAGTGAATGACATTGTGGATACATCATTCTTCATAGTCTTACAAACATTCATGTTTGGTTGGATGTTTGTTTGTTGTTTAACACCCAATCCTTCGTCCAGCTACATGCTGGCAACCTGTAAAGTCTGGACAATCCAGTGATAGATGTTTGAGCAATCATCACTGCTGTTAGGGTAAGATGAAATTCAATGAAGTTTGTTTGCTTGTTGTTTAACGCCGCACTCAGCAATATTCCAGCAATATGACGGCGGTCTGTAAATAAACCATTCTAGGCCAGACAATCCAGTGACTGATATCATTAGAATTGATCTACGCAGTTGGGATACGATGACATGCATCAACCAAGTCACGAATCGGACCCCCTGATCTAACAAGTCACATTATATGACAAGCACAGGTAGACTGCATCCCTCTGAAGAGCTGGGCGACAGATCAGGTGGTCAGGCTTGTTGAACTGGCTGATGCACGTCATTATCCCAGTTGCGTTGCTTTCAGTGCAGCATTTAACAACAAAACAACAAACCAACAACAACATGCATACACAGAAGCATCCTGAGCCTGGTCATATGAATCTCAAGCTCTGCGTGTCTTCCAACCAGTTCCATATTCAACTGTTATTGTGTTAACAATTCTGTATTTACCAAAAATCCCGTTCATCATACAAATGTGAGGACACTGACTGCAAGTTTGAGCAAAGGTAGCAAATATTCACATCACATCCAAATTGGCTGAAATGCATTTCATTCAAATTAAGGCACAGACTAGCTCTACACCCATCTCCCAACAACCCTCTTCCCCAGCCCCCTGATGGCTGTCACATGACCCAATATGGCCATCACATGACAAAAAATGACCATTACATGAGCATGCACGGATGTCACATGATAATGTATTGCCGTCACATGACCCACATGACCATTTATGGCCTTCACATGACTATGTAAGGGTTGTCACATGAGCTCATCCTATCTTAGACATAAACTACATGAGTGCTACTTTTATATTATCAATTACAGATTCAAACAACCTGAGCCACAGCACACTAGATATTTAGAATAACTAGCTTTAATTTGTCTTCACCTGAACACTCTAAATTTCAAAGGCTGATGGAACTATGTTTTTAAAATATGTCATCAAAAGACCAGCTTCATCATCATGATCATGAGCTGTAATTGTAAAATCTGGCCCATGCCTACCAGTGGTTGATAGCATGAGCAACAACCCAGGCCTTCCATTGGTTGATAGCATGAGCAACAACCCAGGCCTACCGTTGGTTGATAGCATGATCGACCCAGGCCTACCATTGGTTGATAGCATGATCAATGACCCAGACCTACCAGTGGTTGATAGCATGAGCAACAACCCAGGCCTAACATTGGTTGATAGCATGATCAACGACCCAGGCCTACCAGTGGTTGATAGCATGAGCAACAACCCAGGCCTACCAGTGGTTGATAGCATCACCAACAACCCAGGCCTACCAGTGGTTGATAGCATGAGCAACAACCCAGGCCTTCCATTGGTTGATAGCATGAGCAACAACCCAGGGCTACCATTGGTTGATAGCATGATCGACCCAGGCCTACCATTGGTTGATAGCATGATCAATGACCTAGACCTACCAGTGGTTGATAGCATGAGCAACAACCCAGGCCTACCATTGGTTGATAGCATGATCGACCCAGGCCTTCCAGTGGTTGATAGCATGAGCAACAACCCAGGCTTACCAGTGGTTGATAGCATCACCAACAACCCAGGCCTACCAGTGGTTGATAGCATGAGCAACAACCCAGGCCTACCATTGGCTGATAGCATGATCAATGACCCAGGCCTTCCAGTGGTTGATAGCATGAGCAACAACCCAGGCCTACCAGTGGTCGGATGACACACTTTGTAACCAGCCTCCTCCTCCTCATCATCATCGTTAGCTCAGTGACTTGGGACCTTTCTGCCTCCGAATCCCCCCAAGAGAACATAACAATCAATCAAACAACATCAACTAATTTTGCCCTATATTGGAACAGAGGCCCCATTATGCTTTAAGCTGCAACCCCACACAGATATAGAAATCAGTCATAAATTAAATCTTTCAAATATTACACACACAACATGTTTTATCAAAGTGCCAAGCATTTCCTTCTGGACATGAAGATTGATGACATATATTTACACAGAGATCTCAATATTATTATCACATACGTAACATCTAGGTAGAAATGGATAAGATATTTGTATTATAATCATAGATGCCATGCAAACATTATGTCAATAGGGATCCTGCTGACCTTGTTATTAAATCACAATCAGTCTTGTTACATGAGTTTCAGATCTAAATACACAGGCATGGCGAGAGTATTACTGACATGCAAAAAGGTTGGGTATAATAAATTATTTAGATCAGTTTGAATCAGTCCACCTGTTTAAAGACTGACCAGGCTCCATAATACGTCTGGACTTAAGAACTCAAGAAACATGGTAACTGCAACACTGTCGCCGTGTTCGTTGGCCAATCATGAACTGGTACATCTGCTGTGGGTGAAACGATACACTGGTGCACCAGTGCATTGTCAGTTTTTATGTGACAATACTATACCTGATACGCTTTTTCGTATCAATACAGGACGATACACTTGAAAAAATAGTTACTTACTACCAGCTCCATTTTTGTCAGTCAAATATCGCAAAATGTATAGAAATAAGCGTTTAAAGTTTTCTAACAATAGCTACTACAAATGGTGAACAGTTAGTTTTTATTTGGATACTGCTCTGAAATATTTATAGTCAAGAAGTTTCCACGTGAGACGTGAACGTGTGTATCGTGATCGTATCGTGACCTATGTGTCGAGATGCGTATCGTATCGTTACCTTGCTGTATCGTTCACCCCTAACTTGTACATCAGAAAATGTCAGTACCAGACAAACAGTCCATGTCTTCAATGTCTCCACTGAAGCTGGTGGGACTGCCAAGTTTTGTCCACCTAGTCCCCCTTTAACTGTGAGTCTAGACAGCCGACACAAGAAGGGAGAGAGCATTTGGTTCGCTCAGGTTCTCAATGCTTGGACCTTTGTGCATCTCACTCTGGGGTCCACATCGGAGGGACAGGTCCGGCCCCTGGGCACCCTGGCTCCCATGAACTCGACCCCGGTCGGGTCCACATCTGTTTGCTGGGTTGGGGCCCTGTGTGGGTGTGTACTCCGACCTGCCATGGAGAATGAACTGACTCAGTGTCGTGACCAATGGTATTGACATATGAGTCAATTTAAATTATCCTTGAAACTAGTGGGTTGTTTGTGGGATCATAGTGGCTCCCAGTCTGCCTTTTTGTCAAATGACATTTGCTTTTTGTTTAATGCCGCACTCAGCGATATTTCAGCTGGGGAGTCTGGACCAATGATTGTTTGTTTGTTTGTTGTTTATCGACGCACTCAGCAATATTCCAGCTATATGACGGCGGTCTGTAAATAATTGAGTCTGGACCAGACAATCCAGTGGTTGACATCATGAGCATCGATCCACGCAATTGGGATACGATGACATGCATCAACCAAGTCAGGGAGCCTGACCACCCTATCCTGTTAGTCGCCTCTTACGACAAGCAGTCGCCTTTTACGGCAAGCATGGGTTGCTGAAGATCTATTCTACCCCGGATCTTCACGGCTCAGACCAGTGATCGATATTATGAGCAATGATCTACACCATCAGGGTACCCGAGCTCCAGATAACTTTTTAAGCAATTGAGTTTTTACTCTAGGGTTTCCATGTTAATTGGGTTATTACATTTTTCATTGGGTAACCAATATCTTTTCACTCATCTATTCATCACTCTATTGGCTTTTTCCCAAAATTAGTGAACATTTTAAGATTTTGAAAAAATGAAATAATGTTTTAGATGCATACAACTTTTCTAAGTATATAGGCTTGACCCATTAAATCCATCGACCCAACTTACAGCAGCAGTGTCTTGTCTGGCCCATTCCTCAGGGCTGGGTTGGGCCCCTGGGCCTGTGTTTTGTACGCAGACTCATTCCTCCTGGGCTGTGATGTGACCACTCGTCGGGCTGGGGACTTCACGTGAGTTGCAGTTGGGCGAACACGATGTCTGCTGATGAATAACAGACAATGGAGAGGAAATTAACGCAAACAGTAAATCAAAGGTCATCTCACGGATCAACAGAAGGATCAACCAGGGTAAGAAACTAACTAAACCATCTGTACCAAAGTGCTACGCTTATGGTTCTTATCATTTTAAGTATATATGGTGAAAGCTGCAACTAAAATAACACAATATTGAAATATATTATCCATGATAAAATAATAATTTCAGATACAATTTCTTCCCACCATTGCATCAAATTTCTTTAAAGTGGTATCACTGGGTACATTTTAACTGAATCACTGGTAGATTGGGAGGAAACGTGTGCACAGCTGATTGCTATTACCGGCTTAGTTTACGAGAAAATACACACAGTAATCTTAATCTCTGCATATAAAACAATTCCTTTGAGAGCAGGAAATACATTTTAAAAGGTAAAATCATCATGTCTAGTGATGTTTTATATCAAATTTCATACTTTTATTGACCAGGTTTGTTATGCCTGTTTATTCACCTGAAGTCGTTGAAGGGATACAATAACCCTCATCAATTATTTGGACCCTGAAGGTAGCGTTGTTTGTTTTTTAAAATGTCCGGATAGAAAAATTTAAATGTCCGGTAAGCAATATTTTAAATCAGACATTTGAGATTCCCAATCGGACATGTCCGGCGCATATGACCGTTTCCGGACCTCTGGTTTTCGTCCACTAGTCCTTACATTTGGCAAAACCCTTAAAAAGGGCAAAATTCTACTAGTCCTTCTGATACCTTTACCAATGGGCAGTTTGGCAAGGACTATTTCTGACGCTGCCAACCAAAGGTAGAACCAGGTACTTCATTGTCCATCCCATCTCTACACAGGGAACTGTCTAAGCTGCTGTGATGAGGGACAAGACACCTTTCAGGTGCCATGGCAATGTCAAATATTGAAGTGACAGCAACGTTTGTATTGATGTTATCAAAGTATTTGGCAACGTTGGCAACTAGCTTTGTTTCTTCTTTAAAACCTATCAGTTAGATTTGTACTCAGGACATAAGGAATTACAGAAATATGGCGAAAACAATTCTCAAACTTCACAGACTCTGGGCAAATCCATGACACTAGATGATGTGATCTATGTAGGTTTGTTCTGACTTACATACCTATCTCTTGTAATGGCTGCTTTGGGATGTTTTTAATAAACATATTTCTAAAGCTTAAAGAAATATAGGAATGGTTCTCAGGCAATGGCTTTTGAAAATATAGTGCGGGCGGGTGGTGTCTTCTTTAAAAAAGAATTAAGGTTGTTCAAACAAGTATGTAACCAAATAAACAGATGTGTAACAAAAAAACAGCTGTGTACAATCGACCTGGGAAAGGGCCTCTCTACAAAAAGTATTCCTTGATGAATAAATAACTGGAATACACTATTTGACTACCGTTGGATTTGGACTATTTATGGATTTTTATGGATTTTCTAAATGGAAATAAAAACGAAACGTTCGTCAAACTTTATGACGATGGCAGCGGTGCCTGAGAACCAAGACTATTTTTTTTTTTGCCTACTCTTTGACCGTGAACAAATTATGGATTTTTTTCAACAATATTCCAGGAATAATACCAGTTCACATGGATCTTTTCTTCCCTGAATCACACACAGGTCTTACAAACTTCAACATGATCAAAGCCATCCCAAAAAAATGTTTATTAATTTACAGTTTTGACCAGTAGGGGTGAACCTTAATTAATTGCGCTGGACACTTGAATTTTATTTTCTGAAAATGTTCAGTCGGTTTATTTTCTGTGATGTGGGACAGTAAAGGGAACACATACCACATTTTTGTTTTTTCCACTGAGTGAGTTTGGATTTTGTGTTTTCAATAGCATTTCAGTTATTATCATTATTACAGCAGGGACTTGTCCTGGGTGTCGTTGTACAAAACAACCTTAGCGCTACGACTGTCGTAAGTCTATGTTAGGGTATGGGAGTTACGATCACCTTAGCGCTAAGGTCGCTTAGTAGAACGACACCCTGGCACCCTGATCTACTCAGAAGCTGATATTTGTCCCAAAGTCCGAGCAAATGTAAGTAACTCTTCCCAGATTGAAATTAAAAATCCCCAGGTCATTTTTTATAGTAATTACAAAAGTTTTTGCATAGGCAACTTGTTATAACATTTTCTCTCAAACTACATGCCAAGGGCATTTTGCCTTGACTTCTGGATAAATCCCTGTACAGTGTGCGTCTGTTTAACAGCAGATCGTGGAATAGCCAAGGGATGCAACTCTCTACAGCGAATTGTTTAACCTTACTTAAAAACTGTTTTGCCAACTACTGAACTGGTATTTTTCCCTAGCTGATTTCAAGTGTCATCTTATACATACTGACAGGGTTTGCTAATGGTAAACAATACTTTCATGACATCCACAATTATCATTATAATCATCACACACAGAATATTTAAGATAAACTTAGAACCATGAAAATAACACGGGAATGAAATAAAGATTATTGACACTATGTGATACACACTTAGCAAGACCCTGCTTATCTGGACATCATCACTGTCCGGATAAACAGGGTTGTTGTGGTGTAACGATACGGCAATACAGTATTGTATCGCAATACAAGTCCGAGGATACAATACAATCGATACACAAACCCTGTACCGTGACATAGGTTACAAGTTATATTTGAGCAGAAACACATGATTCATAACAGAAATTGTTCAAAAACCAGCTTAAGCAGGTTCTCTAGTATTTCCCAGCTGTTTATAAATAGCATTACATTCACAGCGCCATCTAGTCTGTATGGTTCTGCCCTATTATATCCCATTTTGATCGCTGAAATTTGAAAACAAATGATTAGGGTTGGGATTTATCTTCAAAAAGGAAGAATATCAACTTACGAAATAAAAGTGCTGTATCGGGATACGAATCATATCACACCCATTGTATCGGGATATGTATCGTATCGGACCCCATCGTATCATTACGCCACTACAGGACAGTACTGAGCACAACACAGAGATGCATGCACACCACGACACAACACTCGCCTGAGGCAGGGTTCGTAAAATCGACTCGTCCACTCGTATTGACATGTGGAAGCATGTTCAGGGCGAGAAAGAATTGAAGAAACACTCGTCCTACCGGCCAAGTACACATATTTCAATAGTATCAATTTATCTCTATTCGTTTTCAATAAAATATGCAAGATAATTTCAAACAGGAAATATGTTTTCATCTCTCGCACAATCTAATTAATAAGAAAGTAATACATGTCCATCTTATCATAAATATCGACATACTTGGCAACTGTCTGTTACAGAAATAAACAGGAAGTGCATTTGCGCAGCAGGTATTGAAACTAGTTTTTAACGGAGATTAAAAAAAATTGTTTTTGTTGGGAGCGACTCGTTATCGACGCTTAAATGTCAAAGCGATAGTGAACAGCTGATGATTGTCTTTGGGGGGCAAATGGCTGACATGGGGAAGGTTTTAAACGGGTATGGTGGGGTTACGACAAAAACATGATTTGATTAACAAATAGTTAAAAAAAAAGGAAAATTTCTCAAAAACAGTATGACTACAAAAACTAGAAAACAAACTACAAGACGCACGGTTGAGCGAGTTTGAATGGACTGGACATTTTTTGTACTTTCTGCCGTAAATAATAACTGAGAACATACGTGAAAATATTGCAGGACGAGTACAAAGTGTTATCTATTTGACCTGCAGGACAAGTTGGGTTTAAGACATTTTTCGAGCCCTATCTAGGCACTGGAAACATGATACAACATCAGCTCTAGACACATCTAATGACTGTCAGTGTCAAACTTGTAACCATTCATGTGTGATTAAGTCCAAACGAAACAGTCCAATGCATGCCAGACTTTATGCAAGTGTTTAATTCATATCTTTGTCACTTAGGTTCCTTTTCATAGGCATTATGAGGGTGCGGTGGGTAGGTGAGATTGGTAGGTAAGAGAGATGGGTGAGGTGGGTGGGTGAGATTGGTAGGTGAGTGAGGTGGGTGGGTGAGATTGGTAGGTGAGATTGGTAGGTGAGTGAGATGGGTGGGTGAGATTGGTGGTGGCTGAGATGGGTGGGTGAGATTGGTAGGTGAGTTACATGGGTTGGTGGGTGAGATGGTGAGTGAGATTGGTAGGTGAGTTACATGGGTTGGTGAGGTGGGTTGGTGAGATGGTGAGGTGGGTGGGTGAGATTGGTAGGTGAGTTACATGGGTTGGTGGGTGAGATGGTGAGTGAGATTGGTAGGTGAGTTACATGGGTTGGTGAGGTGGGTTGGTGAGATGGTGAGGTGGGTGGGTGAGATTGGTAGGTGAGTTACATGGGTTGGTGAGGTGGGTGGTGAGATGGTGAGGTGGGTGGGTGAGAAGTGTGAAGGGAATTTGTGAGACGGGAGGGTGTGATGGTGAGGTAGATGGGTGAGATGGATGGATGTGATGGTGAGGTGGGTGGGTGAGATAGGTGTGGTTTATGAGTGGGTGAGGTGTATGGGTAGGTGCGGTGGGTGGTGAAATGCGTGGGTGAGATGGTTGAGTTGCTCGGGTGTGTAGTGAGGTGTATGAGTGGGTGAGGTGGGTGGGTGAGAAGTGTGAAGGGAATTTGAGATGGGTGAGATGGGTGGGTGTGATGGTGAGGTAGATGGGTGAGATGGGTGTGGTGTATGTGTTGGGGAGGTGTATGAGTAGGTGTGGTGGGTGGTGAGATGGGTGGCTGAGATTGGTGAGTTGGTTGGGTGAGTAGGTGAGGTGTATGAGTGGGTGAGGTGAGGTGAGGTGAAATGGGGTCTAATGTCGCTTCCAAGATTATTGCACTTATATAGCTACATGCATGTACCGCTGCTTGTACTAGTCCGGACTGATGCCGATTTATAGTGCTAGCCCACTGAGATACCATGCCTCAGTTTAACATGAATACCCCACTCAGACACAGTATACTGACTCCGAGCCGACCAGTCCTTGTTTTAGCCCCCTTATGTCGAGCGTCAGGTAGGGTAACAACAAGTACCATCGTTGTGGTGTATGCATGGGTGAGGTGGGTGAGGTGGGTGAGGTGGGTAAGTTGCGAGGTGGATGAGTAGGTGGGGGGTGAAAGTGGATCTGGTGAGTGGTTGGGTTTAATAGGTCATCAGGGCATTCACGATATTGCGTAACATCCATCACAATTTCTTTCAAAAAACCTCCTCAACATGATCACATCAATATCTAAATTTTCGGGTTCAATTCCTGTACAGTAAACTATGTTAATAATAAACTGCTACGAGCGAACTGTTTTGGGTCCTGGCCACATACTGACTATACATGCTGTATATGAGAACAGTGAGTGAGAGTTTGATTTTACGCCGCTTTTAGCAATATTCGAGCAATATCACGGCGGGGGACACCAGAAATGGTATATGAGAACAGACAACTGTCATAACAAACTTAGGTTAGTGGTCCCTTGTGGTCGTCATAACCTTAGTTGACTGTATTTTCACCTTAATTAGGGAACAAAGTTACAAAGCGCAGTGCTTCTAGACCTAAATAAGGTCAAAGACTAGAAAGCTACAATAACAATATTCAGAATCCCAAACTAGTTGCTCTTTAGGAAAATGTGCCAGCATTTCAAGGGAGCAAAAATAAAGACTTCTAAAAAAATGACATCCTAAATAATTTTGGGAATATTGTTATTTTTAGTTTCAAATGATCACAACATATTGTGACAAAAGTCAATATTAGTCTGAAGGCTTAACTATTATCATTCCTGGGTCTACAGCTTAAACAACTCTCAACATTGAGTGAACTTTGATGAGAAAAAAATATTTTTGAAAAACTATGTAGACAAAAAAATACTAGAAGTTTGGACAGCCAACATTATGATGCACAACACTGATACCAGCATGCAATGTTCCATTTGTGTAAGCTGCACTGTGATTGGTCAGTCTAATCCACAAGGCACAACACTGATACCAGCATGCAATGTTCCACCTGTGTAAGCTGCACTGTGATTGGTCAGTCATATTTACAAGGCACAACACTGATACCAGCATGCAATGTTCCACCTGTGTAAGCTGCACTGTGATTGGTCAGTCTATTCTACAAGGCACAACACTGATACCAGCATGCAATGTTCCATCTGTGTAAGCTGTGCTGTGATTGGTCAGTCTATTCTACAAGGCACAACACTGATACCAGCATGCAATGTTCCACCTGTGTAAGCTGTGCTGTGATTGGTCAGCATCAGGAACACTGTCCTTGGCGTCACGCAGACAACAAGAGGTTGCGAGGTGATTGAGCATGTCATTGGTGGTAGTCAAAAGCTGCTCGCTCATCCTAGAGGTTAGGGGTCAAGAAGGTCAGAGGTCAGGTAGGTCAGATGTCAAGAAGGTCAGAGGTTAAGAAGGTCAGAGGATAGAGTTCACATTGAAAGGTTTGACATTAAATGTTGGCATGATTGTGATTACTCTGAGTGAATGTTGTTTTGCACCAGTCAGCAATATTTCAGCTACAGATAACTGAGGATTGAATCCAGCGGGTGATAGCATGAGCACTGATTTACACAGATTGGGTATGATGACACACAGATCAGGCAGGTCTAACAGCATAACCTCTTTCAGTCAGCGTTAGTTGGGTGAGGTCAGGGGTTATGGAAGCACCAGGTCTGACTCTTCGCCCAGTGTTTACAGTGGCTCTTTTCTGACATCTTCCTGAGGCAAGGGAGTTAACTGACTATAAAAGTCCAGTTTCCTCCCTTGCCGAACTAGGCTGGAATGTCTGGGCTCAATCATAGCGCCATCAGTGGCTATTATGAGTTATGTCCCTTCTATGTCCCTCCTATTGACCAATCCTATTCCACCTCTCATATCATTTGCATTTGCTTCAAACCACATGGTGGCGCCCAGTCAATAATCAAACTTGATATTGTGACAAAATGGGTCTTACTTCGTGAAGTGCATCAAATTACGTGAGCACCTTGATTAAAAACATGAAAACATTTGAATAATATCTGTCGACGCCGAGTTGGCAGTACACATGCTTTGCTAATCCTGCAATCGACCGAAATCTGCATGGCAGTATACGGGGCGATTGTCCATTTCGTTAAGCGATTTTGATTTTGTTATTCCAGCCAAAATACAACTCCATAATTCCAGCCTAGTTCGGCGGATGGAAACTGGACTTCTACAGTCAGTTATCTCCCTTGCCTTAGGAGTGTGAGTGAGTATGATTTTACACCGCTGTTTGCAATATTCCAGCAATATCCTGGCGGGGGACACCAGAAATGGGCTTCACACATTGTACCCATGTCGGGAATCGAACCCGGGTCTTCGGCGTGACGAGTGAACGCTTCATCCACTAGGCTACCCGCCCGCCCCTCTTGCCTTAGGAAGATGACATATCTGAGGAACAACTTGCTTTCTCAAGGAGCCAATACTAAGAGAAGGAGCCAATACTGAGAATAGAAGCCAATACTGAGAATAGGAGCCAATACTAAGAGGAACATTCTTGGGAACAGGATCATGAAACGACAAAGAAATGTCATTCCAAATCTGCATCCACACGGAATTGTTTCGCATACATATTTTTCTCTTCAATACGTTTGATCAACATGTACGAGAAACAAAACGAATATTTCCCTGAACACTTGACTTTAGCATGTCCATTTACATAGCCCATTTAGTTTTATTAAACTAAGTTGAAAAAACATGTCGTGACTGATCTACAGGTTTACAACAGTGGAGAGGCAAGGACCTGGGTATCCGAGGATGCACCGATGTGTGACAGGGGAATACTACCACTAGTGCCACACAGAAACCATATCTCAACAAAATCACTTCAGTGGGACAAAACAAGGCAAAAAAGAATCTACGACTAAACACAAGCAATATTGGGAGAATGGAATTGAGATGTCACACCTCATTGCTGTACATCATTGATCACAAAAGACGATGTGCTGAACCCAAATATTAATTCTAGCCATACTTTTGTTGACTGAAAGGTTGTCTGTATTTTAATGCCGTAGTCAGCAAATTCAACTAATTTTCAAGCGACCTGTGCATAATAATGTTTGGACCCGACAAACCCAATGTCATTATAATTTGATCTTAGTTCTCGCTACCGCTGAACAAAGATCTGAGGACATCCAATTAGGGGTCATGCCTGAACGACTTTTCATCCGACCAATCAGAGCGTCGCTTACCAGATCATGAAAGTGACAGTCGGAATGTGATTTCATGTCATGCAAGCTCGATAACTTTAAAACGGGGTGGTTACGGTCTTAACGACTAAATCTATACAATCTAGACCATACATAAGCCATTCGAGAATGTTCTTTTGTTCAGGTTTCAAATTTTTAATCGAGAATTTGTCAAAATATCTTTCGTAGCGAAGTCGCCAATTTGAAATTAGTGCTGTAAAGCACGAGAAAAGTGCCTTCTGAATGGCTAATGTCGACTTCTTGACAGTCATTCCATTGGTCGGTCAAAGTTCGTGCAAGGTCGGTCTGACGTGACCCGTAAATGTGTTGGCCTCAGATCTTTGATTAGCATTAGCGAGAACCAAGATCTTATTTTAATGAGATTGGGACAAACCAGTGATTGATATAATGACAATGTCCCATGCTGCTGGGGTACAATACGACGCAATCAACCATGCCACTTAATCACCCCCGACGACAGACCCTTGAAAATCCTGTTTAGAATTGGTCCTCTGCAACCAATGCTTATAAGAAGCAACAATATAATTAGGGTATGGGTGGTCAGGCTTACTGACTTGGTTGATGCATGTCAATGTAGCCCAATTGTGTGGATCGATGCTCACGATATCAATCACTGGATTGTCTGGTCCAACTCGATTATTGACAGATCATCGTCATACAGCTGGAATATTGCTGAGTGCGGCATTAAACAACAAACAAATAAACAAACAAACCTCTGACAACAATCATAGGTCCCTCGGGAGTTATTCTAAACCAGAATCTCCAAAAGGTCGAAAATGTTTTGTCCCCAGAACTTCTAAATGTTTATCCAAGAGATTCTCATGTTTCTACAGCTGTATGTCTGGAAGCAGTGGTGCCGATCAACTACATGCTACACCTACTTTGTGACCTGCTTTGCCTTCTGTTGCTGTGATGTGGGCGTGGCACCCCGCCTGTCCTGGGACGACCCCCGTGCACCGTGAGCGGTTGTTTCACTGCTGGAGGATGCATGGCTAGACCTACAAGTATGGCATAACTTAGAGAACGAGGAATGCAATGATACTGAGTATAACTCACGGGTGTTAAGTGGACGACCATGTTGCACTGTATATCTTAATCTAATAGAACAGCTTATAATGAGGCCATAATTATTTTTTTAGTTTAATTTTATTAATACAACAGTTTTATTCACATTTTTTAAAACTGTTTTGCTTCTTTTACAGATCTGTTGCCCTTAAAAAAAAAAAAAATAGAACCAAAATAACAAGGTTTTTCATACTGCCAACAGCAAATATCACCAACAACAAAAATAATCCAAGGTTTTTTTACGACTCAATCAGAACTTTTACAATGACAAACACGTCATTACATTTCCTTTACAATGACACAAACCAGGCCAAGATTATTTCATTTTCAATCATCCACTGATTTACTGGCCAAATCTTTTGCTATCAAAATCTTTCAACAATTCCCCAACAAATCTGTCCAAAAATGTCCTTGACAGTCAGTCCTACCCTTGGGTCCTTCCTTCGCTGGCCGTTGGGCGGTCTCCAGTAAACGCCACAGGGTCAAGGCTGGCCTCAGATGCCATGGCAACGGGAGCATTATTAGAGGCTGAGCGACCGTTTTGTGAGCTGAAGCTGGCACTGGCAGAAGCTGGAACACAGAGTGAGAGTTCTTCATGCCATGGTAAACTATGGTGGCCTATAAGGGACATGGAACACGGAGTGAGAGTTCTTCATGCCATGGTAAACTATGGTGGCCTATAAGGGACATGGAACACGGAGTGAGAGTTCTTCATGCCATGGTAAACTATGGTGGCCTATAAGGGACATGGAACACGGAGTGAGAGTTCTTCATGCCGCAGTAAACTATGGTGGCCTATAAGGGACATGGAACACAGAGTGAGAGTTCTTCATGCCACGGTAAACTATGGTGGCCTATAAGGGACATGGAACACAGAGTGAGAATTCTTCATGCCACGGTAAACTATGGTGGCCTATAAGGGACATGGAACACGGAGTGAGAGTTCTTCATGCCACGGTAAACTATGGTGGCCTATAAGGGACATGGAACACAGAGTGAGAATTCTTCATGCCACGGTAAACTATGGTGGCCTATAAGGGACATGGAACACGGAGTGAGAGTTCTTCATGCCACGGTAAACTATGGTGGCCTATAAGGGACATGGAACACAGAGTGAGAGTTCTTCATGCCATGGCAAACTATGGTGGCCTATAAGGGACATGGAACACAAAGTGAGAGTTCTTCATGCCATGGTAAACTATGGTGGCCTATAAGGGACATGGAACATGTAGTGAGAGTTCTTCATGCCGCAGTAAACTATGGTGGCCTATAAGGGACATGGAACACAGAGTGAGAGTTCTTCATGCCACAGTAAACTATGGTGGCCTATAAGGGACATGGAACATGGAGTGAGAGTTCTTCATGCCATGGTAAACTATGGTGGCCTATAAGGGACATGGAACACGGAGTGAGAGTTCTTCATGCCATGGTAAACTATGGTGGCCTATAAGGGACATGGAACATGTAGTGAGAGTTCTTCATGCCGCAGTAAACTATGGTGGCCTATAAGGGACATGGAACACAGAGTGAGAGTTCTTCATGCCACAGTAAACTATGGTGGCCTATAAGGGACATGGAACATGGAGTGAGAGTTCTTCATGCCATGGTAAACTATGGTGGCCTATAAGGGACATGGAACACGGAGTGAGAGTTCTTCATGCCATGGTAAACTATGGTGGCCTATAAGGGACATGGAACACGGAGTGAGAGTTCTTCCTGCCATGGTAAACTATGGTGGCCTATAAGGGACATGGAACACGGAGTGAGAGTTCTTCATGCCATGGTAAACTATGGTGGCCTATAAGGGACATGGAACACGGAGTGAGAGTTCTTCATGCCGTGGTAAACTATGGTGGCCTATAAGGGACATGGAACATGGTGTGAGAATTCTTCATGCCATGGTAAACTATGGTGGCCGATAAGGGACATAGAACACAGAGTGAGAATTCTTCATGCCATGGTAAACTATGGTGGCCTATAAGGGACATAAAACACAGAGTGAGAGTTCTTCATGCCACGGTAAACTATGGCGGCCTATAAGGGACATGGAACACAGAGTGAGAGTTCATCATGCCACGGTAAACTATGGCGGCCTATAAGGGACATGGAACACAGAGTGAGAGTTCTTCATGCCACGGTAAACTATGGTGGCCTATAAGGGACATGGAACACGGAGTGAGAGTTCTTCATGCCACGGTAAACTATGGTGGCCTATAAGGGATATGGAACACGGAGTGAGAGTTCTTCATGCCACGGTAAACTATGGTGGCCTGTAAGGGACATGGAACATGGAGTGAGAGTTCCTCCTCCCATGGTAAACTAGGGTGGCCTATAAGGGACATGGAACACGGAGTGAGAGTTCTTCATGCCACGGTAAACTATGGTGGCCTATAAGGGACATGGAACACGGAGTGAGAGTTCTTCATGCTGTGGCAAACTATGGTGGCCTATAAGGGACATGGAACATGGAGTGATTGTTCTTCATGCCGCGGTAAACTATGGTGGCCTATAAGGGACATAAAACACGGAGGGAGATTTCTTCATGCCACAGTAAACTACAGTTGCCTACATGTGTTTGACATGTTCGGAGTTTCCGAGTATGACATGGTTTAATTCAAACTATTACACATCTTTTACAAAATGAAACTAGAAATAGCAGTAAAACCATAAATTTTGCAGTTCACCTGGTATTACCCAACTCGTGAGTGAGTTGGGTTTACCACTGCTATGAAGAGTATCACAACGTGTCAGCTTGATTTGGAAGGAAAGCCCAAAGTGATGCAGGTCTAAGACATTTACAGCTTCGGTGAAACCAACGAGCATAGGTATCAGAGCTCCAGATAAGCTTTTGGTGATGTGGGTATTTTACCCATGCATTTTAAAATCATTGGGTATCTGTAATTCTACCTGCGTATTCAAATTTCTGTTACCCACTAGTTTTTACACATGTGGGTATTTAAGTTAAATATTTAAAAACACTATTCATCTAGTCCCTGCAAACTGGTGTCGTGTGGGTTCAAGAGCTTTATAGGACTCAAAAATACCACGATACTTCCACAAGAAAGTGTGATGGCAAATGATCATGATGTAACTGTCATCGTTTGGCAAGGTTGACGGAATGCCCGTTTATAATTTCAAAATAAGTTGCTGATTTGCTAATCGAATACGCAGGGTTACTTCACAATATTTTGATGATACGCACAAGTTTTATTTTTGTAGCGTATCTGTAATGTTCGTTGCGTATTTGATACGCTTGGATTATATTTTACTGGGTATGTCTGCATTTCTGATGCGTATTTCACGCAGATACGCAGCTTATCTGGAGCTCTGGGTATGGTGCCGACAAACCTATAAACATAATTGGGGCGAACTGGAATTCAAACCCACAATCATATGAATTGGGGCACCTTTGACGTCCTGGTCACCCATGCCCCCAACTCATATTGAAATAACATTCAAAGGGAAAAGATGGATGACAAAAGTGATTTTTCTTGTTATGTTGTTGGCATGCTTAAAACTACACAGCACATGCCTAAATATGCTTGTGAGGGTTCCATGTATTGGATACTTACCTCGTTGTCCAGAAGACTGATTTTTAGAGCTGAAACAAGAATATGGCAATGAGCACCTGATAACAGTAAAACACATCACATCAAAAGGACATTTACATTTACCACACTTGCAATGTTCTTACACTAGTGGTGTGAAGGTGCTGTATGTAAATACCAGGGGACAGTGGACAGCTATTTTCATTATTGCAAGAGCATTGCCATAGTATTAAACCAACTTTATCATCCAAAACTGACTCCGACAGGAGATCTCACTTGGGTGAGATCAAGCGTTATCTATATTGTCGATATCACTACAATGAAATTGCATCACAATCCTTTGCAGACCATTGTGACGTCATTGGTTACTATGACGTCACAATCAGATGACATCACTAATGGCTCTGTTACTGAAGCTGTTAGCAGTACTTTTTACACTCAAGACACTGCTTATTACGGTCTACAAACTGAAAAAGTTGGAAGAATGATGTTAGATGATAAATAAAATTTCACCAGAGCGTCTTTTGATACGAAATATATCAACACTCGTTGATAAATGTGGAAAAACTTTTTTCACATTTTTCAACTCATGTTGATATAAAGAGACACTCGGGTGAGATTCTCTATTCAAGGCTTTACACTTGTACTAATTAATTCAAGAGAAATGAATAAAGTATACATCTGGAACAAACTCCCACTTGTTGATAGACTCCAGAACTATGTACTTTCAAATCTAGATTGAAGACATATTCAGATATGTTCAGACTCGACAGCGCTTTTGAGCAGTTGTATGCAACTGGACACTAGCGTTACATAGAGAGTGAGAGAGTATGGTTTTACGCCGTTTTTAGCAATATTCCAGCAATGTCACGACGAGGGACACCGAAAAATGGGCTTCACACATTGTACCCATGCAACTCTGCACGGCGAATCGCGGCGCTTAAACAACTGGGCCACCCGTGCCCCCGCCTCAATATGAACTGCTATCTCCTACATTGACTCGTCATGGGTACCGTCTAAGTTCTACCCACCTGTATGTCCCACCAAGAACTCTCTTGGCGCTCTCCTCGTTGTAGCCTGTAGCTTCTAGCGCCATTGTCACAATGTCGGCACCAACATTGGGATACTGTGACTTGAGCTTGGACTTCACTGAACATGAACAAAGAAATACTTATGTGTAGGATAAAACCCATCAGATGTTTTTTTATGAGATTAAAGATCCTCATCCTCGAGATAAACCTCAATTATAAGGATGAGAGTCTTAAATCTCATAAATACCAGAGGGTAATCGTTTATCTAACTCATAAACCGTAAAAAGAACCTAAAAACATTTATCAACATTTATATGTTTCAGACATACTTTCCATGAACCGTAAGAAACGGCCGTAGAATCTGGTGCTGGCAATCTCATTGAAATCAGATCTTAGTTCTCGCTATGCTAAACAAAGATCTGAGGACATCCCATTAAGGGTCACGTCAGAACGACCTTTCATTCAACCAATCAGAGCGTCGCTTACCAGATCATGAAAGTGACAGTCGGAATGTGTTTTCTGATCATGCAACCAGGAAATATTTAACACAGGGTATTCCGAATGACAGTTACAGGTTTCATGATTATATCCATACAATCTAGGCCATCTATAAGCCATTCCAGAATGTTCTTCTTATCAGTTTTAAATTTTTTTAATCGAGAATACGTCAAAATATGTTTTGAAGCGTAGTCGCCAGTTTGAAACAAGTGTCGTAAAGCTCGAGAAACCTGTAACTGTTGTTCAGAATACCCTCTGTTAAATATTTCGAGTTTTTTTGTACATTTTTTATTCCTTTCAAAGGGTTGTACATGTTAAAAGTTTTAAAGGTTGCATGATCTGAAAACACACTCCGAATGTCACTTTCATGATCTGGTAAGCGACGCTCTGATTGGTTGGATTAAAGGTCGTTATGACGTGACCCGTAATGGGATGTCCTCAGATATTTGTTTAGCGGTAGCGAGAACTAAGAGATCTGATTTCAATGAGATTGGGTGCTTAAGTGATTTGATGCCCTTTATGAGGTAAGACCCGTTTTATTACAATATAGTGAGTGAGTCAGTGAGTTGGGTTTAACACCGCTTTTAACAGTATTCCAGTCCTATCACGGCGTGTCAGCTTAATGTGGGAAGTAAGGCTGAAGCGATGCAGGTCTCAGACGTTTACCCCTTCGGTGAAACCCACGAGCACGGGTACGGTGCTGACAAACCTAGAAACATAATCGGGGCGAACCAAGGATTCGAATCCACAATCATAGGTTTCTGGCGTGCCCAAGGGACGCAACTCTGCACAGCGAATCGCGGCGCCTTAGACGACTGGGCCACCCGTGCCCCCTATTACAATATAGATAATGATCACATGGTCTAGACTGGGCGTCGCCATTTTGTTCAAAGCAAATGCAAGTGATATGAGGTGAAATCTGATTGGTCAATAGGAGAGACTCCTAATAGCCACTGGTGGCGCTACCATCAAGCCACAAAATTCCAGCCAAATTCAGCAAGGGTGGAAACTGGACTTTCTAGTCAGTTATCTCCCTTGCTTCGGCTTCGGGAAGATGGAATCAACAGATTCCAGCGATTTCTCTGAATTAAACCATTCTCAGTAATGTTATGGTTATGTTAGAATTCCTGTCTCCGAATCAACTGCACAACAACATCGTGACATCATCATACTGGCTAGTTGATATGAGCATATGCATTGTTTTATCAAATTAGGTCAATTAATATTTTATATCCTCGTAAAATATATCCTTAATACCTTGATTAATTCATAACTTTCCTCTGGTCGATAAAAAAACCCCAGAAGTATGCAGTAAGAAAACTGATTGTGAGCCAGATCATTATATAGTTCTGGATATGTTATACTCCCTGTCTTCTCTGAGCAGAATCTATATCCAATAAAGAGTACCACTTCAGGAATATTTGTTTTCTTTTGTCAAAATATATATATATATCAAAAATCGAGGTAGAGAGAAGGTATGAGTGAGTATTGTTTTACGCTACTTTTAGCGATGTTCCAGCAATATCATGGCAAGGGACGCCAGAAATGGGCTTCACACATTGTACCCATGTGGGGATTCGAACCCAGGCCTTCAGCGTGACGAGTGAACACTTTAACCACTAGGCTACCCCACCGCCCCTAAAATCGAGGTGGAAGAAAAACGAATAAGATTTGGCAGTCAAGGGTCTGGTCGTAGAGTAAGAGATCTAATTTGAATGAAATTGAATTGCAACAAGTATCCCACGCACCTCTCTCCTTCTCTGCCTCGGACATGTTTGGCCTGTCTTGTGCTGTTGGTTGTGGGGACGTAGCAGAGTGGCGTGAGTGGTTGCCACTCGAGCGCCGGTGTCCGGACGTTGTGTGGCGGGGGCTGAGGTGGGAAGAGCTAGAGTGGGTGGAGCTAGAGTGGGAAGTCGTCTCGTGATGGCGAGGGGAGTGGCTAGGAGACACTGTTCGACTTGTACTGCGTGAGCCGTGAGCTGGCTGAAAGCCAAGATCGATCAGCTGATCCTTGGCTTCCTCTTCATTGTTGCTGCACCTGCAAAGGTCAACATTCACACCTGTTAACATGGTAAAGGTAAACATTCACACCTGTTCACACCTGTAAAGGTCAACATTCACACCTGTTCACACATGTAAAGGTCAACATTCACACCTGTAAAGGTCAACATTCACACCTGTTCACACCTGTAAAGGTCAACATTCACACCTGTTCACACCTGTAAAGGTCAACATTCACACCTGTAAAGGTCAACATTCACACCTGTTCACACCTGTAAAGGTCAACAGTCACACCTGTAAAGGTCAATATTCACACCTGCAAGAGGTCAACACTCACCATGATTTACAGGTAGGTTTGGTCAACATTCACACCTGCACGAGCATGACAAACTCCAATTAGAATACTATGGTAATTGTGATGTACCTAACAAATCAAACACTGGAAAACTATGGTAATTAAAGTATTACTTTCATGGCAAATACTGGGAAACTATTGCAATTAAAGTATTACTTCCATGGCAAATACTGGGAAACTATGGCAATTAAAGTATTACTTCCATGCCAAATACTGGGAAACTATGGTAATTAAAGCGTTACCTCCATGGTAAATACTGTGAAACTATGGTAATCAATGGTAATTAAAGTGTTACCACCATGTCAACTTCTGTGAAACTATGGTAATTTAAGCATTACTTCCATGGCAAATAGTGGAAAACTATGGTAATTAAAGCATTAGTTCCTTGGCAAATACTTGGAAACTATGGTAATTAAAGTATTACTTCCATGGCAAATACTGGTATATATATGGTAATTGTGATGCAAATTTCATACATGGTCAATACTGTGAAACCATGGCAACTTGAATATATCTATGGTAACTGAGATGTAACTTACATGGCCTGTATTAGGAAACCATGGCAACTGGGATACAGCTGTGGTAACTTACATGGCGAGCACGTCCTGGATGACCCCGGCCGTGGCCGCTGGAAACATGTCCTTGAGTCGAGAGGCTGGGGTGTTGGTCAGCTGTAACACCGGTTGCTCCTTGGTGTACCCCTTCCCCAACAGCTCCGACACAGTGTGTCCGTAGTGGTTGTGGTTCCTGTTGGCAACAAGCATCATCATCATCATCATAGAAGCTGCAGAAGCTGCATACACGTTACATGTTGCATCACTGAGCCATCGAGACATCGCTCGGAGTCACGGACACGTTGAGCAATTACTGACATGTTATAACTCACTCAGGGTATTGATAGCTTTGTGTAGGTGTTATACTTTCACTCCCTTGGGATCTGTCTAATGGGTATTTTTAAACCAATGAGTAGACGTCTTTTTGAATTGGTTCAACTTGAAAATATTGTTTCATGTGTTATGGGGAAGAAGAGAAGTTGAGAGAGAGAAAAGAGGAGAGGGGAGAGAAGAGTGGAGGGGGAAAGGGAGGGACAAAAGGCAGGGGGTAAAGGAGTTGAGAAGTGAAGGGGGACCGGAGAGGGTGAAGGGGGCCCACCACGACATCCACCAGGACCAGCCAAACCTTCAGGACAAGTGATGCTGTACGGTCTGCACGGTTGTGATGCCTTGGGTACCTAGGATGCTGGGCAGAGCTCTACACAGTTGTATAACCTTGGGTACCTAGAGGGCTGGGCGGGGCTCTACACAAGTGTGGTGTCTTGGGTACCTAGGATGCTGGGCGGAGCTCTACACAGTTGTGGTACCTTGGCACCTAGAAGGCTGGGCGGAGCTCTACACAGTTGTGGTGTCTTGGGTACCTAGAGGGCTGGGCGGAGCTCTACACAGTTGTGGTGTCTTGGATACCTAGGATGCTTGGTGGAGCTCTGCACAGTTGTGGTACCTTGGGTACCTAGGATGATGGGTGGAGCTCTACACAGTTGTGGTACCTTGGGTACCTAGGATGCTTGGTGGAGCTCTACACAGTTGTGGTGTCTTGGGTACCTAGGATGCTTGGTGGAGCTCTACACAGTTGTGGTGTCTTGGGTACCTAGGATGATGGGTGGAGCTCTACACAGTTGTGGTACCTTGGGCACCTAGGATGCTTGGTGGAGCTCTACACAGTTGTGGTGTCTTGGGTACCTAGGATGCTTGGTGGAGCTCTACACAGTTGTGGTGTCTTGGGTACCTAGGATGCTGGGCGGAGCTCTACACAGTTGTGGTGTCTTGGGTACCTAGAAGGCTGGGCCGAGCTCCACACAGTGGGCAGAGCTCTACACAGTTGTGGTGTCTTGGGTACATAGGATGCTGGGCGGAGCTCCACACAGTGGGCAGAGCTCTACACAGTTGTGGTACCTTGGGCACCTAGAAGGCTGGGCGGAGCTCTACACAGTTGTGGTGCCTTGGGTACCTAGAAGGCTGGGCGGAGATCTACACAGTGGGCAGAGCTCTACACAGTTGTGGTACCTTGGGCACCTAGAAGGCTGGGCGGAGCTCTACACAGTTGTGGTGCCTTGGGTACCTAGGATGCTGGGTGGAGCTCTACACAGTTGTGGTGCCTTGGGCACCTAGAAGGCTGGGCGGAGCTCCACACAGTGGGCAGAGCTTTACACAGTTGTGGTACCTTGGGCACCTAGAAGGCTGGGCGGAGATCTACACAGTGGGCAGAGCTTTACACAGTTGTGGTACCTTGGGCACCTAGAAGGCTGGGCGGAGATCTACACAGTGGGCAGAGCTTTACACAGTTGTGGTACCTTGGGCACCTAGAAGGCTGGGCAGAGCTCTACACAGTTGTGGTGTCTTGGGTACCTAGGACGCTGGGTGGAGCTCTACACAGTTGTGGTACTTTTGGCACCTAGAAGGCTGGGCGGAGCTCTACACAATTGTGGTGCCTTGGGTACCTAGGATGCTGGGTGGAGCTCTACACAGTTGTGGTGCCTTGGGCACCTAGAAGGCTGGGCGGAGCTCCACACAGTGGGCAGAGCTCTACACAGTTGTGGTACCTTGGGCACCTAGAAGGCTGGGCAGAGCTCTACACAGTTGTGGTGCCTTGGGTACCTAGGATGCTGGGTGGAGCTCCACACACTGGGCAGAGCTCTACATGGTTGTGGTACCTTGGGCACCTAGAAGGCTGGGCGGAGCTCTACACAGTGGGCAGAGCTCTACATGGTTGTGGTACCTTGGGCACCTAGAAGGCTGGGCGGAGCTCTACACAGTTGTGGTACCTTGGGCACCTCGAAGGCGGAGCTTTACACAGTTGTGGAGCAATGGGCACCTCAAAAGCCTGACGGTGTTCTGAACAGTAGTCGTGCCTTGGGAGTCCTGGAAGCTTTGGGTCCTATTTTAAGACCATTGCTATCTAAAAGGTACAGCATTATACTTACTTGATGAGAGTCTGCTTGATGACAGTTTCAGGGCAGGTGGGCAGAAAAGCCTTGACCTTCTGTACAATAGCACTGTCTGCTCTCGAAAGTGAGGTGTCTTGTTGCTATGGCAATAATGCAAAAGTCATATGATTTAGACATGAAGTATAATAACAGGCAATCATATCATTATGCTCATTGCTGTCTAAACACATTCAGAGCAGCAAGAATCTACCTTAGTTTTAGCACATTTAAGTTGCTGGTCGTTTTCTTCAAAATGTTCAAAGTAATACAATAAAATGACCCCAAAATTTGTGTCACTGAACATGTGATATAAGTACTAAGTAAGCATCAACACAACTTTCAATTATATTCTCACACTACATCAGCTAAGTTTTCCTTGTTCAGGTTCTTCTGTAAGGCCACACTTTTTAAATTTTACTTTTCATGGATTTATTCCAGCTTTTCCACATAAGGTCGGTTTAAGTAAAAATAAAAATAAACAGCAATCATTTAGCATGTTTAGGCTGAAAAAAAACGATTCTTAGTTCTCAGGCATCGCCCGCATCATTATAAAGTTTGCCGCACATTTCATTTTTATTTCCATTTTTAAAAAAAACAACCAAAAATCCTTAAATATTCCAGGTCCAACGGTAGTCAAATACTGTATTCCAGTATTTTACTCATCAAGGAATATATTTATGTAGGGAGGCCCTTTCCCAGGTTGATTGAAAGTAGACATGGAACTTATATTAAATCATAATATTTTATATTGTATAAGCGGGTCTATATTACTAGTGAGAGGCACAATTTATTTCTTAGATTTGCTGCTTTTCAGTTGGGTAGGCCGGTCCGTGAAACGTTAACAAAAAGTGTGGCCTAACAGTGTTTAAGGAATCAATTACAAGAAAAAAATTAAAATTAATGAACTAATTAACAGCATCATATTTTTAGAAATGCTTAAAAATTAGCAAAGGAATATATGTCTGTGTTTGTAAGACCAAGGGAGGCAGGAGTGAGCAATGTGTTAAAAAATAGCTTGTTGAAAAGATGGAATACTGCCCAGCTATATTAATAACAATGTATAACTTTAATATCAATGTATAACTTTAATAACAATGTTTAACTTTAATATCAATGTATAACTTTAATAACAATGTATAACTTTAATATCAATGTATAACTTTAATAACAATGTTTAACTTTAATATCAATGAATAACTTTAATATCAATGTATAACTTCAATAACAATGTATAACTTTAATATCAATGCTTAATATCAATATCAATGTTTAACTTTAACATAAATGTTTAACTTTTATATCAATGTTCATATCAATGTTCAACTTTTATACCAATGTCAATAATCCATCCACTGTGGGACTTTCTGATACCCAATTTGTACCATACATTTTATGATTTATACCATGTGCATGTGAGTCTTTCCAAAACTTCCCAATAATGGGGCATCACGACCACCACTGCACCATCTCATGGAAAACACACAAGAAAATATGTACATACAAACAAAGCAAGCGTTACAGTTCTCCAATATATACTACCGACTAAAAATAGGGAAACTGATGAAATGATGGCGACGGTGTAATTACGAGAAATCACATTGGATGATACATGCACGACACCTTGATGACACACTGTTGAATAACGTGTATGGTTGCCCTTGTTATTGCCCGTCATTCTGTCTGAAGAGTTACCCTTAGCTGGGCAATGTTGGCAGTGCTGGGTCTCTCGAGAACATACCACAGATTCTCTTTTGGGGACGTGTCAGGGGTCTTACAGCAAGTCCAATGTCCATAACCCTTCTCATCGAAGATAATTCGCCATTTTGTCTGTTCTTTGCAATACTATCTCGGTGGCAGTATTAAGCATCTGCTTAGCTCAACTGTATTAGTGATTGTGCGTTCCCCTACAGGTGCACACACTGCTGCTTCTGTGTGCACGTGCATCATGTGCTGTTCATGCAAGATGCGAAATTTCATTTTGATTAGATGTTCCTTTCAGACGCAACGCCGCGGTATTGCTAATGTACACCTCAACGATAGCTACATCAAATCATTAGTTCCCTTATGTTTTGTCGATAGTATAGCTGCAGCTTTTTAAACAAATCTATCAATCCCCATCTTCCCCAAGGCAAGGGTGTTAATTGACTATAAAAGTCCAGTTTCCGTTTCTAGGCTGGGATTTCTGGGGTCAATCATAGCGACACCAGTTATGTCCATTTTCTGTCCCTCCAATCGGATTCCATCTCTCATATCACATGCATTTGCTTCAAACAAAATGGTGGTGCCCAGTCAAAACAATCTGATCGATAATCATGTGATAATCAAGATATATACTGTAACAAAACAAGTCTTACCCCGCGAAATGTATCAAATAACTTGAGCCCCTTGATCAAAAACATGAAAAGATGTGCGAAACATTTGTCGACGCTCAGGTGACAGTACACATACTTTGCAAATCCTGCAGTCGACCAAAATCTGCACATTGAATCCATATTGTTTAGGAACCGGTTGACCAGTTTCTTACGCGACTTTGATTGGACTATGCATAGACTTGTTAGTTCGGCCAAAATGTAACTCCTGAATCCCAGCCTAGTTCGGGAAGGGTGGAAACTGGACTTTTATCGTCAGTTAACGCCTTTGCCTCGGGAAGATGATCAACCCCTTTGTTAAATTATAATAATAAGAACATATCATTTTTAGACCCAACCATAGTTCTGTGCTAAAACTGTGTATCCCACAGCACAAGACACCCATGCCTGCTTCTTACGGACCTGTGACTGTGCGCCAGGCCCACGTCTTTGCATATCTCGCATAGCGATGCTCTCCCCTCGTTGACCTTGACCCCTGTGCTGTGCATGATGGGATTGGGAAGCTCCACCAGTGTGGCTGAGTGCCTGGGCAGGACACAATATGGGTTACCATGGATACCACAGCACGTAAGCATGCAGACATACAGGTGATGGGATTCCTTGAAATTGGCTAGCTTTATCTTATTGATATTGTTCTAAGTTATGGTTTGCGTTAATACAATTTTGAGCAAAATTTCAGTTACATTCCAACCTGTCAGCATCATGAGAGAGAAAAGACTGAGGTGATGGTCACACATATTTCCAAAATTAACAACACTCCTGAACACAATCTGATTAAAATAAGATCTTAGTTCTTGCATCTGCTAAACAAAGATCTGGCGACATCCCATTTGGGTCATGTCAGAACGACCTTTCATCCGACCAATCAGAGCGTCGCTTACCATATCATGAAAGTGACAGTCGGAATAAAATTTCTAACCATGCAACCTCTAAAACTTGAACACAGGGCATTCCGAATGATAGTTACTGGCTTAACGACTGAATCCATACAATCTAGACCATCTATTAGCCATTCCAGAATGTTCTTTTGTTGAGATTTCAAATTTTTAATCGAGAATTTGTCAAAATATGTTTGAAGTGTAGTCTCCAATTTGAAATTAGTGCCGTAACACGAGAAAAGCTGCCTTCTGATTAGCTAATGTCGACTTCTTGTCAGTCATTCCATTGGCTAGTCAAAGTTTGTGCAAGGTCGGTCTGACGTGACCCGTAATTGGATGTCCTCAGATCTTTGTTTAGTAGTAGCGAGAACTAAGATCTGATTTTAATGAGATTGCACCTCAACATGGTGTTCACATCTGGGTGAATCTTCCAACCCATTAAGATCCTGTCACAACAAAGGGACACAACTCTACAGACCAAAATTATGGCACCCCAATTAAAAATTAATCCAGTCACTTTCCATTACTTTAATCTTACTTTTAAATTAACAACTAATTAACTAATTTAATTAAGAACCCATCACGTGTACGTCTCTTACACAAAAAGCAAATGTGGAAGCTCAGGTGGACAAAGGACAAAACACACTGGCACACATTTAACACATATAGTTCATCTTTCAGTAACCTCACAAAGCTCATCATGCTAATAGTGTAGATGTTGTTGCTATAACTGAACACAGTGTTTCCATGACGACAATGCAAGCTGGCTCTAGCCACCACATGCCCAACCTGTGTCAGTGTAGCTGAACCCTGTGAAGGTCCAGGTTAGAATCAGTCTTCAGCAACCCATGCTTGTTGTAAGAGGCGACTATGCTTGTTGCAAGAGGCGACTAAAGGGATCGGTTGATCAGGCTTGCTGACTTGGTTGATGCATGTCATCGTATCCCAATTGCATAGATCGATGCTCATGATATCAATCACTGGATTGTCTGGTACAGACCACAGTTGTAGCTGGAATATTGCTGAGTGCAGCATTAAACAACAAACAAAAAGAGATCACATGTTGACGGTCAGTAGAATGTTAGGTTCTCGAGGTATTCTTTTATGATGTATATGCCTTCACTATTTCATCCCTGCATGATATACATGAACAGAAATCACAAATTGACATTGATCATATTTGCAGCCTACATTATATACGACGTTGACACCTTGTGTCAGTGATGAAGCCCTGCACCCATCGTGATGAAGCACGCACACCGGCGCTAAGCAACTGCAGGACTAAGTGTGCAGCATTGAGACTTTTGTAATCAATGTTCATGTCTGGGAGTTACGATGGTGGTATCTCTACAATCTCCTTGGGGGCCTGGTACATCTGTGAGTGTACTGAGTGAGTATTGTTTTATGCCGCTTTTAGCAATATTCCAGCAATATCACGACGGGGGACACCAGAAATGGGCTTCATACATTTTACCCATGTCAGGAATCAAACCCGGGTCTTCGGCATGAAGAGCAAATGCTTTAACCACTAGGCTACCCGACCGCCCCGTTGGTTTAAGTAAATGTTGTTTTATGCAAGTCAACAACATCAACAACATCAACAACATGATCAAGGTGGTCTGTACGTACAAAGATCTAACCAGGAATACCAGTGATTATTATTATTAATATTATTATTATGAAAAACGATCCACTCCTTCAGGGTACAACACGCAGTAAAGCACTCCACATCGTTGCCTCATATGACGTGTATGGGTTCCTGGAGACGAATTCAAACCCAGAATTTTAACCCCATTTCTAGACAATAACTTTGCCAGTTCAATAAAAACAATACTTATGATACATGCGGCTTATTCATATTCAATGTTCCACAGATTTAAATATAAAACCTTAATTGATCAAATGATGACGTATTAATCGTCTTCCCCAACAATTTCTTGAATCTTCATGACCTATGATGATCTACAATTACAATTTCCACTGTGAAATGCCTGCATAATCATGATAATAATGATAATCATGATAATCTATGTTGGAATGGTACCCAACACAATCCATCACGATCTAAGTTCACGTTGTTGGAATGTGTGTAAAAGGATTTTTTTTTTAAATGTGAATAAAGTGAAATGTGTTATTAACTTGTGTAACCATGGTAACATGAATAATGAGCGAAGTGATGGAGACGATACCTGAGCAGCTTGAGGCTGGGTTGGTTTCTTGAAGCGGGGATCCTCCCACGATGTCCCCTTGTTGACATGGTCAATGAAAAAGCTGGAAGAAAAACAGAATCACCACACACATCAGCAGTGTTTGACATAATCATAATCTTTAGACTAGTGCCGGGATGATACACTGATGCATCGATGGATTGCGATTTTTTACTTCTCCATACAAACATCATTCACAGTAGCACACGAAGTAAAAAATATCGATTCTGACCTTAAATGTTTGATTTAATAATTGTTCCACTAAACATGCTAAACATTGATCAGCACAGCAAGTAAATAGGGAAAACATAAATATTTTTATTTGTTGTGCAATACTTCACACTGCCAACTGTAGTGAGTGAGTGAGTGAGGTTTTAAGCCGCTTTTAGCAATATTCCAGCAATATCACGGCGGGGGACACCAGAAATGGGCTTCACACATTGTACCCATGTCGGGAATCGAAACCCGGGTCTTCGGCGTGACGAGCGAACGCTTTAACCACTAGGCTACCCGACCACCTACTGCCAACTGTAAATCATCAGTGTGCCAGGTATTTGGCCATCCCGTCTATGAAAAAGATGGCTTTCGCACCACAGGTAAGAGCACATGCAAGTATTGCATATCTGATTGTGAGTAAGGTATCGTGATACTTATCTGATTGCACAGTTGGTGTATCGTCCCAGCCCTACTTCAAACCCAACAAGACAGTCGGCAGGTGACCCATAAATCAAGATTATTTCTGGGTTTCACATCGCATTCAACTACAAACACTGTTGTGTTGAACTATGGTTGTCTCAAAGTGCAAGTTTGGTGCTTATGTATTCCTTCTTTATTCATCATTTTCGGTTGTGTTGATTGGTTGGCTGGTTGGTTTGTTGTTTTACGCCACACTCAGCAATATTCCAGCTATATGACGGCGGTCTGTAAATAATCAAGTCTGGACCAGACAATCCAGTGATTGAAATCATGAGCATCGGTCCAAGCAATTGGGATCGATGACATGCTTCAACCGAGTCAGCGAGCCTGACCACCCGATCCCGTTAGTCGCCTTTTACAACAAGCACAGTCGCCCTTTAGGGTAAGCTTGGGTTGAAGACCTATTCTACCCCGGATCTTCACGGGTCCAGTTGTGTTGAAGCTCCGATAACTTAGTGTACTGACATGCTCATCTTCCCGAGGCAAGGGAGTTGATTGACCATAAAAGTCCAGTTTCCACCCTTGCCGTACTAGACTGGAATTTCTGGGCTTGATCGTAGCGCCACCAGTGGTTAGAACGAGTTGTGTCCCTTCTATGCCTCTCCTATTGACCAATCAGATTCCACATCATATATCGCTAGCATTTGCTTCAAACAAAATGGCGGCACCCAGTCAAGACTATCTGATCAATAATCTGATAATAGAGACCTATATTGTGATAAAAGAGGTCTTACATCGCTCAGTAAATCAAATCACGTGAACACCTTGATTAAAAACACAGTAAGATTTGGAAAATATCTGCTGATGCCGATTTGGCAGAGCACATCCTTTGCAAATCCTGCTATCAACAGAAATCAGATTTCGATTTTACGCTATTTTGACTATGTATAGACTTGTTAGTCCAGCCAAAATATAACTCCATAATACCAGCTTCGTGCGGCAAAGGTTGAAACTGGACTTTTAAAGGGAAGTCACAGACTGTAGTTAGCTATAGGCCAAACTGCATGGAAAATATGCCAGCTCAGGTCAGTAAAATCTATAGGGCTAAATGTAAATACAGGATTAGGCTAATCCTGAATTTAGACCGATAAATTTGCAGATTAGGTAAATAATAGAGCTTATTAATAATTTATTTCATGATTTGTTCGGGCTGTTGTGATATGGACAATAGCCTTTTTATCTTTCACCATTTATCAAAACCATTAGTAGGTTAGCATGACACATACGTCGTTCGAGTTGGTGGAATTTCGCAATCAACGCAACCTTTCGAAAAATATCTGTGCAATTTCCGGTAATTTATCTGCATAAATTTGCTGCAGTGTTTGTAACATGATGTGCAAACAACCTATGACCATATAGATAAATTAAATAGGACTATGAAGCAAGGAATTCAACGTGCGACAACGTACTATGCTCTCTGGTTCGGATCCCAACGAGCTTCCCATCCTGTTGGTAGAGGTGGATACCAAGACGTCGCCATTTTGGATGTTTATGCGTCTGACCTCAGATGATTAGAGTGACCTCCCTTTGAAAAATAGTTCGAGAAATAGAAGTGTGAATAAAATCCCCACACTCCGTCGCAGTGGTGACTCAGCATAACGCCACTGCCACAGGCTAATTTGCATATCACGTGACCTGACTTTTGTCTTGTTTGTAAACAAACGCGTTTTTTTCAGAAATCAGTATAGAACAGACTAATGCAAGTATTTGGGGGCGCTTTACATATTGTTTTGCATAACTATATAGATATGCTACTACAACTGCGACAGTGAGTTGCATGACAATATATATTTATGCATCAAAGTGACCGTGTTGCTAGCTCTCCGTTTGCCTTCGATGACAGCACGTGGAGCCCTACAACCAATGTAAACATAGGATAACTACGCAAAAACAAGTAGATTTTTACGTATTAGCATACTTTCTCAATGAAAGTTAACCATTCTTTAAAATTTGTTTATGAAAATGTGTAGACTTGTCAAACATGAAACGAATGAAAAGCATATGCAATATCTTGAATGGACTGTGAAAGATGTGACGAATCGTCACATGGCGCTGGCCTGTGGCAGAGGTACTATGCTTGCTGGCTGCCGGCCGCATGGAACTCTGGGTAGGAGAGTGGAAAATCCCCGGGCTTTTACCTTGTTCTTCTCGATAACGTTCATACCTTGACAATAATGACCTGTGTTTCACTGTTGTCCCAATATTTCAGCATGGAGGTCCATTAAGAACGATAGAAGTGATCGCGAAGTAACTAGGACATATGCTTTCAGAATGTCGAAGATGACGGGCATTCGGTATCAACGGTATACCTTCAAGTTATAAAAAACTACTCATTCACTTCAATGTACGGACATTGTTTAATGACACAACTTGACTATTTGTAAGAAAAAAATATAAAAATAGAATAAGTTTATGAATGATACTCCGCTAAAACTCAGTTTACTAAGGTTGGCGAAATGAAGAGATTTCATTTTCGGAGGCAATCATCTTCCTCCCACTTTTGACATGATCAAGAAATAAATCTTGAAAAAGCAAAATGGTTAATTTAAAACGGAGAGGATCCTCTATAAGCGAAAGCCACGGATACCACATTTAAAGGGGCACTGATCTAAAGAAATTCCCCGGGACTGGTTGTTGCCTTTGTTATTGTTTTTTCCCGTGAGTACCCGGATGATATAGCAGAAACCTATAGACTAGTTCGCAACCTGTGCTGCGCAATTCGTAAGCGCATGTGTCACTTTTATTGATAGTATAACATGTATAAGGGCGTATGGTCACATCTATCAACAAAATGAAATACAGTTTTGGAAATTATAAGGAAATGTAGGTATCTTTGTGGGTAGCATCGGTAATGGTGACGAACTTTTGATAAGTCACTTGCTTGGTAATTGTGCGATTTTCGTTTACACTATTTAGACTTGCAACACAAAATAAATATTTCTCCTGAGCATTGCTTATTTGATCGTGTTTATATTTATTACAGCCAAAATGTGCAAAATTTTCACTTAGGAAATTCATTAAAAGCCTGAATATTCAGTTATTTTACAAATTGACTGGAAAATATGTCCATCTGTATTATTATGATAACGAATTCCAAACATTTATTATGTTTAATATCATCACCAAGAGACTGAAATGTAACGATGAAAAGTATATTCTATATTGTTTGGCTTCTAATCCTACATAATAATCTGTTGTGATGTTTATAGGCCTTTTTGATCGTCTTAATCAGTTTTAGTCAATCTGTTAAAGAAATGGGCAGATTTTTCAGTCAAAATGACTGAAATATTTACACATTTTATAAATTGCCTGAGAGAATCACATTCTACAAATTGACTGTAATATATACACGCTTATAAAGGAAAAGACTTGTGAAAACGACTATCACGCATCGAAGAATTTCCCAACCAAGACGTAGAGGAACAGTAATGAATCTGTCCAGTGCTACAGCAAATGAAGGAAAACAAAACGCAGATATCATAATTACAACCTACCAAATTTATTAAGCCCTGCTATTTGACATCCGGGAGGTTTCATCAGACGTCTGGGAGTTTTAAAATACAGTGCAGTCAATAAAACATGTCTTTCTCAGTTTGATAAGATCGTGAGAATATCCGGGTGCGTCCGGAAACGTCCGGGAGGTTATATCAGACGTCCGGGAGTTTAAAAATACAATGCAGTCAATAAAACATGTCTTTCTCAGTTTGGTAAGATCGTGAGAATATCCGGGTGCGTCCGGAAACGTCCGGGAGGTTTCATCAGACGTCCGGAAACGTCCGGAAACGTCCGAAAACGTCCGGGAGGTTTCATCTGACGTCCGGAAACGTCCGGGAGGTTTCATCAGACGTCCGGGAGTATAAAAGTACAGTGCAGTCAATAAAACATGTCTTTCTCAGTTTGGTAAGATCGTGAGAATATCAACTGGCGTACAAATAAAAAGAACTCACAGCAAAATAAAAACAAACAAAAATGAGTACAAGTAACAGGGTAAAAAATATTTAATATGCCGTAAAGGTTTTGTTCTTTATCCAACAAGGCGGACGTATAAGTAATTACAGACAATGTAAAAAATGTTTGTTTGTTTGTTGTTTAACGCACATTCAGCTATATGACGGCGGTCTGTAAATAATCGTGTCTGGACCAGACAATCCAGAGTTTGACATCATGAGCATCGACCCACGCAATTGGGATACGATAGCATGCATCAACCAAGTCAGCGAGCGTGACCACCCGATCCCGTTAGGCGCCTCTTACGACAAGCATGTATATTCCATCTGTCGAGATTACGGAAAGTAGCAAAGACAATGGATGCCCACACAGAGAGAGTGATACAGGTGCCTTACTTGCTCAATAGAATTGACAAATCAGAAAGTTTGAAAACTTTTTTATGACACTTATGGTAATTGTTCAAATATCTGACAATTCTTCTCTTTACGAAAATACACCACATGGACACTATAGCACTCCCGTCACACACGAATGTTCATAAAATTATTGTTTACTTTGAACTTATTTTTAATTCAGGGTACGAGGGTATCTCGATGATGACGCTCGATTTGTTAACACTATGACACGATGTTCGTGGAGTTACCAGGATGGTAGAAAGTCGCTTTCGGATTTCCCCCCACGTTGAGACCGCCTCCGCGGTCTAGTGGTAGAGCGTCCCCCGGAGGGCGGAAGGTCCGGGGTTCCATCCCCTGCCGCGTCATGCCAGTTATATCAATCACGGCGTGTCAGCTTAATGTGGGAGGAAAGCCCGAAGCGATACGGGTCTTAGACGTTTACCACTTCGGTGAAACCCACGAGTATGCTGCTGACAAACCGTGATTCGAACCCACAATCATAGGCGGTCCCCCCCCCCCCCCCACACACACACACACACTTTGAACTGACAGGCCCTGACGTGACAGGTAAGGGGCGTGCAACCACCTACTGACAAAGTGTTGTGAAAAAGGTGTTTGACTGACATAGTCGGGGATCCCCCGAATTCCCCCGAAAACCCTGACACTAACAGAAGCAGTTAGGTCAAGCATGACAGTTTAACATGTCATTTCGTGTCAGTGTGAAAGGAAAGCCCGAAGTGATGCAGGACACAGACGTTTACCACTTTGGTGAAACCCATGATCACGTGTAGGTGCTGATAAACCTTGAAACATAGTCGGAGCGAACCTGGATTCGAACCCACGATAATATGTTTCTGCACAGAGAAGTGCGGCGCATTAGGCGACTGGGCCACCCGTGCCCCCGGTGGGTGCAATAGCTCAGCCATCCCAAAGAGGGGACACAAGGAATAGACCTCATACATTGTAACACGTGGGAAATCAAACCCATACCAGTGAGTGAGTGAGGTTTTACGCCACTTTTTGCAAAAACCAGCAATATCACGACGGGGCACCAGAAATTGACATAGTTGGGGATTCCCCCGAAAACCCTGACACTAACAGAAGCTGTTAACCCTCTGACACGGTTGACATGTCATTTCATGTCAGTGGGAGGAAGGTGATTGTGCGTATGACAGCCTTCTGCTGAAGTATATTTTGATTCTACATATAATTTTATTCTCGGAATTCATGCAATGACTGATAGAGATTCTTTAACAGTTTAATAAAATATACCATTAACTAACAGTTAATACAGTGCGGTAGAGGCTGTGGATGTGAGTGAGTGAGTGAGTGAGTATGGTTGATTTAATATGCCTCACACTTTGTGTACCACGTGGGAAATCAAACCCATACCAGAGATTGATTGACTGATTGAGTGATTGAGTGAGTGAGTGAGGTTTTACGCCGCTTTTAGCAATATTCCAGCAATATCACGGCGGGGGACACCAGAAATGGACTTCACACATTGTACCATGTCGGGAATCGAACCCGGGTTGCTTTTAGGCGTGACCAGCGAACGCTTTAACCACTAGACTACCCGACCACCCCCATACCAGAGAAAGGACCCTTTTCAGTTTATATACAGTGAGGGGTTTGGTAGTAAAGTAGCTTCAAAATTAAACTGTATCGTACAAATAAATCGATTTGCATGTACATCATCATGTATCTGTGTCATGATAATGATAATAATTGAAATATTACGATAAACCTTTCTAGTTTGGTTGAAGGGTAGCTCGATACAGAGAGGAACTCGGATAAACCGGGACCCGTTACATCTTTTCAGTGAGCGTGTGTAACGTCGTTTGAACGGTATATCTCGCAGTGTCTGCTTGATGTGGGAGCAAAGCCCGAAGTGATGCTGGTCTTAGACGTTTACCACTTACGTGAAACCAACGAACATGCCTTTCTCGCCCGGAGAATCACTTAGATAACAGAATGTGGAAATTCTGTAAAAATCAGGCTTATGGTTTAAAACCAAAAAATATATCTGGTTTTGTATCTGTACTGAAAAAAATATCTGACCTCGATACAAAATATCAGCCCCCGTAGGTATAGCGACTACTTTAGTGTGTTATGTGGCGTTAGAAACTGTTGCGATTGTATTTGTAGAAAATGTCAGTGGCCAACAACGGGCGTTAGGTGAACAATTGATTTGCCTTTGCATGTGTTTGTGATGGTGCCACCGGTGGGGCAGTATATGCTCACCTTTTCGCGAACATTTGGTATCATAACTATTTGGTACTGATTCATAAACACATGCTTATGATTTAGTCGGAATCGTACAACGAACTCTGCTTTGAGCAGATTAATAAAAATTCTGGAAATAGTCAAGCTTGTTGCTTTAATTTAACTTATCGACACACATTCATGCACATCACACAGTTTCATATTACAGGGTCCCGGGTTTCCTCTGCAGCCTTATACAGCAAACAAACAAACAAACAAACAAACAAACACATGCGGAATATGATCTAATGTTATAATCACTATATAAACATCACACCAAATGAAGGAAGATTAACACACACAAAAACAACACTTTCGTTATCGCAAATTTAAACTGCAGTGATTTTATTCGGAGACTTGTACAAAGTCTATCGAACCAGGAAGTAAATTTAAGCCCCCTCGTCACAGGACCGCGGACTGTGCACACACTGCCGAGTGTGGCTTGTTCAGCAGGTCTGTCTGTGTTTGGTGACCCGTTTCATTGTAGCGCTGACAAAACATAGTCATGACGAAGCTGTGCGTTCATAAAAGGAGGACCATTGTACTGTCAGCGTGGTGCTGTTGAGGTAAGTAAACCCCTGTAGGAAGACTCGCGCGGGTGACTTGCAAATGTGTTAACTGAATTCGTCAGTGAAATACTCGGCGTTTTCCGATACCGAACTTGCGCAACACCAGCCTGTATTAAATCACAAGACCATGTAACAAAAAATAACAAACAAAACTCGCAGTCGAGGAAAACTCGCAGCCTTCGGCCTCGTCTGCGAGTTTGTTTATTATCAATAACATGATCCTGTGATTAAGTTGAGAAAGTTGTTCGTACATTCTAAGTGAACTTTGTAACTTCTAAATGACGACATAGGTATATATATAACATACTCGGAGCCTGAAACTTCTCAAGCAAATAGATGAAATCCGTTTACAGTGGATGGTGTGTTTATAGACTGCATTCGTCTCCATCGCCCACGATGGACGCGGTGACCGTCTAACAGTTGATGATGTTCATTGTGTGGATGTACCTATGCTGTGTTTTCGTCGTTACTGATGTTGCTGTGACTGGCTAACGGATACTGTGACTCGAGGGGGTGGGTGGGTGGGGAGGGCGTTGTCATGATGACAGTTTATATAACAAGTGGAATATAGTCGGAACGGTAAATACAAGAGTGCAACGCTTTACTTCAAGATACAGTTACTGTCACTTTACTGACGTCGGTGCTACCAATGGGCGGTTTATCGAGTCTAGACCAGCACAGAGACCGGAATTCGGCCCCAAGTCTGCAGTTCCAAAATGTCAGCAAAAAATCCCAAATGGGAAACCTCCCAATTAAGAATAACATAAGTATAATAATATGATTTCACTAATGTGATTAGACTAAAATCTAGTCTCTGAAATGAACATATCGTACATAAAAAAACAGTTGTTTAGTTATCTTAATAAAAATATAATAAAAAGGAGCCCAGTGACTCTCTTCATTAGACTAAAATCTAGTCTCTGAAATGAACATATCGTACATAAAAAAACCAGTTGTTTAGTCATTCGAATAAAAATATAATAAAAAGGAGCCCAGTGACTCTCTTCATTTTCAGAGTGATCTAGACTTGCCAAACATTATAGACTTGCATGGGCTGTATTTGATATATATTTGTATCAGGGTCTGTAAGACAGACTATAATGTGATGGTTGAGGTGATTTGTATTTCCACAATAACAAGGCAGATTGAATCAGACGATTTAATGCCTATTTTACATTATTACATTGAATGTAACTTTATGTCAGAATAATCTTAAGTGAGAGCTATAAACAAATTCCAGTTTGGAAAAAAATATCAATTCTAGAATTCCCTGGGATGGATATGTTTAGACAAAAAGCAAAACGGCCCATAGTTCATTTGAAAAATATATTGTTTTAAGTCACATGTCCAGCGTGTTGTGAAGTGATATTCGAAATTCGTTTGCCTCTGTGTACAGTAATGTATATTTCGCGTTGCAGAAGAGATGATATATTGATATATTGATACATAAACAGTAGAAGACTCTCCTATGGTTCATATTTACCATGTTTGGAAACGAATAGGGGTTAAATGTCTTCGAATGCAGAAAAAAAAAGAAGTTTTTATCACCAACATTTTGGAAAACCACAAATACCCAAAGCCACTGCTTAACCATCTTTGTCTCACATACGATGCCCAACTGACTTTATCATTATCATCTAATACTTTAAGCATAACATAACTTTGGACGGGGTATTGACTTGCATTCACTTGCAAAAGTTTAATCCAATACATGTACTTAAAACCCTTATTTGAGTATTTATAAAAAATACTGGTAGTTGTGTTGTAACAACAGCATTAACAACAGGCGAGGTTCAAGAGAGTTTAACGTCGCGTTTAAGATAATTTCGATTTTATAGCGACGAGCATGCACGTTCGTGTCTATTTGTACTCATCCGGTTCACAGCGCGCTAGCCCACTGATATACCTTGCTGCAGTTTAGCATGGATAACCCACTAAGACACAGTATACTGACTGAGCCGACCAGTCCTTGTTTGGTAAAACCCACGATCACGTGTAGGTGCTGACAAACCTAGAAACATAGTCTGAGCGAACCAGGATTCGAACCAACATTAGGCGACTGGGCCACCCGTGCCCCCCCCCCCCCCCCCCCCCCCCCCCCCCCCCCCCCCAATAGCGCAGACATCACAGAGAGGGGACACAAGGAATATGCCTCACACCACGTGGGAAATCAAACCCATACGAGAGAGAATGATTGATTGATTGAGTGAGTGAGGTTTTACGCCGCTTTTAGCAATTTTCCAGCAATATCAGGGCGGGGGACACCAGAAATATCCCCAAAATGCCGAGCGCCAGGCAGGATAACAACAAGTACCATCATTTATAGTCGTTTGGGGATCGAACGACCGATCTTCCGCTCACCGGGTATACACACAATCCACTACACCACGGAGGCGGTAATAATAATAATAATAATAATAATAATAATAATAATAATAATAATAATAATTTTAGTAGTGGTAGTAGTAGTAGTAGTGGTAGTGGTAGTAGTTACCCATGTAGATCTGGGTTAAACAACAAACAAACAAACATTAGGATTATGTAACCCTTTCCAATTCTTCAAGTCAGTTGTGAGTTAGAGTTAGCTATTATGCTGGATAAATCATGTTTCGCAGATTGAAACATCACTTACGCATGTGCAGTTGATTGTTTATGTTTTGTGTGTATTTGTTCAACGTTATGCTCGAGGTGAACAAAACAATGTTCGAGGGTATGTCGCTTTTCGTTCAGCTGGATGTGTTCGAGGTGGTACTGCTCGCTCATACATTATCTCACGCCGTATAATCCGAACACCCGATTTGGAGAAGGAAACGAATCAGTATTACATGAAATTAAGAAGGCTTGAGATCAAACACTTTCCTGAACACGTATAAATAATAGTAATTGATTTGCAGCTTTTGTTCAGATAATGCCTGATTTTCAAGTATAAATCACAATCTAACACTGATGTCATATGATTCGTTTCCTTCAGCTCGTGTGACATGCGGACATAGTTGTATATTTATTGACTGAACAACATGCGCAACAGGCTGTCCCCCCTGTCAATACAGCCATTGAACGACGTGAAGGAAATGGTGTCAGTTTGTCAGGGCACCGTGGACTACTTCCCTGTTAAAACAATTGAACAATGAATCTTGATAAAATAGAATGTCCGGTGGTGCTTTATTAGTCTGTGATGCGCATGCTTGTGCATGGGCGGATACAGCTTTTTTTAAAAAGGGGGGGGGGGGGGGGGGGGGGGGGGGTGGTGTGCACAATTAAGATCTATTTATTGTCTTTGGTGGTAATTTATACAGAAATAAAGATTTTTTTCGAAATAAAAAAAGGGGGGGGGGGGGGGGGGGGGTGCGCACCCCCGCACCCCCCTCTGTATCCGCCCATGTTGTGTATTAAAAAATGCCCCAGTCTCTTCAAGGGGCATTTTGAATAATTATCCCGCATACCCAAGGCACCGGGCTGAACGATGACAGGGTTCCTTACTAAAGCATTTCTCTCAGACTGTCCAATATATTCATGGTGAAATTTTGCATACATATGAAGCAAGGCCTGGACAGGAGTCCGCATACGATATCATTACTCACACAGCCCTGTGTGCTTAGAATACCTGGCAATGAACTGTGCACAGCTAGCATAGGCGTACCCCCCCCCCCCCCCTCCCCCCCCCCCACACACACACACCTTATGAAAACCAATTGTGGTGTGTTGTAGTCAGTAACATTACCAATTAACTGAGAGTGGATTTTTATTTTTTGGACCCCTCCCTATTAAAAATGGTGAAGCTGCCATTGGACTGTACACGCCATCTCGTTGAATAAACGCCATAAGTGCCTCCTCGTCACGGCACGAAGAAGTTTCGCGAGTGAAGATCATATTCTAAGAAACTTGAACACATTTCCCGAGTTCCAAGAATACGGATGTAGACATGGAGAATCTAGGCCAGCATCACACGAGCAAGTCCACTTCCGGGACCGATCCGTTAAGAACACAATTTATTCCACAAAATACTGAAACAGAATATTGCCTCCCCTAAAATCCCAATGATTGAACAAAATATGACTTCTGCATCTTCAAGGTGGCAATTCAGAACATATGTTTACAGAGTCAAAACAGCACTGTGAGAGTATTTAAGATCATAGCAGTACTGTTTCAGCAGAAAAGGCTGATCACTGGCCATAAATTAAATAGATCTTTCAATATGGCTGCCGTGGCGGCCATATTGTAACTCAGATTCAATCGTCTTGAACAAATTCAGATGCCATCTTTGATGGGAATTAAGCATGTGAACTTTCTCCCTCATTGGTAAAGTAGTTTCTGAGTGAAGATGATTGTCTGTATTTTCCAATACTAGCAGCCATATTTCAACGTAATGTCTGATCATAATGTCTTGAGCAAACTGGGTATTATACAAGGTGACCATCCCACCCACCAAGTTTCACCAATTTCACCCTTTTTCATATTTCTTTCTTAATCAAAGATGCCAACCTGGGGCCATATTGAAATTCCATGTTTGATGCCTTGAACAAACCAGAGCCTCTTTATAGTAATACATCCAAACAATTTCAGGTGAGCCCAGCAAGCTTGCATGAGAGATCGATGAACTTCAATAAAGATGACGGGCGACGTGCGACCACACAAGCTCACATGACCTTTCTGACCAGGTGTGCTAAACACACTAGGCGATAATTATTAGAATAAAGACAGTTATCATATCATCTCCATAAATGGCCCAAGGAAAGATAAAATTTATTTCTAACTAAGTAAAAAATATGAAAAATCAAATATTTTGTGGATAACATAATTATCCAGGCAAGCTCCAATTCTCCATGACGCCACAAGAGAAACTGAAAATGCACCAAAATAAACCCAAGTTGCAGAAAGCTTCACTATGGAATAAAATTATGAGGTGCTCACAAACAATGCCACCTTTTATAACATCAGGAATTCTACACAGGCTACAACAGGCCATGCCATGCTAGATTGCATTGCGCGTATTCCAACCGTTGTCGTGAACTCAAGCTTGTAAACGTCATGACAAAATGTTTGTTTGTTTGTTTGTTGTTGTTTAGCAATATTCTAGCTATATGACGGCGGTCTGTAAATAATGGAGTCTGGACCAGACAATCCAGTGATTGACACCATGAGCATCGATCCACGCAATTGGGATACGATGACATGCATCAACCAAGTCGACAAACCTGACAAGCAGATCATTTCGGTCTACTCCTATAAAAAGTAATATTAGGAATAACCTACTCGCCACTCGGAACGACATATAATCTGTCCTTAAAATAATGATTAAAGTCCCTCGGCTCGGGACTTCATTCACTCAGGACATACAATCCACAATTCCTCGTAGGTGATTCTCTAACAGGCTAATGCAAATATTCATGGTTTCAATGCAATCACAAATTCTGAAAGATTTTATTCAAAATGTATTTCGATACACGGGTTTTGTCGAATGTAGTCTCCGTTTAAGGAATTGGAAAGGACTGTGAAATACAGTACGTGTTGCTGAATGTAGTCTCCCTTTAAGGAATTGTAAAGTAATGTGAAATACAGTACGTGTTGTCGAATGTAGTCTCCCTTTAAGGAATTGTAAAGTAATGTGAAATACAGTTCGTGTTGCTGAATGTAGTCCCCCTTTAAGGAATTGTAAAGTAATGTGAAATACAGTACGTGTTGCTGAATGTAGACTCCCTTTACGGAATTGTAAAGTAATGTGAAATTCAGTTCGTGTTGCTGAATGTAGTCTCCCTTTAAGGAATTGTAAAGTAATGTGAAATACAGTTCGTGTTGCTGAATGTAGTCTCCCTTTAAGGAATTGTAAAGTAATGTGAAATACAGTACGTGTTGCTGAATGTAGACTCACTTTACGGAATTGTAAAGTAATGTGAAATACAGTACGTGTTGCTGAATGTAGTCTCCCTTTAAGGAATTGTAAAGTAATGTGAAATACAGTTTGTGTTGTCGAATGTAGTCTCCCTTTAAGGAATTGTAAAGTATTGTGAAATACAGCTCATGTTGTCGAATGTAGACTCCCTTTAAGGAATTGTAAAGTATTGTGAAATACAGTTCGTGTTGTCGAATGTAGACTCCCTTTAAGTAATTGTAAAGTAATGTGAAATACAGTACGTGTTGCTGAATGTAGTCTCCCTTTAAGGAATTGTAAAGTAATGTGAAATACAGTTTGTGTTGCTGAATGTAGTCTCCCTTTAAGGAATTGTAAAGTATTGTGAAATACAGTTCGTGTTGCTGAATGTAGTGTCCCTTTAAGGAATTGTAAAGTAATGTGAAATACAGTTCGTGTTGCTGAATGTAGTCTCCCTTTAAGGAATTGTAAAGTATTGTGAAATACAGTACGTGTTGCTGAATGTAGTCTCCCTTTAAGGAATTGAAAAGTATTGTGAAGTACAGTACGTGTTGTCGAATGTAGTCTCCCTTTAAGGAATTGAAAAGTATTGTGAAATACAGTACGTGTTGCTGAATGTAGTCTCCCTTTAAGGAATTGTAAAGTATTGTGAAATACAGCTCATGTTGTCGAATGTAGACTCCCTTTAAGGAATTGTAAAGTATTGTGAAATACAGCTCATGTTGTCGAATGTAGACTCCCTTTAAGGAATTGTAAAGTATTGTGAAATACAGTTCGTGTTGTCGAATGTAGACTCCCTTTAAGTAATTGTAAAGTAATGTGAAATACAGTACGTGTTGCTGAATGTAGTCTCCCTTTAAGGAATTGTAAAGTAATGTGAAATACAGTACGTGTTGCTGAATGTAGTCTCCCTTTAAGGAATTGTAAAGTATTGTGAAATACAGTTCGTGTTGCTGAATGTAGTCTCCCTTTAAGGAATTGTAAAGTAATGTGAAATACAGTTTGTGTTGCTGAATGTAGTCTCCCTTTAAGGAATTGTAAAGTATTGTGAAATACAGTACGTGTTGCTGAATGTAGTCTCCCTTTAAGGAATTGAAAAGTATTGTGAAATACAGTACGTGTTGTCGAATGTAGTCTCCCTTTAAGGAATTGAAAAGTATTGTGAAATACAGTTCGTGTTGTCGAATGTAGTCTCCCTTTAAGGAATTGTAAAGTATTGTGAAATACAGTTCATGTTGTCGAATGTAGTCTCCCTTTAAGGAATTGAAAGTATTGTGAAATACAGTTCGTGTTGAGTACTGTAACATGTTGCAATTGGTCAATGCAACGCGGCAACATATGTGGCCGTTTCCATGACGCATCCGTATTTTATTGTGTTCAGTGTGTAAACTTGTCTCGGTTTCTAAAGGGCGTTGCTGGGTGTGTCTCTACGCATTGATCAAGGTGAAGTCTACCTTACAGCCACATCATGTTCTACGTATAAGAACAATGTTCACTGACTGTGCCAGTCTCTTTGACCTAATTCCATTGCAACGATTCTGCAAGATTGCGACATCTCGTTTTGTAACGGGCTTCTAAGGGGATTTCCTGTCTTGTTGACCGATGATTTATTGTGAGACGGTGGGATATATGACATGGGTGGGGGTGATAGCTGCTGTAAGTTAAGGTTGAGGTTTTGGGATTATAACCCTATTATTATTGTTGTTGTTGTTGTTGTTATAATCCTATTATTATTGTTGTTGTTGTTGTTATAATGATGATAATGATAATAATAATAATAACAACAATAACAACATATAAAAATTATAAAAGAACAAAAAACAGGGTCATTCACACCGACAGTGGATTAATAACTGAATGACACATGGAAACACCTGTTAAACCGTCGAACGTTTGCCACAGATAATGAGGTCAGGTATCGATCCCAGTTCACCTGTCGGTCGTGAATAAACTGTCGGGTCATATATAATGTACACCTCGTTACGCGCTGAACCCCACGGTCACCAGAACACGCCCCTCTAAGGCCAGTATCTAAGCAGATAGTGACATTGTTTGACTACATGAAATAGACATCGACCTCAAGTCACTTTCTTCCCTATACATGTAATACACAGAGACAGTTTGGTTATGATGCATATTAACGTAGGAACTAGAACGCAAGTATTTATTTAATTGAAATTGTTATTTTGATGTTATATTGTGACATAATGTTGACGATTTTAATTCCTATCACTTTCCCTTTCCGTTAAAATGAAAAGCTTTGAAATGTTAACCCCTCCCTTCATCGCTACATGCAATAAACATATTCCTAAATAAATACCTCGTTCCACTTCAAACCTCTTCTAATATTTCATTATTATTACAACAGCTTATTCTAGCTTTTTTCTTCATTAATTCAGTCGGCAGAGAAAACGTGGCTACTTATGGTAACCCCTTAATCTAGATCGGCTTTAGGGAAACCCGACCTATTGATTTAGTATTCTTCTGTAGATTTGCCCCGTGGTAGGAATCAACCCATGACGGTTATTTACATAGTAAGGACAGACACTTGTACATTCAAACAAATGGTTTAGGGCCTGTATGTACTATAAACTAGGAAATGCCAATGCCAAGGTGAAGGTCAAATGCATTTCTAATGTATTACCTTCCAGGGGTATATATGCAATCGACACTTATGGGACACATGTATGTAAATATATGCCCAACAGGTCATTGTGACCTCAAAGCTACCTGTCTCACCTTGACAACGACCTTCCAACCGTAGACACCGAGGGTTGCTCAAATATCCGCTGTTGACGATCCACACCATACACGGGATCATATACGGGATTGTTGTACCGTTCCATGGCGGCCCCCTGAATTCCTCACTATAACGCTGCGTTCAATAACACCAGAAGAATCCAACGGCCGTTAACACTGTGTAACGGTACTCGCGTTATAGCGGTGAAAACGTGTTGTTACCACAACGCCCGTGGAAAAATGGATGGAAGAACACAGTTGTCCTGCTTTAGTAGTCACATCACAGGTGATGGCTCGATTACGAAATACTTCACCTTGTTTGTGCCCTACGGGTGTATTTACAATTGGTCCACCTGTGACACTCGTGTTTTGTCGGCGCTTGTTACCCCGTGACTCTAGGGGTAATAGATTCCTCTGTTGTCACTCGGGTTATAAACTTATCACGTATGTCATAAAACTCGGAATTTAAAAATCCGTTGTTGAAACTTAGCTGTGGGTTAAGTCACTCCGTCAAATCCTGAGAGAGCTCAACTCGACGAAATATTTGCACTTGGATTTTGAGAGGTGATTTTTAATATTGTGAGGTGAGGCGATGTGAAGTGGGGTGGAACGTCGCGTTCAGAGTTATAGTGTATAGGTTGGTTGGCTGGTTGGTTTTTAGTTTTACGCCGCACTCAGCAATATTCTAACTATATGACGGCGGTCTGTAAATAATCGAGTCTGGACCAGACAACCCAGTGATTGATATCATTATCATCGATCCAGGCAAATGGGATCACAGTGAGAGAGGACAGTTCTCGTTTTATCTCCTGAATGCCCATCGCCAGGCAGGGCAACACCAAGTACCATCATTGAACGTCTTTTTGGAACGACTATAGTCTTACAATGGAGGTGAGTCTACAAGAAATGTCGAGCCAATGGTTGTAAAAATTCGTGCTTTTTCATTTTGCATGACTTTCCAGATGTTATTTCGGTTCAACAGTATAATGTTTATGAATGCGGTTGTCTTCCTATTTTTATTACTTAACGAGACAAACTTTACTTTCTTCAATTCAAAGCTTATTACGATAAATCTATCAGGTCATATATAATGTACACCTCGTTACGCGCTGAACCCTACTATCATCAGAACACGCCCGTCTAATAGTGGGGCGGTTAAGGCTGGATTTTAGGCATAATTGTCCACTTTGGGTTAAAAACACCAAACTTGGCACACTTATACATTGAAACATTCCGAACATTTCTGGATATGGATCCACCGCAGCAGGGCCACCTGGTGGAAGAAAATCCAAGATGGCCGCCAAAATGGTTAAAATCTCTTATGACGTCAAATTATATTCAATTTATCATCATTATTTTGTCAATTTTAGTCATTTATATAAAATTAATTGAGTAAATGTTGTATATAATTCAAATTTAGTATGCAGCGTCCACCGGTGGCGAAGAAAATCCAAGATGGCCGCCAAAATGACTTAATCTTCAAAATATGTCAAATGTTTGTCCACACTATCAGTATCATTTGCTCATTGCAATCATTTCAATCAAATATGGCTTCAAAACAATTCCAAGTAATGCTTTACTGAATGTATAAGCTTTTGGTATTAAAATTCATTCATTTGAAGCAAGATCTGTATTCCGTAAGGCAGATCTGGGGAATATATTGGATTGCATGAACTTGGTTAAAATTCGGTAACTGAACTTGGAATGTGATAAAAATATTGGACCAGCACTGAAACATGCCTTTTTGATTCTGAATCATTAAGGCTAACTAAACGAGCAACACTTATCCACAGACGTGATTTAAGGTTGAAACAAACTTTCAGAGGAACATTTCCTTCTGACTTTCATAAACAGTATGTACCTGCCTCATTGAAAGCTCTAGTCAGTATGAAATTTGTAGGACCAGGTATGAAAAAAACTACGGTAAACTACACTTATAACGAACTCAAAGGGACCACTAATTTGAGTTCGTTGTAACCGTAGTTCGTTATAAACATATATACACCATATATACAGCAAATGGCTTGGACCACAAAACCAGTTCCGCCAGTTCGTTATAAGCGTGTTCATTATAAACATAGTTTACTGTATCTCAGAACATCTTGTCTTCAAAGCGTGAAATCTTGGTGCACTAGCTCATCAACACAAAGACACCACTGAGACCAAGAAATACAAGTCCCAGGTTACTTGGTATTAAACAAGAAAACGTGATCTTGTTGACACATTTCAAAATATGGTGTATTTGAACAGATATAGCACAGTTTGTGGTGTTTATGAAGACGAAGGTGTGGTGTACCCACCAAAATTCTCAAAAGATAACATCTATCATAATCCCTGCTCTACAACAGCAACATATCCACTTCATGGTACCAACATTTCACTATTGCAGCAGCGTCCAACAGCTGAAGAGGAAGGAACATCACATGTTGTTCTTTTGGCTGAAGAATGCACACAAACAAGGAAAACCATTTCCAAACAGCCCACCGTATATACTAATGTACCCCCATCCTGTTTTAGCAAGATGGGTAATTATGTGCCTCAATCAAAATTACCATTCCCCCAGGATGTAGATAGTGTTAACACAATGCCTGACCATGAGTAAAACTGGTCATATCACGTGAAGGAAGTATTGGGAAAACAAGACAAACATAGCCTCCAAAAACAATTGCCCATATGCCAATGTTCTAGAATGTGCACACTCTGTTGCTATGATACAGTATTCAATTAATGTGGTAAAAAAAGGGTATTGAGCATTTGAATCCTGGTCAGATGCATGTGCTTGCCTTGGATGAACCACTATGCACAATTGCTAAAACAATCCAGTGGAACTGTCCTGAATTATGTGATAAACTTCCTTATCATGTTTGGTAGATTTGCATATAGAAATAGTTGCTTTCAGGATTCTCAGAAACTGTCCCGAAGGAAGTAGATGGAAAACTGCAATTTGTGCTGCTGGAATTCAGATTTGCCTCAGTCAGATTTGCTGATTCCTTCATCATGTGTACCCATCTTACTACAACATCAGACATATGTGCGATATAAGGAAACAGAAGCGAACACAGACGATCCTTTCAGAAACTGGTGTGCACCGAAGTAAGCTGCTCAGCCCATTTCACTACTGGCCCCTTGTTCTGGAACAAGAACTTTGTATATTGTGCCTGGTGGGTGCAATTCAAAAAGCAGATTTCCCAAAGTTGGCAGCATCACTTGTCATATTAATGGCTTGCGTTTCACAGATATGTCCCTCTTACAGTAGAGCACGAGCACCGCTGTACCTCGAATATTGTTCCGGTGAATTCGTGACACACTAAACTAAAGACTAAACGGACATTCTCTTGTGTGGCACAAGGTCAGACACATGAACAATTCAATAGCCGTATGAAAGGAGATGGAGGTGCAGTTGGATTGACTGAAACAGCCGAGAGTTTTCTTCTAGAGACCCACGGAATTCAAAGACATTGTCACTATTTCCTGCCTTCACCGGTTCATATGCTTGGGATACGTGTCAAGTATTTCCTGAAGTCACCAATGCTTTCCCATCATCAGCAGATATCTCTGACAACAAAATGCAGATTCTTGAGCGGTTTGTCGTTCTCACTGGTTTATTTGGAAGGTCAATGAAAGGCAAAATCTCTGTTCATGAAGATCTCAGACAATAGACATTTCAACCCAAAGAGGCAGCTTTGAGACAGCACCAATGCATATTTGGGGATAGGTGCTTGACAAACGTCCCACACTACAGAATCTTGTAGCCATGGGTTAACGTTGCCTGCCTGTACAGTGCTATGTGATACTTTGAAGGAAAGAGTTCACTGTAAGTGAATTATAGAACCGTAAACACATACATTGAACCGATATTCCTGGTCCTACTTAAGTAGGAAGTAAGTCAAGGTCATAGGTTCATGGCAATAATGTCAATAATACCTTTACATACATTCTTGTTTTTAAGATATGAATCCATTCCCAGATGAATGATTTTGGGGTGATCTAATATAAACTGGGTGGAACCTTTCCCAGTAGACCATTTATAAATTAATATGCCGAGAATAGATCATAGACAATACATATTATTTGATACAATGTCATTTAAAATGTTTCATCATATCAAAACTTATCAACTTATCCTTAGTTCAAAGATATCAAATGATATCTATATCTGCTGTAGAAATAGACAATTTCTGAAAACTAAAACACATTGGAGGCCATCTTGGATTTTCGTCATCACCAGCGGGCGCTGCATACCAGATTTGAATTATATACAGGATTGTTGTAATTACTCCTAAATACATAACAATGATAATTTGTATAAATTGGCCAGATAACTATGATGTGTTGAGTACAGATTGATATCATTAGAGATTTCAGCCATGCTGGCGGCCATCTTGGATTTTCTACCACCAGGGGGCGCTGCAAACTCTATTTCAATTATATACAGGTCTGCTGCAATTTATTCCGCATGCATTAGTATGGATATATGTATAAATGGATCAGATAAGTATGATATATTGAGTATATATTGATACCATTAGAGAGTTCAGCCATGTTGGCGGCCATCTTGGATTTTCTACCACCAGGGGGCTCTGCTGCGGTGGATCCATATCCAAAAATGTTTGGAATGGTTCAATGTATAAATGTGCCAAGTTTGGTGCTTTTAACCCAAAGTGCACAATTTTAGCCTTAACCGCCCCACTATAAGGCCAGTATCTAAGCAGATAGTGACATTGTTTGACTACATGAAATAGACATCGACCTCAAGTCACTTTCTTCCCAATACATGTAAAACAGAGACGGTTTAGGGAAACCCGACCTATTGATTTAGTATTCTTCTGTAGATTTGCCCCGTGGTAGGAATCAACCCATGCCGGTTATTTACATAGTAAGAACAGACACTTGTACATTCAAACAAATGGTTAAGGGCCCGTATGTACTATCAACTAGTTAATGCCAATGCCAAGGTGAAGGTCAAATGCATTCCTAATGTATTACGTTGCGGGGGTATATATGCAATTGACACTTATGGGACACATGTTTGTAAATATTAGCCAAACAGGTCATTGTGACCTCAAAGCTACCTGTCCCACCTTGACAACGAACTTCCAACCGAACCTAGCGAGGGTCGCTCAAATATCCGCTGTTGACGATCCACACCATACACGGGATCATATACGGGATTTTTGTACCGTTCCATGGCGGCCCCCTCCACTCCTCGCTATAACGCTGCGTTCAATAACACCAGAAGAATCCAACACTGTGTAACAGTACTCGCGTTATAGCGGTGAAAATGTGTTTGTTACCACAACGCCCGTGGAAAAATGAATGGAAGAACACAGTTGTCCTGCTTTAATAGTCACATTACAGGTGATAGCTCGATTATGAAATATTTCACCTTGTTTGTGCCCTACGGGTGTATTTACAATTGGTCCACTCCGTCAAATCCTGAGAGAGCTCAATTCGACGAAATATTTGCACTTGGATTTTGAGACAGTAATATTGTGAGGTGAGGTGGTGTGAAGTGGGGTGGAACGTCGCGTTCAGA